TGGCTGGTGGGGTAAACGAGAGTTAGGGGCGGGAAGGGGGGTGGATATGTTGGGGAGGGTTTATCGAATCAATTCATGTAGATATTAAGCACATAATTAATCTACCTAGTCAATATTTTACCTCTCAATATGATAAACCAACTTCTCCCCCGACACTTCCTTCCGCCTCATCAACTCAACCCCCTCCAATATCCTCTCAATTCCCCCCTCCATAACCCTCGGAGGATGCGCCCTCACCCTCCCCGCATCAACAAGCCTCTGCATCGTCTGAAACCACTCCCTCCCAAACCTCCTACACCCCTCATCAGGCGCACTCCCATACCCAGCCGGCAGCTCAACCCCCTTGCCAGGTAACTTCAACCCAATCACCCACTCTGCCTTCACCGTCTTCCTTATGTTCGCAGCCATGCTCGGATTGAAGACTTCGAGAGCGGTGTATGAGCCTCCTACACGTCCGATGGCTTCGTAACAGAGTTTTAATGTCGCGGTTGAGGCGATGGTGTCGAGGACGTATTTTAGTCGGTTGTTGGTGTGCGATTTTGTGGAGGCGCTGCAGCTGGGATGGGTGTAATCGAATGCTGCGACTGCTCCGTAGGATTTCACGAGCGGGAAGTGTTTGGGTGTGCAGGTTGTTATGGGGGTTAGACCTGCGCTGTATTTTGATTCATAGGTGCGTCAATCAACATTTCCATAGAAAACTGGGTAGTTGTAGTACAGTAGGTGATATATCAAAGTCCAACTTACGCTCTCAACAACTGTATCGCCATCGTCCCACACGCCGTCGACCCCCCATAAACCAGCACCTCAACCGCCTTCTCCGCCGGCTTATCAGGATGACCAGGAACCATCAAACTATCCCAAAACGCCAACCCCAGACTCCCATGCACACACCCCCCAATACTCGCCGCCTCCTCCCACCTCATGCCCTTGGGCACTTTCAACACCAAATCCGCATACGTCACCAGATACTCGGCAAAACTGCCGCTCTGCAAACACGCCGGGTTCGAAGCGTGGACCGCGCCGCAGATCCGATCGCCGATGGAGAGATCGGTGCGTGTTACTGCGTTCCCGATCTGGAGGATGGTCCCGGCGAAGTCGGAGCCGTTGGTTGCTCCGGGGCAGGGGAAGCGAGAGGGCATCTTCCAGTCGCAGGGGTTTAAGGCGACGGAGTGGGTTTTTATTAGGAGTTGGTCGGGGGAGAGGAGGAGGGGAAGGGAGCTGGTTTGGAGCGACAGGATGCCGCTGGGGCCTTGTTTTATGACGGTGTGGGTTTTGGGGAGGGCTTCTGGGAGGTGAGTTGATGACATGGTGGTGGGTTGTTGGGGGTTGGGGGTTGGTGTTGATTGTGGTTGTGGTTGTGGTTGTGGTTTTCTTTTCTGCCTTGAATATTGCTTCACTTGAGTCTTGCTCTATATCACTAGCGAAATTTAAAATTGTGCAAACTATTAGGCCTTTAACTTTTTTGCGTACAGTATCGTCTATGGTACATGTCCTTCGGGGACGACCGAAAGTGAGCTCCAGTAGCCGAGCTTCGGATTCGGAGGATCCACATTTGTTAAGCGAGGGATTTAGGGGCTTGCCGAAAACTGGCAGGCTCTTTCTGATCACTGCTTTGCATTATTAGGCCTCTTCATTCGCCATTAATGAGTCAAGAAGTCGAAGTCTGAGTATTCTTTGAACACCCTACTCGGTATAGTCTAGAAAAGGCCTCTCAAACATTTTATTTGAAGCGTTATTCTTTTGTATGTAACTTCCTATCGGAGCAGTTTATTGGTTACTTAGAACACACAAAACTTAAGGCAAAGAATATCGTACTTAGTAGCTCAGAAACCACACACAACAAAATCTCCTGGGAATTCAAGTTTTCCAAACTAGTAGTGTATTATTCCATAGTCCCATTATTTATTTAGTCCAACTTTCACACCATCAAAACTACTCAACGTAACACCCAATCTCTCCACCCATTCCCTCTCCCTTTTCGCCTCAATCTCTCTAAAACTTTGCACAAATCTCACCGTCACATATCCAATTTCCGTTAGCGCAAACTGCTGGCCGAGACATATTCTAGGCCCACCATTGAACGGGATATAAGCCCAACCAGGTCTCAAATCATTCCAGCGATCGGGATCGAACTCCTCAGCGTTGAGACCGTAAATGTCGTTTCTGCGATGCATATCGAAGACTGAATAGGCTACGATCTGTCCTTTAGCGATGAAGATTGGAGATGAGCCATCGGAGCCGCCACCGCGTGGGAGAGTTGTGTTGCGGATGGCGAAACGACTGTTCGCTGGAACGACTGGGTATAAGCGGAGAGCTAGGGTGTTTGTTTGTATTAGAAAATGTATTCAGCAGTCCATTGTGAATGCATACCTTCATTTAGTACATTCCTCAAATACTTCATCCGTCGCAACGCCTCATAATCTGGCTTCAGTCCACCCAACTCACCTACCTCCCCCCTCAACCTCTGCCAAACATCCGGTCTCCTGGCAAGCACAAAGAACAAATTGCTGAGGAGGCTGGCAGTTGTGTCGCGGCCTGCAATCAACATATTCAATAACTCGTCACGCAATTGAATCGGATCACTCGTTGCTTTCGCGAGTTCGTGAAGTAGTGTATATCTCTGCCCTCCTTCTTCGACATTTTGTTTTTCCTTGCTGGCCTTGGCTGCTAGAGCAGACTGCACAAATTGATCTGTGTATGTATGGACAGTTTTGCAGGCTTGATGGAACTTCCTGTCTGGTAGGAAACGGGTCAAAGCCCCTCGGCGATAGCGTTGTGGGATTTGGGAGAGTGCGTAATCGATTGCGATTGCGAAGTCTTTTTCTGGACCCTCGGAATTCTGGAGGGAGTTTACTGAGCTGCCGAAGAGGGATTCCTAATTTGGTGTTAGTAGCATTGTACTGGTGCAACATCATAGATATTAGCATATACCGTGGCACTATCAAGAGTTAGTCTGAAGAACAAAGGTTGTAAATCGACGGTACTCCCATCTGTTGGAAGAAGCGAAAGTAAATCTTGAAAATGCGTCTCATAAAGACCTAAATCCGCAACCTGTGCCTTCACGAAAGCTGGACGGATCAAAGCCTACATGTTATATATTAGCCCCACTATTCCAAGAACACCTTATATAGGTGCTTACTCTAGAATGTTCCCATTGTACCCCATCAGTCGTAAAGATCCCATTTCCAAGCAAAGGACCAAAACTTTCCAACCGCCCTCTGATCCCGAAATCCCTAAAGTTCGTCGCAAGCACCGCCTTGATATTCTCCGGCTCGATGGTCATGATAAATGACTGTCCCATGAGAACACCGCTGAAGGTGGTTCCGTACTCTTGGAAGCGGGTGGTCATTAGTTGGAGAACGGAGTTGGTTGATACTGCTTGAGTGGATTCTTTGAAGAGACTGTATCCGATTAGACGGTCCCATTGTGGGATTTTGGGTGCGGGTTTGTAGTTTTGATGGTTAGAAGCGTGGCGGTAGGTAAGGTAGGTGATGAATTTTCGAGAGAGGATGGAGATGAGGAGAAGAGCTAGTACTAGTAGGATTATGTTACGCGTGTCTAGAGCCATCTTGAAGTTATGATACCGAGTTCCTGAGAAGACAAGGAATTGAGGTTTACCATTCGACACTCACGTGTTGGTTTTCCCATCACATGATTTAATCTCGAGGTAAGAAATGCCAGCAACCCCTTCGCTGAACCCTCAGAATGTTTTAGTAATATTCGGACCTGTCACACTGGATTTTCGGAAGTGGTGATACATATTCGGAGAGGTTCCGATTCGGATGCATCCGTCGCAACGCTTCGCTTAGGCCAGGATACGTAGACGTAGTACAACAGTGTCGAAAACAAGCAAAAAAGAAACCCCAATAAGTCTTCAGCCCAGCTCGCAATTTTCACTCCACAGACTGAATATAACAACAAAAGAGCTTTAAACCATAAGTATGTCTGTCGACTTCTTCGCACCCGGCAGCGCAGCCCTGGTATCTCTCCGACTCTCCCCACTCCTCGCAGCAACAGCCTTGTAAGCACTCTCCCCCTTCCCACCTCCATAAATCCCAAGTAAATGTATCATCAATCCAACACCCTTCCCACCACATAGTATAACCGGCGCAATCGACCAACAAAACTCCTGGTCCAACCTCGCAAAATCCATCCCCCACGGTTCCCGCCCCAAGCACGCCCCAGACTGGCTCTACGACCACGTCTGGCGCCTCATCCCCGTCTGCGCCGTCACCTACCCCCTAACAATCCTGCTACTCGGTCTCAATCTTTTCTTGGGCCCGATGTCCAAGGAGGCGTGGAGGTGGTATGGAACGGGATTCGTGTTGTTTGTTGGACATTGCTTTCCGTATCGGAAGGCGAGACGGATTCGCTGCGCGCTTTGGAGGAGGGGGTTGGATGGGGAGGAGGCGTTTGAGAGTCTGAGGACGTTTACGGACTTTCATGGGATGAGGATTGTGTTTTATGATTTGCCGGCTTGGGCGGTGGTTTTTGTGGGGGTGATTTCGCATTTTACTTGAGGAAAGAGGGGACGTAACCTAGTGGGTGTTGTGTGTGGAAGCTGCCCCAGAAATATAGCATCAACTTCGTTGAAGTACTGTATTAGTTGCTTTGTTACGAAACAAGCTCCTATTAACAGTCAATCTCTTTAGTTGCGGCGTGTTCATTCTATATATGCAAACACCAATTACGTTATGTTGCCAGGAATTCTAAGCAGGAAAACCTTCCATTTACCAGTGCTATGCTGGCATGATTATATGCCTAGGAGTGGACTAGGCTAGTAGTATACATTGAATGGGGCGCTAGCTAGTGAAGTGTGACTGACCGATGCACTATTTCTAACATACAATCATGACTTCTCCGTGTTCTACTCAAGATTAGACGGCCTCTCCTGCTTTGTCCTTCTTTCTCTCCTCAATTCCATAGTCTGTCTTAAGACCAGTTCTCAGAGCAACCTCCATCTCCACAAATACCAGCAGAAAAGCAAGGCCCGCAACAGCAATCGCAACTTGCCATACACGCTTCAAGCTATCATTGTAGCCGGCAATAATTTGTGCTCTCAAGATAGGCCGATCCGAAAAGGAGTCAACGAAGTCTTTCGTCGCGTGTTCATAAGCCCCGCCGTCTTGCAATAGCGCTCTCGTTGCTGGATCGCCAATTTGCATCGCAAGCTGGGAAAACCGATTGTTGAATACTGCGCCAGGAATTGAGACGCCCCAAATGATGCCAAAACTGCGGAGGAAAGCCCAAGTTCCCGTTGCAGTGGCGACATCTTGTTCGCCCAACGGCGCGAGGACGGCTGGAAGAGTAGTGGACGAGATGAGACCCAGTCCAGCTGCAATGAGAGCTTGATAACATACCCAGGCCGCAGTGCTAGATCTTGGACCTAACAACGTGAAGCATCCAAGTCCGATCATGGCTGAAGCAAATCCCACCCAGTGAAATGGTCGATATTTCCCAAAACGGGTGAGAAGCTTGCCACTTATTGCAGCGAAAGGTATCATAATGAGAACTGTCGGAAGCAACTGAATACCGGAACGTGATGGCGAAGAGCCATAAACGCCTTGAAAATATATTGGCAGGTAGTAGACTACCCAGTAAAGGAGAGCTGTTTGAATGAAAGCCAGGGCAAAAGCAGCTGCGCTGGTACGGTTCATGAAGAGTTTTGGTGGCATTGTGGGCTCAACACAAAAACGCGATGATTCAAATGTTGAGAATAATCCGAGTCCCACGAATCCTAGGACGAGCGGAAGAATCACTCGCCAGGATGACCAAGGAAGTGTAGTTCCACCCCAAGTTAGTGCCAACAAGATGGCAACAACGGACGGAATAAAAACAGCATTCCCGACGAAGTCAATGCGTTTGAGGCGATGGCTGATAGAGGAGTCCTTCTTGTAAGTTACTCGGAGGAACAGAATCGTTAGCAGTAGAGCTAGACCACCCATGGGAAGGTTGAGGAAGAAGACCCATCTCCAAGTTGTCCTCTGAACAATGATGCCACCCACGAACGGTCCAATTCCGGTTCCAATAATGACTGTAGCAAAGAGATAGGCCATGAAGCTTCCACGCTCTCGAAGCGGCACAATATCCGATATGATCAGGTTTGTCAACATATTGAGACCACCCCCACCAACACCCTGAATTGCACGACCAGCAATCAAAATGGACATATTCTGTGCAGCACCGCATATCGCGCTTCCCACTATGAAAACTGTTGTAGCGAAGATCATGAGATTTCGTCGTCCCAGAATGTTCGCCATTTGGCCATAAAGTGGTTGAAAAACCATGCTAGAGTAGTATTAGACTCGTCTGCAATTGGAGATGAATGGTTCGCTTACTTACCTGGTCAAGAAATACGAATTGACCGCCCAGATATAGATTTCCTGTCCACCGAGCCTCTCAACAATGGTGGGTAATGCCGTCGAGACAATCGTCCCTTCTAGTGATGACAAGACACTTGTAACACAGAGAGCCACGATAATACTCCAGAAGGCCACACCCCGCTTGCTCTTCCCTGTGTCAACATTCTCTTCCGCAGGCTCAGCTTCGTTTATAGCGGGTCCAGGTCCATCGTCTTGAATGACTGGCGCCTCGTCTGTCGTCTTTTGCACGTTATCCTGGGCACGAATGGAAGGAGAGGAAGACGAATTTGGTGCAGTTGTCGCCGTCGCCATCGTCAAAGGTGATGCAGACGCATGGGCGGTCTCGTGTGACTCAAGTGCTGGAGTTGTCATTGTAGTAGTCACGTTGAAGAGAACTGCTCAATCGTGAAAGATGAGGAGACCAGAAGTCTCTGATAGAGGAAAATCAACACGACATGAGAGAAAAAGCTGAGATAGTTCTTAGCGCTGACTATCCTTTGACCACCAGCTGTTTGCTGTGTTTCCTGAACTTCTTCCATCACAATTGTGAAAGCATTCGCCATTCGGCATTCGAGCCTGCCGTAAATGTCTATGGCAGATGTGAATAATTTATGCTCGGCACTTCCATCTTCCGGCCAATGAAAGGGTTTGGTAAACACCTTCCGAATATTTGTGTTACACAGTGCCAAAATTCGGTAATGCATGCACACCCCCTTCCAAGCTCAGTACGCACCAGCGAAACCCCTATTGGCTACCTAAGCTCGCTAAAGTACTACGTGGGTACTGGATGTAAAATGGTTTATAGCGACACCAAGCAGAAACAGCGAATTGAAAGAAAAACAGATACAGCATGTCTCCAACTATCTACAGCTAAGCACTTGAAATAAGTGGATCCCGAGCCCACTTGCCATCCGACTCCAACGTCATCTTCTGCGATGAGATCAAGTACCCAAATCCCAATTGTTTGATCTTCCCAATCCATTCCAAGCCAGGCATTCTAGCGAAGTCCTCCTGTTCTCCAATATGGCTCTCAAGATACCCAGAGAGTTCGCTTGCAGACAATTTCACCTCGGCGTGGTGGTGGATATATCTTGGACCCGTCTCAGCTGCTTGCTCTTGACTTGCCATCTTGCAAATTGCGGTTGTGACAGTGTCGAGAGGTAGAAGATCCATCTCACCCGTCCAGCCAGTTGCAAACGGAAGGACCTTCATCTGTCGCGTGAGGTCTAGGAATTGTTCTAAGATAGCAGACGAGGACCCGGAAGTCTGGGATGTTGCAAGTGTGCGATGAATCGTAATTGGGATACCAAAGGCTTTGGAAGCCTTTTCCAGAATCTTCTCACTTGCCCACTTGGACGCCACGTATCCATCAGAGCCGTCACTTGGCGAGGCCGAGTTGTCAAATTTGAGAACTCCCCCAGAGCTGATATATTGGATGGGAATTCGGCGGGCCGCTGCCATCTTCGCTAACTCTTTTGTGCTTGACACATTGGCTCTCCTTAACAATTGGTAGTACTCCCAAAAGGAGCGTTGAGCGCCGCTATGGATAATGATATCAACCTCTTGTGCTAATGCCTTGAATGTATCCTCATGCAGGCCAAGTAGCGGTGCGGTCAGATTGCCAGAGTATACCATCAATTTATCGGACTTAAATGGAATGCGGTTTTCCCCACGAAGAATGCAGCAAACTTTAGAGATTCCAGCATCGTTGATAAGAGTCTCGAGAATCTTTTTGCCAAGAAAACCGGTTGCTCCTGTGAGGAGTACCATCTTACCCGTAGATGTAGAGGTTTTGGTGAGAGGTTCGGCGGCAATTGAGGACGATGATATTGAGGAAACCGAAGTTTCTTCATCCCAGTCGATTGATCCTTCTGGCACTGCTTTCTCAATCTTCGAGGCCATGGCACCAAGCGTGCTTGCTTCAAAGAAGTCGAAAAGAGGTATCACCACATCAAACCTTTCTCTAACCAGTGCCTGTACCCTCACAAGGATCCCCGAATTGCCTCCAGCGTGAAAGAAATCCGTGTCCGAGGTGAAGTCATTGAATTCAATAACTTCTTTGGCCAAAACAGATTCCCATACTTCCTTCAACTGATGCTCAGTATCCGTGAGCGGGTGAGCGAGCGTGGATTTCTGACCCTGTGGAATAGGCAACTTCTGAATTAACATCCTGTCGATTTTGGAATGGGCTGTGATTGGCAATGACTCCAACGGTATTATTATCACCGGACGCATGTATTGTGCCAAAGGCAGACTTGGAAGTAGCCGCTTCAAAAAACCAGCTCGGTCTTCAAGGGGATATTCAACGGAAAACACCACATGAGCCACGAGAATATTCGACTCAGCACGGAACGAGACTACGGCTTCCGAAAGAGCCGGTTGTGCAGCCTGTAGTATGGTATTCTCAATATCCTGTAACTCGATTCGAACGCCCATAAACTTGACTTGGGTGTCTCCGGATATTCTCCCCTCTAGTAACAGAGCACCGTCCTCGCGAAGGCGACCACGATCGCCTGTTCGAAGCATCTTTTTCCACCCCTTGTCCAAAAGGTCACTAGAGGTAGCATGTAGGTTTTCTGGAAAGGTCCGAGCCGTAAGTTCATCGTTATTGAAATATCCCTCAGCAACGGCCGCGCCTCCGATGGCTACCTCGCCAGTAAAACCCACCGGAAGTGGCTTCCGATTCTCATCAAGAATATAAGTGGAGGTATTGCGGATGGTGAAACCTGCGGGGATAGGATTGGAAGAGGTCATTGATACAGGCTTAGTATAATCTAACTCCGCCGTATGACACGAGATGGTAGATTCAGCGGGGCCATAAAAGTTGAAAAGACGAAGTCCAGATTTTGATAGCTTGTAGAATGCTTGTTTGACACTTGGGGTCAGTGCTTCACCACCAGATAGCGCGTATGCTAGTTTTGATGATTTCAAGGAAGACCCGTATTTCAGCCAGCTTAGGTATTCCGTGGGGGTCGCTAGGGTCAATGTAATGCCTTCTTCAGTGATCAGGTTTGTGATTGAGATAGGGTCTCGGCGCTTCGAGTTTGGAACCACATAGACAGATCCGCCACAGGTGAGCCCCATGAGCATTTCCCACAAGGATAAGTCAAAGCTAAACGCACTTTGCTGCATCACTACTTGATGACTGATGCTGAGATCGGTAACATATTGTTCCATCTGATTGACCAAAGAGGAGTGTTTCAATAATATACCTTTCGGGATACCTGTCGATCCACTGGTATAGATGATTGCAGCCAGACTCTGAGGTGTTGCTCTATTTGTCAAGGGTGACGCTGGTTCGTCGGAGAGGCACGAGATATTGAGTTTTTTCATGTTTTCCCGTGTTAGAGAACTCGCAATCTGCAAAGTGGTAGCGTGGAATAGAATCGCTGCAGGCTTACAATCCAGTACCATGGTATTGAGCCGTGCATGTGGGATTTGCGTATCCAAAGGAAGATAGATATGACCGAGTTTCCAGATAGCAAGCAGAGAACATATCCAATCCGAGGTCGGCTCTTGAAGAACCCCAATGATCGATTGTGGCTGGATATTACAGGAAAATAAGGCAGCCGAGATTTGATCGATCCGACGAGACATGTCCTTGAACGTCATTTTTCCAACTTCATCTCTGAGAGCAATGTCGGATTTTCGATCCTTGATTATGCTATCAATCTGATGCCCCAAAGTAATAGCCCATTTCGAGTCGATTTCCGGTCCTGGCAAGTATTAGCTGGATTTCAAAGAAAGCGGAAATGAGAAGTCAAAAGTGACTGACCTCGCCCAAGCGCGAGTGCTTCTTGGATGCTTGAAGCGCTGAATATCGGTATCAAACTTATAGTTAGGGAAGGATTGGAAGAGACCCCCTTAACGATATTCACAAAGTAATCCAGTATTCTTTCGCAGACGGATTGGGAATAGAGCGATTCTTGAAGCATAAAGGATATTGTGGAATCGCCCCCTGGGTTATCGATAATATCTAAAGATATATCGTAGGAGCTTCGCGCAATCTGATAATTAAGGCCCTCTACTTCGCAATCGCCAATATACCTCTTCTCTTGAACCCCTTGTCGGTAGTTGATGAATGCTTGAAACAGAGGTGAGTGGCTCGCAGATCGGGGCACGTCAAGTATTTCCAGGAGGACGTTGAAAGGGACATTGCCATTCGTTAAGGCGGAATAGGCTTTCATCCGTGCCTCTTTCAAGGCATCTTTGAATTCTTGGCTGGGGTCTGTACGGAACCTTAGAGGAAGAAGATTCATGAACATCCCCAGGCTTGATATGATAGTGCTGTTGGTTCTGTTGGCGTCGGCCATCCCAATACAGATTTCTTCAGTGTCCAATATCCTAAAGAGCATTGACTTGAAAGCAGCTAGATAGAAGTGAAATGGGGTGACTTTCTGTTCCTTGCACACGTTTTTAATCTTGGTGGCTAGTTTAGCACGGATTTTGACTTCGGATTTCACGAAATTGTATTTCGACAGGTTTTGGCGACATCGAGTTTGTGAGAATGGAAGTAATGGTAAAGTAGGGGTAATGTCCGAGAATGAATCTTTCCAGTAGGCTAGTTCAGGGTTCATTCGACCAGCAGTGACGTTTTCGCGTTCTTCTAATGAGAAGTCGCAATAGCTTTGAGGCGGGGATTCGAGCTTTTGATCTCCATAAACCTTTGCCAAGTCTGACAAGAAGAACTCGAGACTCATGCCATCCATGACGATATGATGGTAGCCAATAATCAAGAAGTGTGACGTCGAAGTTAGAGACAGTACTTTGAATCTAAACGTGTCGCCGTGTTCCAAGTCAAAGACGTGAGCACGCATTGCATCGTGTTCGCGCGAAATCTCTCGTTCGTTTGTGATACTTTGATGTTCTAACTGAATTCTTGATTGTGGTAAGATGCCCTGGACATATCCGTAGTCTTTTCTTTCAAAGAATGCAGTACGCAAGACTTCGTGAACCTGTGCTACTTTCGAAACTGCTTTTTCAAGTTGAGATATCCTCAAAGGGCCGCTAAGACTACCTGAGCAAACAATGTTGAACGTTGTCTGGTCTTCTAGAATGTTTCTCATTGACCAGAATCTTGACTGTCCAAAACCCATTGCTTCAGTTCTGACGAAATGAAGCTCATCAACAGGCGTTGTTGACGCAGAAGATGTGGTGGGCGCTGTGGAGATCGATTCTTTGCCTTCTATGCTTAAAGTGACAGAATTCGTCGCTGAAACTTTGCTTTCAGAGGCAGGAGTTTCTCGGCCTGAAGGATTTGACTTATCGGGGTCAGAGAGTCTTATGTTTGGAGTCAATTCCTGGGGCAGTTTTTCCAGCGCCAGGTCAAGGATTTCTCCAATCGTAGCGCCTCCGAGAACTTTGAGCACCTGTATGTCTACAAGATACTCCTTAAGAAACCATGAGCGGATTTCTACTGCAATCAAGGAGTCCATTCCCAACTGGTCGGCTCCTTGAGAGAGTATAGCTTTTTGCTTGTCTCCTGATAAGTCTTGTAATTGGAGGGAAACCTTCAGTTTCACTAGGAATGAATCTTGAGATCCGTTAGCAAGATATCGCGACAGGAAGAAAGATGAAGCTACCTTTGATTATTTCATAAGCTTCTTTCTCTGTGGTTACAATAAGCAATCGGGACTTCAATGACACGGTAGCTGCAGAGTCGTTTGACTTGGCCGCAACACTTCCATGTTGATTTGCGCAATGCTGGAACTTTGGATTATCGAACCACTGCCTCTCAAGACCTTCCTCTGATTCAACTCGCCGTGCACCCACTAGGACTTCGCATTTGTGTGGATCTTGGAAATCTGAATGGCCACGCACAATTGCTTCGGCAAAGGACTGGTGGAAGTCTCTTTCGGACAGCCACAGCCATCCTGCCCGGTCAAGAGACCTCAATAGAGATGAACTACCTTCTCGAGATACTACGTAAAAGGTTATAATGGGTCCGGAAAAAGAGTGGACGGATTGGGACATTAATTAGCGGAAGCTGGGGTGTTTAGGGGTAACATACCATAACCAGCACCCATTATTGCGCCAAGATGAAGAATCGATGCTGCTTGACCCCTGCTTCTCCGCTGAGCTGCAAGCGCCGCCATGAAAGCATTTGCCGCACTGTAGTTTGATTGCCCACGATTTCCGTATATGCCTGCAAGAGAAGAGAAGAACACACAAAACTCAAGCTTGTCGTCGTGGAATATCTCATCGAGATATCTGCTCCCATCAACCTTTGGCTTAAGGACTTTTACAAGAGTCTCGAGATCAAGGTCACGGATAAGGGTATCATGAAGAACCATAGCCCCATTTGCAATTCCACCAACTTGTGGGCATTGATCCCTAATTTCTCGGCAAAGCTTTTGTAATGATATTTTCTCCGTGATATCACTAAAGCCGTTAGCCTTGATGAAATTCCTGGTATCCACTTATTAACTTACTTTGCAAAAACTTTGATTGATGCGCCTATGCGCTCCAGGCTTCGAATCCAAACGGAATCAACGTTGGGTTGTCGACTCGTAAGCACAACATGTCTTGCTCCTCGTTGGACCATCCAGGTAACCAAAGATTGCCCCAGGTTACTTGTCATTCCAAATAATATGTACGTTTTGTTTGAAGCAAAGAGATTTCTGGAATCGACGGGATTTAAAGGTACTGGTAAAGTCGAACTTTCCGTCCAATCAACGACGGTGAGGTTCTCAAGATTGGAGACTTTTATTACATCTTCCACACGTATGGCTGGCGCCCCGGGAATGTTTGTGTTACCGATTAAGGCCTCAGATAACCCAGCAAAGAATTTGGATACTCTGACGCTGGGATCCTGGCCAGATACTCGAGCATTCTCCCCGAAGACAGAAGCGAGACTAATGACCCGGCACCAAGAAGGTATACATGGCTCGATTATCGACCTGACATGAGTCAAAGCGGTCATGTCTAAGAAGACTGATATGTCCTCTGGAAGTGACTGTTTGATGTCATCGTTTGTCGACATTGGATGAATGAAGATCCACGGGCCAGGCAAGTTTGAATTCTCTGGCATATGAGTTGTAAATCTTATCTTCAAGTTCCTTTCTGCGGCAATCTTCGAAAGAATGGCTGTCATTCCTACCTCAGGCTCATGTATCACAAAGGTTGTTGACGGAGAGTCCGATGGGACAACCGCCTGGGCGATAAGATGAAATCCAGCAAAGCGTAGGGTTTGCGCCTCTTGCCCAGCTGGTACGTTGCAATCAGCTATCCATTCGGAAGGAACTTCAACCATTGATGCATTAACTTTAGAAAATGCCAGAACATTCTTTCGAGTCTTGACGTCCGTCCCAAGTACAAGATACAGAAAAGATGTTCTGGATACTTGTATCGGAGAAAGTAATGAGTGAGTAACTTTGAGAAAAATGGTATCAACGGATAGATCAGCTTCCAAATTCTCTTTGATGCTGTAAGATGCTTTGGAGCGATAAAGTTGGACGGGGAATTGTGCAGGGTCGACCTCTTTTGTTATTAGACGACGCCCAGAGTTGTAAACATCATTTCGAGGTTTGTCTGCTATCAGTCGAGGTACAAACATCCGACCGTTATGCTGGCTAATCTCTGGTTCCTTGGACCAAAGCATGTTACCCTGGACTCTCATATTCTCCCAAACATCCAACAAATGTCCCATCAAAAGGAACTCGGCAATGACTTTAGGATCCGCAGCTTGTGTGTGATCAAAATCCAAGAATTGCAAGCGGACATGTGGCAGCTCTTCTGCCAAGGACCGGCCGAATCCCACAGCGATATTAGAATAAGGGACGGCAGCCCTTGAACCACGAGTCACCCACAGTACTGTTCTTGCTTTGTCGAATAGAAGCTTAATTCCGGAAAGCTTTCTTTTGGTAATGCTTTGGAAGGTAGGTACATCCAGATCGGCTAGGATAAGAATGGCACTAATTGGAGTGACAGTATTCTCTTCGATGTCTTCCAAGGTATCGAATTTGTGTATTTGATTGCAATAAGGGGACAGGAGATCTCCGACTGGGTCGACAACTTGCGACTCTTTGCCGCCAATGATGATTAGTTTAGGTATATTTGCGACTGCTGGGGGTGACGCCAGTGGTTGTCGAAGAGCCACTATACGGTCATCGACAGCCTGAGATGCAATAACAAATCCAGGCCGTACCATGAAGTCGACCTCGGGAGTCATTGATTCTATACCAGAAAATCCGGTCTTGCGTAACACAGCATCCCATTGTGTAGGATTGATACATGGCGATAAGGTCCGGTCATCGTCAACACCTAACCACCAGCCAGGTAAACCACTGAAAATGAATCCCATTCTTAATGGTGGGGGGCTTGTAAGCTCGCACATGAGCAAAAACCCTCCTGGCTTAAGTAAACGACGGACATTGTGTAATGTGACCTGGATATTCTTGGTGGCGTGCAAGACCAAGGATGCAATAATAACATCATAGGATCCTGGAATGAAGCCCTGTGATTCAATATCTTTCTCAATGTCCAAGACCTTGAATGTCATTCGGTGGCTATACTCTTCGAAAACTTGCTGTGCATTCTCGAAGAAACCAGGGGATATGTCGGTGAAAGTATAGGACGTAAACGCTTCGCCCATTTCCTTCAGAGCACTTTTTGTAGCCCCACCTGTTCCAGCGCCTGGCAGATGCTCAGTACTGGCACCTATCATGTGGAGTGAATACATACCAATTTCTAATATGTTTGTCTGTGGGTAACGATGAGCTAGTTGTTTGGCCATCCTTCCTAAAAAGACGGTCTGTTCTCCCACGCCTGTTCCTTCAGCGTAAAGCCTTTGAAGCATATTATTGTGCATCATGAACTCGAGAATCTGCCTTTCCCCACGAACCGCAGCAGGTAGGTTCTTCCCAACAGCTCTAATCAATTCAAGCTCGAAACTGTTCGGGTACCTTTATGTGTTAGAGTATAATCGTCCATTGGTGTATTTTCTACTAACCTATTTCCCATCTCGATTATATCCTCTTCACTATTGTCGAGCCACTCTTTCTTCCAAAAGGTAACGTGAGAATTCTGGACTTTTGAGATGGTATCGGTAGCATAATGACGGAGATGGGCATGATGCCATTCGGATTGGGCCCATTCAGTGTCTGATACCTCATCCAATAGTTTTTGCATGTAGTATAGAGCCGTCTGTTCAGCGACAGAAGAAAATTGATATTCCTCATTTGTAGGTTTGTCATCAGCTGCCGCTACCTCGCCGTCAACTGCCGCAAGGCCCCAATCAATCCTAGAGAATAAGGCGCGGTCGAGGGCAGGACTTGAAGGTGCAAAAGGAACGACTTCTACACCCTGAACTTGTAGCACAGCGTCATTGCCACCTGATGCATAGACGGAAACGTCTCCACTAACCCTTTTTCGAGATCTCTCCATCAGAAAGCAATTGAAAGGAAGATCTGCCTCGTCCTTGAGATTTTGGCACAGTGTTGGATTGATCTTGATGCTCTTTATCTTTGTCGGAACATGGAGCTCTTTCAGACTACCATCTCCTGGCCAGCAAAAAGCCAAGAACAATGATTGAAATGTCGCATCTAGAAGACCTGGATGAATGATAAGCGAGGTTCCAGGAATCAGAGAATGAGGATTAGCAAGAAGTCCGATTCCGACATCCAGCTTTCTCTTCATATCAAACAAGGCTCGGAAGGGTCCAGAATAGCCATAACCAAGTTGTGCGAGAGATTCGTAAAAAGGGTCTTGATCCACATCCACGAGGTTCGAGGGCTGATAAGTTTTTGGTGGTAACATAGAGGCCACCGAATCACCAAACACAAGCTGGACGCTCCCGCTCGCCATCAGAGTGAGAGTGTCGGGACTTTTCCCTAAACCCGCGTGGTATGTGAACTTGGCAGTCACGAGAGAGTCTTGTGTCTCAATGTTTGTCAGAACAAAAAGAATCTCGACGCCTAGATCTTCTTCGAAAGTCATGGATTTTACAATAGTGAGATCTCGAACCTCCAAGAGCTTGATTGATTGACCCTTTGCAAGCTCCTTTGCCGCTTCCATAGCGGTAACAACATATCCTGCTGCTGGAAATACCATTTGTCCCTGTAGCATATGGCCTGAAAGCCACTGAATCTCGCTTGGACGAAGGAGATTTTTCCATCGAAGGGATTCTTCGTTACTGTCTTCACAAATTGTACCGAGCAACTCGTGGGCGTGAGTTGATCTAGTACGATACATCTTGGTGCTTCGCGACTCAAACCAGAAAACCCGATCATGATCCCATGAGTAAGACGGCAGTCCTTTGAGAACCATTGGAGCCTCATTGCTTCCCGACAGGATGTCATTCAGGTGGGGTATCTGAATAGATTCTGATCCAAAATGCCCCCAGACAAATCCCAAGGCATCTGATAAGGTTGTCATGGCATCACCGCCTCTTTTCAAAGTCCCAGTGTAAGGGAGAGTGTCCATTGTAACATCCTGAAATGTCTGCAAGGTTGGACCTTGGAGTGTTGGATGGGGGCCTATCTCAATAGCAAGGTTGAATGGGCCACTATTTGCGATTGCAATCTTGATAGCGTCTGAAAATAGAACTGGATTGAGCATATTATTGTTCCAGTAGGCGCTCTTGAGATCAGTACGAACGTTATTCATTGCAATGTTGTCCACACTGGAGTACCAGATACAGGCAGGGATAGCAGGTGAAAAGACCTCGATGTTACATGCAGTCAAAGCCCTTGTATATGAATCGGAACATGCTTTCATATGGTGAGAATGGTATGCCGTATCAACGCGAAGGATCCTGGCAAATTTGCCCTCATCCTCAAGAATTGCTTTGATTTCCTCAATGGCATCAGCGTCGCCTGATAATGTAACACTATTGGAGGAATTGCAAGCAGCAACACATATGCGTCCCTCCAACTCGGGAAATGAACAAAGATCAATCGCATCATCTGGTGAAGTTCCTGCAGCAAGCATCGCACCTTGTTTTGATGCACGGCCAAGATGAGCATAAAGCCCTCGGTAATATGCGATGGTGATAGCGTCACAGGCAGAGATATAGCCTGCGGCATATGCAGCAGCTATCTCTCCCGAACTATGTCCAATGACTGCTTTAAACTTGAGTCCAGCTTCGTAGAGAAGGTCAACCAAAACAATTTGGACTGCTGTGCACAATGGTTGGGATATCTCAGCTTGATGAAGTCGTGATTTTGATTGTTCCACCAAGAGCTCCTCTCTTAAAGTCCAGGATGGGCGATCATCGATGGGAAGCCCCGCGAGCCTTCTATCGAGGCGAGCGATGACCTTTTCCACATAAGGTGACCCATTAATGAGCTCTCGTCCCATATTCGCCCATTGCGCACCTTGCCCTGTAAATATACCCAAAATGGAAGGAGGCATTATTGACATTCGGTTGCCAATATTCTCTTTCTCAGAAACAATCAGGTCAATCCTAGATGAGAGCTGGTCCACTGTCGAAGCAGAGACTGAAGATCTGACTGGGAGATTAGATCGTCTGGAGTGCAAGGTGTAAAGCAAGTCCCGAAGGCTGAGAGATGTGTTGATCCTGTTTTCCACCAGTCCATAGTCAGCTTTTCTCTTCATTTAACCTCTTCAAAAAATATCTGGAAAACTCAAAGACTGAACAAATATTCCCGAGAAGTACGATAGTAATGGTAAATTGGAAAGTTATGATAATCTTTCAGGTCCCGAAAAGCGCCGAAAAGCCCCATGATTGGGGAACTACCGTAGATTGATAACTTACTTGAGATATGTAGAATATCCTGCCAGCGTTTGAGCAAGCGACTGAGATGTTGCAGCTGAGAATACAAAAGGCATAGACGTGGAGAGGGCGGAGGGTGTTTTTGTAGGTTCTGGGTGCTGCAGTTCATAGCTCTCGAGAATAACGTGAGCATTGGTACCCCCAAAACCGAAGCTGTTTACGCTCGCACGGCGTGGTTGGCCATGTAAGACAGCCGGCCAAGGCAAAGCCGTCACCGGGACCTCGATGTTGCCGTAGAATGGGCGAATTTTGGGATTGAGGTTTTTAAACAGCAAATTTGGTGGAATAACTTTGTTTTTGAGGGCAAGTGAGGCTTTGATGACTCCTGCAAGACCCGCAGTACCTTCTGTGTGGCCAACCACGGTCTAAAACTACTAATTAACTTAAATTATATATGCTAATTACCCAGTGATCAGGTAGAGAGAACTACTATGAAAAAGGAAAAGACTAAGAAAAAAGAAGATTAATATACCTTGATTGACCCAACGTAAAGCTTTTCGGAAGCCCTGCTCTGACCTTTTGGGTGGTCTGCCCCGAAGAACACGGTGTGAATGGCTTCTGCTTCGATGGGATCTCCAACAGGTGTACCTTATGGGAACAAAGTATTAGAGTTGTGTATCTTGGCTGAGTTTGGATAAACTTTTAACAGAGAGATGAAGGAATGAAAGTGTTGGTTACCAGTCCCGTGTGCTTCAAAGTATTGACAGCGATCTGTTTCCTTACGTGGGTCTAGCCCTACCTTCGCATAAGTTTGTTGAATGAGGCTTGCTTGAGCTCCTGCACTAGGCATGGTAATTCCTGTCGTTCTTCCATCCTGGTTGACCCCACTTGACCGTATAATGCACTCAATATCATCTCCATCTTCAAGAGCTGCACTAAGAGTCTTCAAAACTACTGATGCAATTCCATCTCCTCGAGCATAGCCATCAGCTTCAGAATCCCACATGCGGGATCTGCTCCCTGGAGACAGCATCTTCAATTTGCTTTCGCCTATATATGGCTCTGGGGAGAGAATAAGATTTGCCCCTATAAAATATTTCTGAATCAGCACATCCGTTTCAGAAAAGTAATTTGTGTAACAAAATGAATTTAGGAAGGAGCAAGACTATCTCTAGAGACAGGATCTCGTGACTCCCATATTTTTAATAACAGAAAAGAATAATACAAAATTACTAACCAGCAGCGACTGCTACCCGAGACTCTCCAGCGTGGAGAGCACCGACAGCTTGATGAACCGCAACAAGACTGGATGAACAGGCGGTATCAATAGTCATAGAAGGGCCATGCCAATCAAAGAAATATGAAATTCGATTTGACATGATACTCCTTGCTGTACCAGTAGCCATATATACTGGTTACAATTAGCAGCTGAAAATGAAATAGAGAATGACATGACCGGCGTACTTGGAGTTGTATCAGGGTCGCGAAGGAGATGGTTACTATATTCTTCGCACATCAACCCAACGAAGACTCCTGTTGGGGAGCCTTGGAGACTCTCAAGGGGGAGACCAGCGGATTCAAGAGACTCATAGATGGTTTCTAGAAGTAGTCGCTGTTGGGGGTCCATCGAATTAGCTTCTAGTGGGTTAATGTTGAAAAATTGTGCGTCAAAATGGCGATGGTCGTCTGAAAGCAGATAAGATTCCTTGACATCTGTAGTACCGTGATGCATTCCATCAGGGTGATAAAATCCCTCCGGATTAAACCTCTCCACTGGAATCTTGGTGAGCACATCTTTTGGCTCACTCAAAAGATCCCACAACTTTGAGGGGTTCGTTGAATTGCCAGGAAACCGACAGCCTATGCCTACCACGGCAATCGGTTCGTCGCTAGAAGAAACCATGCTAGATGGAACTTGGAATGTCGCTGAGTTTGATGTATGACGCCAGAAATTTCTCAAGACAAAGTTGAAGCTTGACTATCGTTTGATACAACTACAGAAGTTATGCCATAGGAATTCTGCACTTTAGTCATCTTTTCAGTCCTTCAACATCCATATGCAATATTTCCATATGCTATACGCTATGTTAAAGGTGCGAACATGCTCGTTGCTCTTGCGGTATATCGAAGTCGGTCCCCCGAAACGAATCGATAATAGTCCGAATGATCATTTTGGAGTACAGTGACAATTCCGATCCGCAACATGCATTGTTAGGGTAACGGTCTACGTAGATTCAAGCAATACCTGAAGTTCAGATGCATAAGCTCGGAGGGAGATAGAATTTGGACCTCACCGAATTGGCGTTCAGCTGGATCCCGGTTCGTGAACCATGAAGTGAGAGGCACACTGGCTGACAAAGGGGCTTGTCCGACCATTTTGAGATCACAAGTATCGTAATGATACTAGATTTAACGAGACGCATTCCATATCGACGATCAAGCGTATTACGGGGGCAAGCTTTGTATCCGATTCGCGGAAATGGTGCTCGAAGATACTTAAGCAAAAGGTTCGCCGAATGTTCCGCGATCCACATCCACCGAGATTGTGGATCTCATCGGTGTACGACTACTATTTGACTGACGGTATAAGATATTTCAAGCAATGCTGATAATTTGTTGTCATGTGTAGTCTGTTGTGCATGGTGTGGATGCGCACCTGCCTGGGTGATGATGGAGCCCATCAGACCTTAAGGTTAGTGCTTGGCGCTTATGTAACTTCATCCACCTCACATCTCGCTTATTTTGACCAATCACAAGAATCTTGCCGAAAACCAGATGAAGTAAACAATAACGGGGTTGATGTCACAAGCTATAACAATCAAACATAAGAACTCCTCCCCGTTCACTAGATCAACCCCTTCCTTGCGAAAAATTTCATCAGTGGCATAGACTGCTTGAGCAGTTCTGATGTCGCCCAAAATAACATGGATTCACATAGCACTGATAACAATAGTTGACTGCTACCCCACACACAAAAATATACTATCTGTAAGGCTGATCCAAAGAAGAGAACTGTTCTCTGTCTAGTCTAAAGCTACCACCTGGGCAATCTTTGTAACTCTCTGAACTCCCTTTTTAAATCTGTAACTCTACAAGCGCTATCCTGAGTCCCTTCTTTGTCATCCAATCCGACCGTTTCCAGAAATGTTTCTAGCAGCGATCTCATTTGAGGTACCTTGAATAGACCTCTCTCGGTACCAGGGCTACCATTAAGCTCTATTCTCTCAGCCGAATCACCTCCATGTAGAGTGTGTTGGGGTGGGACTCCCAGTACCTGCTGTATCCTGGTGATGAAGTGGATACTAATGTCAACCAATATATTGATCTGTATTCTCCTATAGCTACCCAAAGAGAATCCGCCAATATGTAGTGATTGTGGCTTACTCTTCGTACTGGGATCACCGAGTGTGTGACTAGAGGCTTCAGAAAATAACGATGGTGATGAGGTCGAAAGATATTGCCTTATACGCGAGAACAAGGTGGCATAAATAAGAATAAGACGATTGTAACAATTTAGAAGCAGAAGTATTGTTGGCGTATCGAGTTGATTGGGTGGTGGTCGTGTCAAAGGAGGAGAGAAAGAGTGACCCGACGAGGAAGAGGTAAATGTGCTATGGCGGGCCGAAAGGTGACGAGAAAATATATTGGATCCTTCGGATTCAACGACGGATTGAATACTCCAATTAGCATTCCCACCAGGTTCAATTCCATTCAAAGATACATCGGCAGAGGTCGAAGACGCGGAAGAATTTCTTTCACTGGGTGATTGTCGCGCCTCCGTCCGTATTAGAAATTGAGTAATGATCATGAGGTAGAGCTCGGAGCTGCTGAGAATACCTCCAATTGCTTTGCCTGCGCCATCTTCGTTATGTGCCAGCTTTTGTCCAGCGGTAAATGAAAGCGAAGACAGATATTCTTCCCAGGGTGCAGATTCTAAAGTCCTCTGTTGTACGTAGAGTGAGTGCGTAAGTTCAAGGAGTTTTTTCATTTCTGATTCCATTGGAACATCCATTCCTTCATCGCCGGTATCAATAGAGGCTTCTGGTGAATCTTGAGCTGTTACATAACCACCATGCGCGCTCATAAAATCCCCAGTCGTTGTTAACGGCTGTTGTGCTTGTAAGTCGCTATCAGCGGCGTTTGACCTGGATATACCAGTACCCTGTGATGATGAGATGCCGCCAAGTGTTGATTTTGATGTGTCCCAATTTCCCCAGCAATTTAATGAGTCTATGGGAAGACTCATATCAGATGCACCCCCATAACTTGTATCTGCGGGCTGGGAAAGGATTGTGTCTCCCACGAAAGGGGCTTCAGCCAACAGGGGAAAGCAATCGGACTCGTCCCTGTGAAACTGCCTGGGTGATGATTGCCGAATTCCCGGATCGTGAGAGATTCGACGAGCTCGGTTGTTATGAGCTTGGGGACTGTCAAGGCACTCCACTTTTGCTTTCTGACAACGCTTGCACGGTTGGTAGTTGCCATTCTCTCTTATGCATCGAAGTTTCTGTCCCCGGCAGCGATCACAAGCGAACCTTGTTGGTTGCATCCTGTTTTGACTCTCGGGAAACAATTCAACTCTGTGTCCACCAAACAAGTATTAGCTAAGGCCAATATACGGATATTCCACGCTCTGAGACGTCCATACAGCGAGGCCAACTTTCTATTAGCAAGAAGTTTGTTTGCTGTGAACATCGAGCGACCTTACTTCTATTAGATCTTCTCACTGTATTAAGAAGCGCGCAGATGTTACGATGTGATGCCCGACGGATAATAAATGGTGCCAAAAGAGACTGACAACAAAAGTCGGAAGAAAAAATTAGGGTGCTAAGATTTTATGATTCTCAAAAAGAGGTTACACTCTTGCATTACTATCCTGTTCACTAGAAGTCTAGAAATATCAATGGTAGGTGTTGGTGAAGGTATACAGGGCGCCCTGTACTTCCAGGTTCACAGGATCTGTCTCCCACATGCATTCCATCCCTGCTTCTGATTTAAGCTGACCCGAAAATAACCCGGCCAGGTCCCAAAAGATTTGGCAGGAAGCACCTTCCCTTTTCATCATTCTGCCAAAGATATAAAGGGATTTAAAAGTAAGCTAGAAGTATCGGTAGAGACAATCCACAAACCATTTCAATCTTCCGAACGTATCTTAGTATTCATGCCACTCTTTCTTGCAAACTTTGCGACTTTGAAGGTTCAAAATACCTATTTCTCACGCCTTATGACAGCCTCACAATGAAAGATTACTGTAGTCACCTGTAGCATGCCGTCTTATTCTCCTATGCAAGCATTTCACCATACTAGTTGTTGCCTTGACCAGAAGTAAGCTTGCTCATTCGTTTTTACCTTCCAGCTGACAAAAGCTTGCTGAATCTGCCAGCCGCTCTGTGCTAGCAAACCACAATCCTTCTGCAAGCCTCCGGAATACTCTCCAAAACCATACATTCTATAAAGATCCTCGCATAAGTACTGGTACCACATACTCAACAGAGATTGTCTGCGATACTGTCTTGGTTCAGCTTTAATACCTCAATGAAGTCATATTGTGAAGAAAGGCCGTTTGGCATTTTGAGATTTTGGTGGAGTGATGCATCTCGCTCCTTCGAATCACCATCTCTCTCTATCTTCATAGAAGGAAACGTTCACAAGCACGTTGAAAGATTGAAAATCGTGCCCAATTGAAGAAAGAGTATCGCTGCGGTATCGTTTCTGAAAAGAATGGTTGGATTGGGTGAAGTCTCAACGATACATGTAATCACTCAATCTGTCAGATCAACCACTTCATAATAGCTTCAACAGATAAATTATTAAAGAGGCTCTGTTGGCGATTTTGTGTGCCTGGTACAGCGAATCTGCGCCGGGGAGAAAAGAAAAAGGCCATAGGCAAGCACCCTGTCGCCTCGTCAGGTAGTATCAGTTTGGCAATTGGGTGGCTTGAAAGCAAGATATCGAAGATCTGCAAGTAACAACTATAGTGAGAAATGATATTCAGGCTGCCTGTCAAGGTAATGGAAATCCAACATATACTGCAGCTATGTGGACTCATGGTAAAGGTCAAATTCTCTCTCCGGGCTAACTTCTGAATATTCTTCGGCATCATTCGAACCAGATATCCTCCAAGATAGATATGGGATAACGCTGAAATCCTGCTCTAACTACTGTAGCACTGGCAAGGGTCCATATTGCACAATCTTACTTCAATCACAAGGACTGCACTTCGTGCAACCGCTGGTGATTGCTTATTCATGTGAAGCGTTACGCCTAAAAATTGTTAAGCCCAAGCGAGAAACGTGTGTTTTGGAACGGCGGTTTTCAGAAAAAGACCCAACAATCTTACATAAGGAATTGTCTGACCAAGTACTCCACACTCAGCTTGCAAATAAAGGCCAAAGTTCCACATGATATGTTGTGACAACATCGTGTTTGATGCAAGAATATGGCGATTTCTAAGTTACAGAAAAACGCGTGAGTGTGCATATAATATGCAGTCCTCCCCATATGATCATTCACCCCTCACATTCATACTGTGGTAGATCTAGGGGCTTCCAGTTTTCAACTACGACAAAAGATTTGCCTCCGAAAGTGGTCAGATAATAATATAACGGAGCAATATTAGTGGAGAGTGGAGTCTGTATATACCCCAAACTGCCTGCTACCTCGCGGCCGGTCAATTTGGAGATACCAAACGCAGAAATCGACGCCTTTCTCTGTATGAGAATTTCGATTACCAGTACAAAAAGTCATCTCAGGCTGACAGCAATCTCTGTTGGGCCTCATGGAGCAGAATGAGACTTGCGGTGTGCTATAAGATAAGCGAGGAAATAGGGGGACCTGCTTCTCTCTGTAGAATAATGAATTTGAGCAAAATCAACAACACACGTGCTTCAAAAATCGGTAGGACATTTGCGGATTTTTAGACAACATGTTTAGAGAAATGTGAGTCAATCAACTAGCGCAATATTGTTTCAACAAGGCAAGTTCTGTTAAACCTGAAATTGGACCACTACTATCGCCCATTTCCACTATCAACCGATCGCATCTTCGCTGTCGTACCTTAACTAATACTCAATCTAGCTGTGACCTGCTCTTACTATCGCATTCTCAATGCTTACTGTTACCTACCATCACTGTCGCACACCCACTGTCGTACCTTCGCTGTCACACCCTCACTATTGTACCCTCACTGTCGCCTACTTTTTCCTGTCACCTACTTTTTCCTGTCACCTACTTTTTCCTGTCACCTGCTCTTACTGTTACCTGATCGTATTGTTACTTGAGCTTACTGTTACCTGATCTTACTGTTAGATAATCACACCATCGCGTCCTCCCTGTTACACCCTCACAATTTCTTACTCTAACAACCGCCCACTCCAACCCACCATTATTCCCTCCCTCCTTCACATCCACAACCAACTCTCTTCCCTTCCCCTTCTATTCTTCACTCCCCACTCAAGAGCCAATTAAACCTACACGCCCCTTCTTCATCATATCCCAAAACCCCATATAAAGAAAATTCAAATCCTCGCAACCAAGTACCATTCCAAACTCAGCAGCATTCGCGCATTCATACCCTTGACACCATGCTCATCGTCAGGCGGACACAGAGGGAATGGAACTCGAGATGGAGAGTCGGTAGTTTTGACAACACCTAATAGCGTTAGTGCAGTAAAGGTTGGAGAGACGGGTTATAAAAGCTTTGCTGTATTCGAGGAAGGCGGGATTCATTAATTACGAGTTTAGAAAAATCCAACCTAAAGGCGAGGTCAACGATAGCAAGAATCGTCGCAGGCTCCTCATTTTCCCGCTCCGAGGAGAATCAAGAATCGTGAAATTATTAGGGTGATACATATTAATAAAAGCCGATAAAATAGCTCATTCAATAATAATATCATCAAACCAACAAGACGAACTATAACAATTTCCACCCCCAAGTCAACAGATCATTAACCAGGTCTCCATCTGACTTTGTGTATCGACGGTATATCTATAGAAGATAGCTAACTGGTTTCTTTCAATCGCAGATGTCGTGACTCGTCACGTAGTCTACGGACCCGAAATGTAGTACCTATGTTTGTAAGACCCTCCAGTCCGGGCGTATGGTAACATGATTTTCGGTGCTTCCCATCTATGATCCTAGTCTCCGTATTCATGGCTCCGAAAGAGATGCTGCCAGACAGAGAGGGGGTACGATAGAGCCCAGGAGTAGGGGTCGACGGGGAGGACCTGCGGGAGTGTACGTCCGTATAGGTAGGTATTTAACACGTGCGAGACACGTGATGGGGTACCAAAACAGCTGGAGGGTCCATCGGGTAGCTCGGTGAGGAAAAGGGGGCATAAGAAGGTATACCCGTAGCCTAGAGGACTTGTTAAAAACTGTTAGGCTGAATTTGTTCTCCCGTGATTTACGCGTCGCCATATAAAGTAACTTTGCAATATGCGATTTGCGATTATCTTGTTGGTCTAATTGTACATTCAGGATGCCGTACTATTCAAAAAGAATTCTAGATCCGGAAAACCCAACCAGTTGGGTTTACCTCCACCGCCCCCCAGCCCCCCACCTTTCTCCCTCCGTCTTGTGGGTTCGAGTCTTCATACATACAGAATGAATCAAGTTAGACTACGTGATGAGCCTTAGTTTGAATCTTAAAGCTGAGTCATCGACCAATAAAAAGAGTGACATACTTGTTGCCGGTATAATCGGTCCCTCAACCCGCTCGTCGCATAAGATTTACAGACACGATAAGTGATATAGAGTCTATCCTCCAAAGTATACATAGAACCCAGATCTCTATACGAGAAGACATGACCAATAATCGTACACTCCAGAATCCATCATAACTTCTGCCCATTGCGAAATCAGTGACTTTGTCAAAATGGCGAAATTCCGAACATGCTCAAGTGGTAGGCCCGGGGGGGGACATATAATTATTTGGCTGTGGGGAATGATCGTAGACACTCGAATGTGGGGAATGCTCTTGGTACATCTTGTCCATCGGTTGCGCTTGTGGTCCTTGTTGTACTTGTATAGGATTCGATATCAAGCTCGGATCTATTTTGGCAGCCGCTCGATCGGGATCCGGAACCCATCCAATCTCCTCAATAGGCCAACGAATCCACAATCGGTGTTGTTCGTCCAACAAATCCCAAACTTGATTCAATAAATTGATGCCACTCCCTTGCATCCACCATCTCGTATCCATCATCTTCAGGAGGGCACAGAAATAGGCAAATATCACTATGGCTTCTTGACAATGATCACTGACGAGTTCGAGAAACCCATTGTTGACTTTGTAGAGCCAGACGAAGACTACGTCTCCCGGTTCTAGGGAAGCGTTGTTGCGCTTCATGGCGAGTGCGAGAGACATCCGTAATTCCTCTATGGCATTTGTACATAGGCTATAGGTATGTGGCTCAAGCTGGGATTCACTGATATGATAACGAAGCTCTTGCAAATCATCGGTTTCTGCTGAATACTCGAGGGAAGCTTCCTCTCTCAGATTTTCTCTCTTGCGACCAGCGACAAACATAGCTGAAAGACTGCTGTTAATAAGAGAGTGCTCATAATTTCTAATGATGAAATAGGTCCCTTTTAGTAATTCCAGCCATCCTCCATTGGTTTCATTTCTCAAAAGTAAGAAATCCTCGGAGGTACGAGAAGTCGCAAGAGTGATGAACAACGTCATTGTAGAAAATATATAGATCGAATCACAATTATCATTTGTGACGTTTGCGAGGAGTGACGTTGCCATTCTAAGGCCGCTTTGGTGATGGGCTTTGCCTTGAGCAGCATAGTATTCTCTTTTTTCGGGTAGATAATGCGCCAGGTGTAGCGCGGATATTGAGAGAATGGTATGCATCACATAATCAGCTCGAAACCCAATCTGGGGAACATTGATCCTCCATAGAGCCTTGAGAGATGGATCTGAAGATAGAGTGAGACATGTTGATGTTGTATAGTGGTGGAGGAGCTCAAGGTCTCTCAGGTTGAGGGGCAATGGATTCTGGGGTAGTGGGCTTTGGCGTAATGGGCCTATGGCAAGAGGGAGCAAAGAAGTGCCTGATTGGGCTGGAATGGGAGGAGTTGATGTCGGACTCCCGCCGGTCGATGTTGTTAATAGTAGATAATCGCATTGTACTGAATGCTTGCGACAGTTTGTACAAGCAGGACGTTGTTCATCGCACTATTGTGTGGGGTGTTAGACTATTGGGTTTCTTCATCGGTGAGTGGGCTTTTGCGAAAACACAGGACGATGATTCTGCTTCAGTGCTTGGAGCAAATCAACACAGCCGAGCTCATAAGTGGAAGCGAGCAAGTGGGTACACAAAGTACTCGATGTAGTTAGTACATCAAAGGGCAGCTTACCTTTATTTTTCTTCGCTTGCACGTCGAGCAACCGGTCCTTGTTTTGCGGTGAGGTTTCCTCGAAGCCAGCTTCATCGCTCCCAAGGTCACGAATTCAATCAATCAACCCTTCCTAGTCTCAGACTGATCTACAGCCTCCGAATGGCCTGGGCCGTGGGACTACGAGCACTCGTACAGTTCCTTCGGATTCGGTACGCGATCCGTTTGCGATAGGGCTACTGCCTATACGCAGATGCAGATGCGGATGCGGATGCAGGCGGTCCTCTGGGGCAACGCTTCGAAGGCGATCAGGGACGACAGCAAGGTTTATCTCTATCCTAATACTTCGAAGTATCCACCCTCTAGTCGTTGAGGCTCGAGAGGCTGATGCTGCAATACTCGTACCGAAAGGATGGACGCGTTGGAGATGGCGTCGTCACTACGGAGGTACTGATCAGTGGTACGAGGAAAATGCGAGAGGAGCAAGGTATGTGCGAAGTGCCATCGGGCGGCGGACTCAAGCTTTTTGATAGTTAGAGGGTGAAGTGTGTCTAGAGCGAGTCATGCACCGTGCGTATATCACGTGTGAAACAACCCAAGAGTCCGAATACGCGAACCGCTGTGGAGAGGGCGCCGCCATCATCCCCTGGTTCTCATCAAAAGGAGATCCAAACTTCTTCAACACCATCTATTTGGGGCTGTCAGTTTATACAATTCCTGCTGAATCAATGTCATCTATAATTTCAACGGTCAAAGTATCTATGAACGTATACCGGATGTCTGGTTCACTGGGAGATCAGTGTTTCGTACTCGCACATCGCACCAAACTGGCGGAAACAAGCAACATGATGGCCAGATCTCCAAGCTTAAGTACCTGGATCTTCCTAGACTTCATTCTCCATCCATTCGTTCTTGCACTCATTCTCTCATTCTCTCATTCTCTCATTCTCTAGCGTCTACCTTCTTTCTTTATTTCTTGCCTATATCCTTGCATAGTTTCCATTTATTCGTTTCCCCGCGGCATGTTCCGGGCCGATAATCCCTCACAATCCCTTCGATATGGTTTTAGAAAGCCGTTTGGTAGAGGGTGCTAAGTACAAGCTCTACCATTATGACCCCTCATTCATAGCTGCTAGCATCATGATGGTGGTTTTTGGGCTCTCTTCTGCGCTTCACCTCGCTCAACTCGGGGTGAAGAAAACGTGGTATTTTATACCTTTTGTTATTGGAGGACAGTGTAAGTTCTCATCAACCTTTTCTATAAGATTTGATGAAACTAACAGCGATATTTCATAGTCGAAGTGATTGGCTATGCAGCTCGCGCCATTAATGCCAAACAAACTCCAAACTGGGAGACGAACCCATATGCCATCCAATCCCTCATGCTTCTCCTTGCACCAACTCTTTTTGCAGCATCCATTTACATGATCCTGAAGCGAATCATAATCTTGACAGACTGCGAAAGTCATTCGATTATAAAGACGAAATGGACAACCGCCGTATTCGTTTCGGGGGATCTCATCTCTTTCCTCCTGCAATCTGGAGGTACGTTGATATTCCACCCACTCATCCAAAGTCGAGATGTATAGTAAAAGAATACTGGAACTAATCAGTAAAAAACAGGGGGAGGAATGCTAGTCCAAGCCAAGTCAAAGGACGCCGTCACTATGGGACAAAACATGATAACCTACGGCCTCTACGTCCAAGTGGCCTTCTTCGCCCTATTCATGACCGTCACCATGGTTTTCCACATCCGCATGCTCAAGGATCCTTCCTACCGTGCATCAATCCTTGCCGTACCATGGCAACAATACATCGTCGTCCTATACATCGCTTCCTTCCTCATTTTGGTCCGAAGCGTCTTTAGAATCGCCGAGTATGTGATGGGCAGTGGTGGTCCGCTTATGGGCACTGAGATGTATCTTTATCTCTTTGATGCTGCGCTTATGGCGGCCACGATGCTGTTCTTTAATATTAGACATCCGAGTTCGATTATTATGGGACGACGGGATATGGAGCGGGAAGGGAGTATACCTTTGAAAGATGTTGAGGACGGTGGGAGTGAGTTTAGACATTGAGCTGTTTGATCCGGAAGAAACTATTTGGGGGAATCGAAGTTGGAGTGGAAGATCGATACTTCGTGGCGATCGAGGAGGATCGCATTGCTTGATTACCTTTCCTGAGGTTCTCTTATTTGCTTTTTTTGCTTTGTTTTTTGATAGCGATTTTTTGAAATTCCTCCGCTATTTTTCAGGAGATGAATTAGATACTGTATTAGAACGATACCAGCACGGTACTAAAATATAATAGTAATAGTAAGAACTTGACACCCTAGAAAATTATCCAGGAATTAGTGCAAAAACAGTAAACAAACTAATAGCACAAGAACACATACATCCCCGCGCTTCGCTTGACAGCTGGAATTCTCTGAATCAGAGGGACAGCTTAGTTGAGCCTTGGCCACGTAAAAGACATAGGACCAAGGTTGTTCAAAAAAGCACCAAAAATAGTAGAGAGACTTACAAATGAATTACGAGACTTCCCTCTTGATCCGAATTCTCTTCCTGTGCTGTGTTGTGTGACAGATCGACCTCGTCCACGTTGCGAAGTTCCACGACTTCGTGTGAATCATTCTAGACTCGGATGTTGCAGTCTATTTGGCCACCACCACATCACAGGATCTGTTCTTGACGATAAGTGGAACAAAAAAAAAGCCCCGAGTATATATACATATCAAATCAAGAAATCAACTGACAATAAGGGAAGCGAGTGGTTTTAAAGAGAGCTTTCGGGTGTCGGCTAAGCTCCTTATCCCCGTATCCACCAGGCACCTAAAGCTAAGCAACAACCCCGCACAGCAGCATGAAGGTCTCCGCATGTGATAGATTGCGCTTCTCGGCCTGTGTGAGGTTGTGATGCATGGTAGGACGATGCAATGCACAAGGCTGAGTGTGCGATTCGTTCACATGTGAGAGCCAACCGATGACAACCAACACAACCGAACAGCCTCGTTGGGATGATATATATATTTTATCTGCAGCAAAACGTCGTCAGCATCATCGTGGAAATTGACGATCGTATGGAACTCCCAATCAAGCTGTTCCCCGGGTTTTGCTGCTGGATTAGGTGGGATTGTTCTCCGTGCGGCCCATTCATTTCAGCTTGCAGCAAAGTTGCCTCGGCCCCACCACATTCTAATTCCTGCACCTGGGCACTCACGGCCGCAATGAAATATCCGATGACCTGAATCGCCTCCAGCCACATGCAAACCTAAGACTAAACACATTCCTCGCCCATTGGAAGAGATTTCTGAATAGCTTCATCGTGCCGTCCGTCACTGCTGAGCACATCTCGTAGCCAAATTGGGTACGTCAACCAGCATCCCGGTGGGCAGAGCAAGCTTCCCTTCCCTCTCTCCGAGGCGAGAGACGAGCGCACGCTGACTGACCTTGAACCAGAATCTCCCTCAACCCTCACTCCAACGAGAACTCTAATTCTCAATCGAATTCAACATGGCGCCGGCCCCAGAACCTGAAGCTTTCATAGCATCTGTGATGCCACCACCCCCACCAGGGTCACCATACTCTCTTCCAGTGCCGGGCAGCCAAAAAGATGGCCATTCTGCAGTCTACCGTCATTGGCGTTGGGTGGACAAACCTCTTCCTTCTACGATCCATCCGCAGATCCAAACTGCTCACGATTCCTTCGAGTACACGGTCAAGAAGAGACCAACAAATAGGTGCTTGGGGTGGCGGCCATACGATCCGGTAAGCAAGGAATTTGGTAGATACCAATGGATGAACTATGCCGAGGTGGCCACACGAAGAAAGAACTTTGGTGCTGGACTCGTGGAGCTTCACAAGAAGGCTGGAGTGCTCGAGGAGAAATATCCCGTGGGGCTATGGTGTCAAAACAGGCCGGAATGGCAGATTACGGGTATGTCGGATCAAAATTTGAGGAGATTCCCTACTAATTGGGTAGATCTGGGATGTATGTCCCAATCACTTTACACCGTATCCCTTTACGATACTCTAGGTCCAGAGACAACGGAATATATCATCAACCATGCCCAATTGAACTGCGTTGTATCCAGTCTGCCCCATATTCCAACTCTGCTCAAGCTTGCGTCCGCTTCGAGAATTCCAACCTTGAAGTTGATCATATCTGTTGATCCTCTTGATGCAGGAGAGCGTCCTGGCTATTCCAAGAAAGCTATCTTGAATGCGCTCGCGGCAGAGGCTGGTATTACAATTCATTTCATCGAGGATGTAGAAGCAATAGGAGCTGCGTCCAATATTCCCATGAACCCACCTCGACCCGAAGATCTCATCACCATCAATTACACTTCCGGAACAACTGGGAATCCAAAGGGTGTTGTCTTGACACACGCCAATGCTGCAGCTGCGATTTTCGTGGTCAGAGTCATCTCTGAGATGAGACCAACCGACTCTCTCTGCTCGTACCTCCCTTTGGCACATATCTATCAGCGAACCGCAGAACACAATTGCTTGTCAGCGGGTGCTGCGATTGGTTATTTCCACGGAGATGTTTTGGGTCTTGTGGACGATTTGAAGCTCCTTCGTCCGACTGGCTTCAACTCGGTTCCTAGACTATTCAACAAGTTCGGAACTGCCATTCGTGCCTCAACCATCGATGCCACTGGCGTGAAAGGTACAATAGGACGACATGTCATCAATGCTAAACTGGCATCCATGAAACTTCCTCCAGGAAAAGCTACTAACAAGCACATGGTCTATGATCGTTTCTTCACTCCAAAAATCAGAGCTGCCGTTGGTTTGGATCGTACCAGGTCCATGGTTACTGGAAGTGCACCTATTGATCCTTCATTACATCAATTCCTCCGCGCGGCCTTCGCAAACGATTTCATGCAAGGTTACGGTTTGACTGAATCGTATGCCCTTGGTCTTGCCCAACACACGGGGGATTTCTCTTCCGGAAATTGTGGAGGTGTGGTACCTTGCTTCGAATTGTGCTTGCAAGATGTCCCAGATATGGAGTATCTCTCGACTGATAGTCCTAACCCGAGGGGTCAGTTGTTAATCAAGAGCAAGACCCTCTTCAAAGAGTATTTCAAGAACGAAGAAGAGACCAAGAAGTCCTTCACAGAAGATGGATGGTTTAAAACCGGCGACATCGCAGAAGTTGACACCATGGGCCGCTTCAAGATCGTCGATCGCGTAAAGAACGTCCTCAAACTCGCACAGGGAGAATACATCTCGCCCGAACGAATTGAAAACGTCTACTTGGCCAACTACAACATCCTCGCACAGGGATACGTACACGGAGACTCGACACAAGCATTCCTCGTCTCCATCTGGGGTATTGACCCTGTGCAATTCGCTCCATTCGCCTCTGCTATCCTGAAGAAGAAGATTGGGCCTACAGATCTGGATGCTATTCGCGCGGCGGCGAAGGATCCTAGGGTCACCAAAGCGGTGGTCAAGGATTTGGAGAAGATTGGGAAGAAGAATAAGTTTAATAGTTGGGAGAGGGTCAAGGCTGTGCATTTGGAGATTGAGCCTTTCACGATTGATAATGAGCTTTTGACACCTACGTAAGTCTTTCCCTTAGTAGCTCAACGCGAGTATTCCGAGTATTATACTAATCTTTGCGTGATAGATTGAAACTCAAACGTCCCCAGGCTGCGAAGAAGTTCCGTGCTGAGATTGATAGGATGTATGAACAGGCTTTGGCGGAGGAATCTTTGAAGGCTAAGTTGTAGATTGGATTGGGGATCAAATCATAAGAATCACTTATGCATGTTGGATGGGTAACTTGGAAATCTGTAGGTTGGGTTGGGGCTGGAGATGAGAGACCCCTGGGGGCTTTTGATGGGCTTGGTTGGGGTTTGGATTTGTATGTAGTTTTGTAGGCTGGGGAATGCCCTTTTGTATTTATTAGCAATGATATTGCCGTGATAAGGTTTTGATGTAGTGAGGTACTAAGATGGATGTCTTTGGGATGAGGGTTCGTTCGAACCGTATGATGAAATGAAAATTCTCTAGTGCATGAGGTATGTTTGTCCGCTATCTTTGTTGGATTGTGTGCCCAGTTGGATTACATTACTCCCAGTCTTACAGTACCATTCTCAAAGGCAAAGGGGTGGTAGGTAACCTTGAAAATGGGGACTTTGTGTGGTTGTGTTTAGAGTCTTTTGATGGCGAGACGAGAATACATTGTTGGGTGTCTTCCGAACTTGCTCGGCGTGGAAATGGAAGGTCTGATTGGGGTGTGTAGAGTAGTGTACTGTATAGTGACAGTGTGATGTTGACGGGGAGGAAGAGAGGGGACGTAGAGGGAGGGAAGGAGGGAGGGGGGTAGGTAGGGAGTGGTTTTCCGGGCTTAGTGGTGGTGTTTCTTGGGTTCGTAGGTATGTACTTGGGGTGGGAGATGAGTTGAGTAGGATGGAATTTATAGGAGGTGAGAAAGGGCAGGTGGGATGATGGGATGAGGGAAGCGGAGTGAGCGTGTGAGCGAGGAAAGGGTGTGGGATTGGGGTTATGAAGTATGGAGTTGTGAAAAGGATAATCTGATGGTAGAGATATTATGAAATTATGAAATAGAAATCAAAATAGAGTGAGAGCACGTCGTGTTATCTGAGCAAATTGTATGGAGGCTTCTTGAAGGTCTTTTCTGGATTTTCTGTTGAGGTGAATGCTGTGGATGTGCCTTTTTATCGTTTACGGAGAGGAATTGGTGGTTTTCTCTTGTTTTTTGGGTAGGTAGGTAGGTAGGTGTAGGTAGGTAGGTGGAAGGAGAGTGGTTTGTCTACTGGAGGGATGGATTGAGGTGTTTTCCACCTGGGTTGTTGATGGCAAGAGGGGTCTATGGGGTTTTGTTGACTGCGCATTTGAAAGGGAGGGGGGAAGAGATAATTTACAGTCTATAGAAGTATTAGTAGTCGAGTATAGATGTTGTAATAGGTGTGGGTTTTTTCTCTCTCTTGATCTCCCGCTTGGGTTTATTCTATTACTGTAAAGGAGCTGGAATTAATTCCACATGCCTGATTATATTCATCGAGACCGAAGACTTCAAAGTAACAAACAAAACGTGCACTCCCAAATGTCGTAAATGGGCAATTTGAACCCAGTTGTCGCACCCGCTTGTTTCCGTTTTGAATTTGGATTTTCTGATTGCTTTTCATTTCTGGAATGTATTCTTTAGATTGATTTGTCAGCCTCCTTTAATCTTTGTCAATGAGCGATGGAAGCTTCAAGTATCGAGGAATTTTTAGGGTGAAACACGTGACCACGTCTCACATTTTTCTGTAATGTTGCATGTCGCGACGGATTTCACGAGACTAACTGAGACACATATACTTGAAATCTGGGGAGAATACGGTAGCCACGTGGACCCTAGGAATGCCCATTAATTTGTGCTTAGGGGTGATCGTATGTGTTTTACGCAGACGTGGGTGTATAATGAAGTAGTAACTACCGTGATATAACCTTTTATCTCCTTCTGAAATGGGAAAAAGGTCGAGGTTTTTTACCCTTTAGGAAACAGTGTAATAGACTGTACTTGGAGAGAGTTCAAGCAATATTACAAAGTCAAGAAAACAATGGCTGACCCAGCCCCCTCTCCCACCGAACACTGCAACACAGAGAAAACTTTGTTGAAGGAAGCAACCAGAATTAACAGTTCTGCAGTATTGCACCTACGAAATAACATCCCACAAATCGTACACACAGATATTCCTCGAATGACCATAAATGGTAGAAGTCAGAAAATAATATCGTAGAATGCGGCCAGAAAAAAAGGTCCCGACGAAGTAGAAAAAAAGAGAAAGATTACAAACATTTGCGATGATACAATGGCAGGTTTCATGCAAAAGAATCCACTATCATGTAAAGCCCATAGAGTGAAACCAAATATCATGAGAAAATTGAATAAAGCCCATAACCCAAAAGGACGCATTATTAGTCGGAATGATCTACCATCAACGATATTGATAAGTGCTCCTCCAGGTCCGGTGAATACAGTTAATACTAATCCAACCATCTCTACTGCGAGGAAATATTCAAGAATAGTCAACTTCAAGTACCAGTGATGTTTACGTAGTTCGCATGTTTCCCTTGTGCCGGGATGGGAAGTATACAGTGAGTCCTCAACATGGAAGGGGTTCCATAAGCGACGGTCTTGAAGGTGGCAAGGGAGTGTTGGAAAACTTGGCGTGCTCAGATTTGGGAAATCTGTCCCAATCCACTTGATGAAATTGATGTATCGAGGAATTAGCAACTTCCGTGTGATCCACCTAGAACGATAAATATGGTATACAGGGGGTAGCGAGTGGCCTGGGGTTGAAGGTGACATGACATATTTAGAACTTGTAAAAAAGGTATCTATTGAGCTTCAATGTCAGCCAATTCCTAATGTTAGGAAGGCTTAATAAAAGTCTATACCTACCGGCGAAGCTTACTATGGGCAGAGCCAAAAGGACTATCGGTACCACTTGTCCAAAACTCCAGATATTTTGTTCTTCAAGAACTTGGTCAGGAAATGGCTGTTGTTGGCGAATTTACAGCAATCCTTTTCGCATTACTGTAATACGGATAGTTCCCCATACAAGCCCCGTGGTTATCCAGGTCATCTACAAGAGATGATTAGTTTTCGGTCGAAAGAAGGACAGCAGCTACTTACCTCCCACAGAGCCGATGAGTAGACCTCTATCGAACTTACCAGTAGTGTATGAAAAGAACGGTAAAGTACGTGGATCACTTTGCTGGCAGGACCATTTCTTCTGCGACGTCGAAGGCGATCGAAAACTTTCTCACTCCCGGTAATTACGGGAATTCGTCGAAGCACATGACCCTGGAGGGGCTGATCCCTCTGTAGCCAAAATATCCTCGTGCAGAAGTTGTATAAGAGAATTGTGACCGTCAGAATCAAGTACGGCCAATTGTATGCAGTCACATCTATTCTTTCCCACTGATCGTCCTGCTCCCTATCGCCAGAAGCCTGCCAAGCAAGATTCTCTTTCCATTCCCCGTTGTGGTAAAAGCACCAAGCAGGAAACGAATGGGCATAAACTGTGCGACTATTTGTAAAACCCATGGGAATTAGAGCAACAATTAGCATAATAATCAGGATACCCATGCCAGCGAAGCGGACAATCGTAGCCAAACGTCTTCGTCGGGATTTATGAATGTCATCTTTCATTGCTGTGAAGACCATGAAGTAAGTAATAGTTGATAGCCATGCCTGATTGACAACGGAATGCCAATGATATGCCGATATGCCCCACTCTAGTTGGAGAAATCCAGCAACAAGGATCGAAATTCCAGTCACCAGTTGTTGATCGCCAAAACTAATAACTGCACCTCGACAGGATAACGACAAGCGTGTGACAGTTGGACCGGACCCAAAAAGCGATTCCCAGTGATCTAGAAATAGTTTGGCCGCACAACAAAAGAACGAGAGATATGCAGTAATGAAAAATCCAAGGGAGACATCAGCACAATTAGCACACTAAGTCAGGCAATTCTGCGAATCAAGTTGGCAGACTTACTCCAATGCCAGAAATATCAGGGTTTGGTTGCAAGTCTAGGTAGACCGTGCAATTAACTTCACTCATACCATAGGTCGACATTTTGAGATGACAATGCTTGAGACAAGAACCATCAGAACTAATTCCATGGACTATTCGTCCCCTTGATGAATCCTAGTTATGTTATAGCTGCTGCCACTACATGAACATGATTACAATCAATTTCTTCGTATTCTCAAGCAAACTCGCTGCTGATTACGCATTCCAAGATTGCACGACAGCACAAACTCTCTTCGCTTAATAGATCGAGTTCACGCCTCACAAACATGCAGCCGCGCGAACGTCCACGCAGTCAATTCTGAGTTCTTTCTCGGAAAACTGCATCAAGTTCTTATGCATACGAAACAATTATTCTACACCTTCCTGTTTAGCCAAGGGTCATCAAGCAATTCCTTCACAGTCTTCCGATCCTCGGGCCGCCACTGCAACATACCCCTCATGAATCGCATGAACATGTCCTTGTTTTCCCCCTCCTCAAGCCTTTCCTCTGATTTCTCCAAGGTAGCATCTTGGAGAATCTCTATCCCCGCATTCCATGTTCCTAAAGACAAATAAGTAACTTATCTCCAGACTCCAACCTTCACAACAGAGAAGGGTCTTGAGAGGAGAAAAGAGGGAAAAGGAAGCGGACGTAAACTCACCATCATCTTCAAACCAATTCCTGCTTCGCAGCCCACTCTTCAAAAATTCAACCGGTGGCATCCCCAAAAGCCCAATAATTTCCGCTAAATGCATACGAGTTCTGTAGCCTGAGCCGTCTTGATCTTGACCACAAAACATGCGTTTACCTTCGAACAGATCCTACACCACACACCCAACATTCCAAATATCAACAGTATAGCTCCAGTCTGCTTTGATCATTACCTCCGGGGCGCGATAGATATCTGGTTGGATATTCCAATTTCTACGTTCGTTGTTCTTCACGAGGACAGTAGAGCCAAAGTCACTCAATACTGCGATGCCATGCTTCTTTGGGTATCCGAAGCGCCGAGATGCATAGACTGTGTGGTCATCGATTGTTTTACGCGGACTAGGGGTTTGTAGCTCGGCTGCGAGGAAGTCTGTTAAAAGAGTTGGGTCGTTTATGACGTGAAGTACGTTGTCCCCCTTGATATCTAAGGGTTGTGCTATCAGTCACATCCGTAAATAACTCATGGTTTCATCATACCTGTGTGAACAATCTTACACTCAGTATGCAAAAATTCCAAAGCGAGAAGAAGTTGTTTGAGGGCTGCTTTAAGGAGAGCTTCCGTAAAACGACCACTAGGAATGCGAAATAGCATATCGCTCCAACTCTCCCACATCGGCTTTTGGACGAGGCAATTATGACCGCCTCCAGCCCGTGGGATGATAGAGGTGTTTATTGCAGTTCGAACGTAATCCGCGCCCGGATGCGCGGTCCAAGATTCCCGTTTCGCATTTTTTATGTGTTGATATATAGAAAATTCATTTTTTATATCCTCATTACGAGCATATATCTTCAATGAAACATATTCACGATTCCTAGCTTTGATTTACCCCATTGTTCATTACAGGGTCGACGTCCAGCTTACAAAAGATCCCTTCCAAGCCAAACAGTAGAACTAACTCCAAATCCCAACTTTCCTATCACTTGGTACTTGGATGCAAACACATCTCCAATATTAACCGGCAAATACTTTCCACTCTTGAAACGATCATTACTTTCTTCCTCAAGACATATATGAGGCGGGAAGATATCAAATCCCGATGTTGGGAAACGGAGGGGCTGGTAGGGTGGTTTGTAGATAGTAGATTTGCGGATAGCAGTTCTTGCCCATTTTGAGAGGGCTGACATAGAGATAGGGTAGATATATATGGTTTGTAGGGGAGTTGTGAGTTAAGGATGTCTGAGAGGTATTTTCGTATGTGGGTCAGACTTTGGCCTGAGGCAAGCTTACAGTACAACTCTTCCCAAATCACAAAATCACAAAAGCTTCCAAGAACATATAAGACCATTTGCATCTAACGTGGTTTATCAGCGAGTCGATCATATCACCGAGTCGATCACTTTTTCTTGGCACAGAACTTTACACCTAAATAAATCAACCACAATATATTAAATTAATTATCGCTCTCTATATCTGACGAACTAGATATATCTATAACTTCTTGACAAGTTCGCGCGTTATGACCAGCTTTTCCACAAGTTCTACAGCGCCGCCTAGAAGGTTGCCCCTCCTTATAACCAACCCCCGCCTCACGCATGTCGCGTCGTACTTGCTCATCTACATCCTCCTGAGCTAACATATCCTGTACATCCTCTACTATAAGTGCCCCTCCTTGGCGGACACGAGTCTTTTTAGCCCTACGGCGTTTACTTAGGGCTTCATTTGCAGCGCGAAGGGTACGGACCTCAGCAGACAAAAGGGTCATCTCATGTGCCATTCGCTCTGTACCCTTTGCTAACGCAGCAACTGTTTGAAAAAGTGGAGTTGGCGAGCTTCCTTGATGACAGGCTATACGATTTCGTACAAGAGTTGATTGTGAAAGGGCTTCAGTTGGGTTGGAAGGGGTCTGGGACACCCAGGGGAGGGAGTTGGCACTACACGTCCGAGGGGGAGTTGGAGTCCGTAACCTTACGTCAAGCTTTGAAAGCACTGCTTGCGGGTTAAATGGTACTAGGCCAGCTCCGCGGAATCCAGACTGACAGTTTAGGACTGTCATTGTTTCCTTGTATGCTGCTGTAAAGGCTAGAAAGAACTCAACCTTTGTAATATGGTTGATATGGGCCTTGATAAACGTCTCAATCTGCCGACCATACGCTCGTTTTAACACACTATAGCACCCAACATCAAGTGGCTGGGTTAGATGGGATGAATGAGGAGGTAGTCCAAGAGTAATAATGTTGTGTTTCGTACAGTAGTCTTGGAACTCAGCCGATTCATGACTCTCGTGCCCATCCAAAACTAGTATTCGATACAGACCCTTTGCACGAGCTGTATTGTGTTTATCAAAGTGCTTTAACCATTCCAGGCCTGTTTCATTATTTGTCCAACCATTGCTTGTCGGTTTAATAACCCAGTTAGGTGGGAGGCCACCGTCGGTATACCAGTTGGAGAGATGGTTCTTGCCCTGAACTACCATGAATGGAGGAATACTCCAGCCCTCCCCATTAATACAGGCAATTACTGTAGCCCATTCCCGATTGCCTGGCTGAACTGCCTTGCCTCTACCACGTCGGTCTGCACGAGTAACAACCATTCTAGGACAAATAACACCCATCATAAAGCCTGTCTCGTCGAAGTTGTAGAAGTCGGAGTCTGTAACCCCATATTTCGCCCTCATATTCTCTACTAGCCGGAACCATGCGCCTAGCACGTCAGGATCTTTCGCATAAGGCCCTCTGGAAGTCGTAAACGCGATTAAAACGCGTCTTAAGGTCTGGTTGTCGTTGTACGAATCGATGGGCCCAGAGCTTGCCGACGCGTCTTCCCCCCCGCGATTCAAGGATAAAATTAGCCATATCTTCTACACCAGCGAGCCGGGGCGCAAATCCTCTGGAATCCATATCCAGTATATACCGAATAATCACTTCCTATTCTAACTCAGTCAACTTATGACAATTGGCTTGAGAATCTGGGCGGTAGGTTCGGCCAGCCATTCTGTCGGAAAGAGTCGTATATTAAAACGTGTGTTGAAGTTTGAGGAGGTAGTGCCAAGGAAAAGTGATCGACTCGGTGATATGATCGACTCGCTGATAAACCACGTTATATATAAGTTAAGCTAATTTGAAGTAAGTAGAAACATTTATTCTAATCTAATTATAGAACCGTTTTAGTTATATAACGCTTTTAGAATAATTAAGTTTAAGAAAGGTATAAGAAACCTAGTTATTACTTTATATACGCTATTAAAAGTTACTATACTAAAAGTCTAGCTTAGCTTACTTAATTGTTCTATTTTACCTAGATTAATAAGTAGTAAAGAGTTGTTGTGCTGGGTCTACTTTCTCTTTTGCTCCACTTCCTTATTTGATCCACTTATAGTTCTGCTGCCTAAATGCTTCATGTCTGCCTAAACCTTACACTCTTTATATAAACACCTTAGATAGCTACCTTTTACAAGGCAATCAATTCTCCATGACCTTCAGTACCCAATACCCTTTCAACCCAATAAGAGTATTAATTATTCTAAACTGTTCGTATAATGGATTTAGTTATATAAGGTCTTCAGGATATTATTTTTCTAGGACTTAGGGGTATATAAAGTAATACCCGCCTCTCTTATATAGAGTAACAGCTAAGTCTCTTACTTCTACTTAACCTAACTTAATTCATTTTAAACACTGCTTTCAACTTAACAAAATTTCAAGGAATCTTGCTTCTTAGAATTTTAGCATTTATCTCTTTTTCTTTCTTGACGTTATATACTCGTAATAGCTATTCAATTGCGTCGATTAGAATTCCATTTGAACGCATTCCTTACTGGATATCTCTCAATGGAACGCCCACAAGACCATACCTTCCTAACCACAATGCCAATTTTGTACCATTTAACAATACTCATACTTTGTATGGTAGCCTGGTGTTCATCCCCCCACTGCTTCTTCTCCAACCTCACAACCTCCTCCTGCAAATCCCTTGCATCAAGGAGCCACCCCCCCAGAAACAGATCGTTAGCTAGAGCATCCATACAACGAAAGGTATCAGAACTCAAGTCCCACCCTTTTCCAAAATTCCCTTGAGACTTTTCTTGTACCCCTCAATTCGTTCTCTGAGTTTGCGATGCCCGCTAAGAACCGAACGTCCGGTAGGTTGATATAATTGCAGGATCGATTCTTCCAGAACAAGATCGATGTCATCTTCCTCGTAGCGCTCTTGCGCCCAAGATACGACTTGCGATTGCAAAGCTCGGGCTTTCTTGAACATCTTCAAATCGATGTAGACTTCTGCCAGCTGTCGCACCTCGGGACTCTGATAGTCTTCCCCAAATAATTTACGTTCATCCTCGATACTTTTTTCTAAGTATTTCCGCGCCCTTTTCAGATCCCCTAGGTCCCTGTAGGCGTGGGCTAATATGGGTAACGTAGATCGCACTTCAAAGCTGTTCTCGCCTAACATTGGCGTGTACACTTCCGTAAGCTTTTCACATATCTTAATCGACCTTTGATTCTGCTGGTCATGGGTATAAGCTCGAGCAAGATTTACCATAAGCATGGCCGTGTTTGAAGCTGCTGATTTCTGGTTCCGGACAGCGTCTTGATTATCAGAAACTGGTCTTTCAACAGCCTCCTCGGCTTCTTTTGTGGCTTGTAGGTTTAGCGATATGGCTTCTTTGTATCGACCATTTGATTGCAAGCCGGCACCAATTTCAAGTATCGCCGGAAAATAATTACAATCTCCAGGAAGCTTGGTTTGAATGCATTTTAGAGCGCCCTGAGAAAACTCTATTGAGCTAGCTCGGTTAAAATAGCGAAAGAGTCGGCAGAATATCAAAGCTGCGCCGACTCTCTGCGAAAGTTCGGGGCCGTTAGAGAAGAGTTGATATCTGCCTTGTGAGAGACCCTCTTCTACATGCGTGAGGAGAGGTTTCATAGATGTAACTCGAAAGTGATTTTCCATATGGTGTGCTGCACCCGCCATCAAATGAATTGTGTTTCTCCAGACTTCATATCTCTGTTCGTGAGACAATCTGTCTCGAGACCATTCGTGGACAAGGGGGTGCATCGATATGCGACGAGACCGATCGATGCTGATCAGCGAGAAAGACGATAATATCTGCAAAGCTCTTCCAGCGAGAATCGCATCCCATCCATTTGGCATAACATCAAAGAAAATAGGTTTCTATCCATGCTGAACCCCCAAAAACCCTGCTTCGAAGAAAGATTCCTCTATCCCGTCAAAATGCATGAATGAGAAGTATTTCAACAGCTCCATTGCCAATAGTGAACGGGCTTCATTCATCTCCTGAATAACTTTCAACGAGATTTCCCACGTCGTGTACACGCTTCTCTGATGCTCGATACCTGAATTAAACCGACCAATCTCCAAAAGCTCCTTTTTTCGCTTTGAGTACAGTTTTGGAAAGCCTTCTAGATTTACTAGCCCTTGACGAATCACGGCACCTGCCTGAGCTATGGCAAGAGCAAGACAACCCAATATATCCACGACTTTGGCGGCATATTGCTCCACTTTCCCCCTAATGTCTTGTGATTCTTGAGTCGATGAGTCCTCTCCAAGACCCGAAACTTTCAAGAGCAGCGAAACAGCATCAGAATCTGACAACCTCTCCACACAACATGATCCCGCACTCGCATACTTTACGAAATCGGGATTCCTCGTTGTCAGAATAATGAAGCCCCGATGTCCAATGGGGAAGAACTGGGAGACGTCGAGATTCTGATCATCCGCATTATCGATGACAAGTAACCAGTTCGTCTTCCCCGCCAAATAGTCTTTGACCGAGTGAATGCTAGAAGCTTGTGCCTTAGACTTTCTGATCTTCAAAGCTTCCGCTATATTATCGAAACCTTCTGAAGCAATAGAAAAACTCGACACATCAACAAAAAATACCCCCCAAAATAAGTTCCGAAACTCCCTTGCAAACTTCAACGCAACCTGCGTCTTCCCACTTCCTCCCAACCCAAAAAGCACAAAGGTCTTTAACTCCCTCTCGCCTATATACTCCTCCCCTAATAACGCATCCCGAATGCAACCCCTCATCTCATTCCTCCCCGTAAAATGAGGATTCATACCCTGCGGCACAAGGAAGAACTCATTTTCCACTTTCACCAACCCAGCCAAAGCTGCCTTATCCCTCATCCGCTTGATACTATGCACCGCCGTAACATACGTCGGATCATCCCTCGTATCAAATTGACACATACCCCTATGAATTCCGGCCACCGGAACCGGTATCTCCCAACCCACCACCTCCCCACTAGGATTTACAGTCGCGGAAGAAATCCCAACCACCAGTCGTGGACCCACCATACCCACCGTCTCATAGAAGCTGATGACTTCCCTCCCCGCTCCCTTATTACTCATCAAAATACGAAACTCCTTATTCAGTTTCTCGAGTATAGCGCTCCCTAAACTCAACGAGTGAAGCAGTACAGGCTCCGCCTTCATAGATAAAGCGGTAGGCACCCTCGCCAACTGCGCACCATAACTAGCTAACTCGCTCCCTCGATGCGGTGTACCGAAGAATAGAATTCCGAGTGTACTAGTCCATATATTTCCATAATCACATCCTTCAGATTTTGAAGCGATGACTAGGGCTTGTTTCAAAACCAGTCCACCAAGGGAATGAGCTATGAATATTAAAGGCCTGCTTTTTTCAAATGATTGAGTACGAGATTCGGATACACAACGCAGGAGGTCCCGAGCGTGTTCTTGGATGCCGGAGGTGTTGGTGGAGAATGCTGCTGTGGCATCATAGCCGAACGTTTGGATTCGTGCATGAGGTATAGATTGAGGGAAGTGGTCGCGGTGCCATAGGGTCTGGGAGGTGGGGGATGTCCATGTTCTGAGGTGATGACCGTTGAGGCCATGGATTGCTATTATACTAGCGGATATATCAAGTCAGGAAGGTAGGGAAGGATACAGGAGCAAAAAGAGAGGACAAACTCGAGTGTTAAACGGGAAGTGATATCTATGTTTCTGTTTTGATCGGGTGGTGGATGAAGAATCTGAAGGCCCATTGCTTTGCTATTTGGTAAGTAGGTCCAATTACAAAATCTCGACCATAACACAAGAGAAATGCATATATAAGAATACGATGTACAACGCCAATCAAAGAAATAAACTCATCTATCGAGATAACGAGTAGAAGAGAAAACCAACCGAAGAAATGCAACAACTAAGGTAGAAATGGAAGAAGGCGAAAAACACCAACATCCAAAGGGTGCACGGCCTTTTTACACCAACAACCTATGCAGTGACCGGGGTTCTGAGGTTCCCCTGCATATGTATGTTTCCGCTGACAAAACATGATTTATCATTCAAATGATATTCACAGACTTCATTCGTCAATGCGTGGGACTGGAGAACCCGGGGATTTGGTTGATAGAGTTGGGTTGCTGTGTACGGTGGAGACTTTTGCGGGTCGGGACGTTGAGCGCTTATCTGAAAACAGGGGTTGTGATGGTAGGCGGCTAATTGCAATCTTTCTCGGGAGTTCTTCATTCGAAGTATTTCTTAGCCTTGAGAATGTTTTGGTCTATTGTGAATGAGAGTTTCTGTTTACGTTAGAAAGTTTTAATATGTACATTCCTTCTGAGTTGTATCACCACAGAAAAGAATTGAAATTCGGGCAGACATTGCAAAACAAGACAGTATAAATTTTTTGATTTCCTTGGAACTCTGTCGAGCGCAAACTTTCCAAGAGAGATTCGTTTTCGCTTTATGTTTTACGCTGACGGAATTCGAAGATTCTTTCCGTGTACTGTACCAGCTGGAGAAGTTTGGGAGCGGAAAGGGGGACCCATCACGTGACACAGGTCTACACTTTGCGCAACCTCGCACCCTCTCGGTTCAAATTCTGTCAGTGGTAGCGTAGTATAATCCTGATATATTCTAGATTGCTTTCTTAGGATGAAGTGAGGGATTTCGAAATGGGAGGCTCATAGGCAGACATGTGGAGACGACTTCGATTCGCGATGTTTTACTCCAGCTCCTCGTTCGGCTATGTATGCTATCGACAATATTAGAATCCTTACAGACTGCGCATTTGCGGTATATCTGGGTTCGATATGAAACGTAGCCTACAATAACTAAAGAGGTGTTTTCATTGGTTTTCTTCCAATTAATATGTACATTTCGACGTCGCAACACAACGGATCGCGCAGCCTCGGTGTGGGAGGTGCGGCACGGCATTCCCCTCTGTAAGAGTCTTTGTCTGTCGCAGATTTATTTCCTTGCTTCCTACCAAATCTTTCATTTCACTGATTTACAGAATCGTGGCTAACCTTAATCCGCCATAGGCTTTAATTCTATCATTATAACTCTGCATCAATGCCGACCTTCTTTCTTCTTTTATGAGAGGCCTGAATTCAAGCAATTGAAAGATCTTAGAATATTTGGAATAAGAGTAACAAAATAACGGGCGACTCTCTCTCTGCTTTTTACGAGAATTCAGGAACAAACCAGCCACTCACCAAATGAAAAAAACAGCCCAAGATTATTGTCAGATTAATACTAAGAGTCAAAGACCCTCCCAGAATTTCGCCCAAACTACTGCACGAAATTATACAAGAAACATTTTACTTGACAGTTATGTGACACTGCCGCGCCGCCAACCAATCAAAGCCCTTGCCATCCACAAACTCGGCCAGGATTTCGGTGCAGGAACATTAACCGAGAGGGATTCATCAGCTTGAAGATTATTCTGGGCTGCAGGATGAGATTTGACATGCAAAAATAGTACGCTAAATACCTTCCTTTCATCATGGATTCTTAGTTAAAAGTAATTGAGCCAGCCCCTCAATCTGTTTCTTTGTTTCCTCTCACGACTCACTCTTGAATCAACCCACATTCTTTTTTTCGTGCGAGATTACTATCAAACCTCTATTACATTCATTCTATACATTCATTCTTTGCTGTTTCTTGCACAGTCACACTCATTTTTTCACTTTAGCTGTATTCTGTATCTTATTCTTTTGCCAGTGGCATATTCCATTCATTTACCATTCTTTACATCGATCGAATCACTATGTACAGCAAACTTACCACCGCTGCCCTTCTTGTGGGCGCTTTTCGCTTTACCAGCGCCGAATCTTGTACCTACGGAAAATATAGCTGCCAAGGTCTCAGCCCAGCACGATGTGTGTACACTTCCGGAGTTGCAGGAACCGACGGAAAATACGAGACTGGCTGGGTCAACTTGGACACCTGCAAAGAAGGTTGTTCAGTTATAGGTGGAGTAGCCCAATGTGGAGCTGCAAGCGATAGCGCTGCAACCACGTTGGTAAAAGTACCAACTCAAGTCGCTGGTACGACTGTTGTTGCTGCTTCTCCTACCAAGGGTGCTGTTTTTGCACAAACGGGTGTGGCTTCTAAGCCTACGACACTTTCTAAGGTCGTCAAAACTTCTACTACTGCTCCTGTCAATGTACCAACTTCTCCTGCTACTCCCTCTAACTCTAAGAGTATTCTATCTTCGGCTTCAGGAAAGCCAATTGATGCTACATTCTACTATGATGTGGTTAGTTTCTGCTTTTGTTTCCCTTTGGAGCTCTTTCAAAAAGAATCTATCAACCGCATCCTCAAATTCACATACTGACACTCAATCATAGCACGGAGGTGGAACTTGCGGAGCAGTCAACGGAATATCAGCCTATGCCGAAGTTGGAGGCTATACCTACTGCGAACCCAGCGACGCGTCTCAAGCAAAGACTCTTGCTCAACGTGGAACCAACAACATCGTGGCCATGCCCCAGAACCTCATCACTGGCAATGCCTCAAAATACTGTGGCAAGAAAGTCGTAGTCACTTGGGAAGGAAAGAAACGCACTGACTTGGAACTCTTCATCTGGGATTCTTGTGCATCATGCACCGGAGATGAAGGACTCGATTTCAGTAGCACTATCTTTGCACAGTTGGCTGGAGAAAAGAACTGTGCCCAGGGAAGAATTGAGAATAAGATGACTTGGGAGATTGTTGACGAGACTGTCCTACAGTGGAAGCAATAGAGGAGAAGTGTTTTCATGGGTGTTTGTGTTGTTTGAGATGGAAAACGAGAGAGATAGCGGTTTGTAACATTATTTTCAGTTGTATAAATTTGAATCCGATTATTTAACGATATATTGATGAGAAATTCTTGCAAACATTTCTTCTAGAATTAATCGGCCAATCATGAAATATCGTGGCCGAGTTTAAAAGCCAAATTAATGTCAATGAATGCTTTGTTGCATTTCGTTCTTCCAACCAGGTGAAACCATGCATTAAATAAATCCAATTACATAATTAGATACTGTAGCGGAGGAATGCCCGTAACTTTGCTCTTTTTTACACGGGCTTTCTACGCTTTTCGAAGAAACAACGTTATAATTCCTGCTGATCAATTCCAGAAGACAATGGGACACTATCGAACAGAATTAATTACAAAATCATCTCAGTCTTATCATTGAACCCAAATCCAAGCCCATGCCTCCCATCCCCTTCCTCCATCCACCATCTCCCAAACAAAAGCTTCATCTTTCCATCTGTCTCATTCAGCACTCCCGCTCCCAGGCCATCATGCTCGTGATCAAGTCTCTTCTCTAGCTTCGGATTCCTGGTAGTTCTAATGAACGTCGAGAAACTTCTGTCGTACATGAGACCACTTCTCCAATACTCATAACCACCATAATAACGCAAACAGCGCTTAACAGTAGGCCGAGACCATAAGCGATCCACAGATTTTGAGGATGATAATCGTAAATGTTAACCAGTTCTATTTTCGTGACATTCTTCTCGACGACTCTCGTGAGCTCAGGACTAGAGAGGAGGCCAAGTGTAGCATTGATAGACAGTTCCTCGACCAAATCACCATCAGAAGGGAATCCGGGCCAGCAACAGTACTCGCTGAGTAACATAAAGATGCACGAGACGCATAGACTGAACGGAGTCAAAAAGACGCAATGAAGATCTGGAATTGCTATAGGGAACTTATTAAATCTTCATCTCATTGCTATCATCTCATCTTAGAGTCCTTATGTATTTTACATCTCCTCTCTATCTCTCTCTCCCATATCGCGAGAAAAGTCTCATCCACCAACAAGCCGCAAGAAGGTATTACAAAGAACGAAACTCGCAAAGTAAATTGCCCCAAAAAGACCGCAAGAACGAATCCATTCAAAATGCCCAAGCAACTTCCCCAACGAAGGTTGGGAACTCTAAACAACCATTTTCGCATCCGTATCCACACCCCCAGTCTCCAACGCATTCCCCTCCTTACCACCATTCGTCTTAGCCGCCTTAGCCGCCTCAAAACTCTGCTCGAAATCACCAATGATATCACCAATAAACTCCGTACCAACTGAGATCCGAATAAGATCCTCCGTGACACCACTAGCATGTCTCTCCTCTTCCGAAAGCTGTTCATGAGTCGTCGACCAAGGATGAATAGCCAAAGTCTTCAAGTCTCCCACGTTCGCAAGATTAGAAATAAGTTTGAAGCCATCGACAACTTGACTTCCAGCCGCTCCACCGCCTTTAACCCCGAAGCTTAGAACACCACCGAAGCCGCGCTTGAGATATTTCTTGGCGAGAGTGTGAGAAGGATGGCTTTCTAGACCTGGGTAGGAAACCCATGCAACATGTGGATTGTCCTGCAACCATTTTGCCAATGCTAAGGCATTCTGAGCATGACGTTCTGCGCGGAGGGAAAGAGTTTCGATTCCTTGGATCAGTTGGAAGGCACCAAATGGATTTAGAGCACTGCCCAGGTCACGGAGGATTTCTACACGAAGACGGGTGGCGAACGTAATTGGACCGAAAGTATCCCAGAACTTCAGACCGTGATAGCCGGGCGATTCTTCAACCATTTCTGGGAATCTCTTTCCGTGCTTGCCCCAGTCGAATTTACCTGCATCTACAACGACACCTCCAATCGTGGTACCATGTCCTCCGATCCATTTTGTGGCTGAATGGACGACGATATCAGCGCCATGGTCGATTGGACGGACAAAATAACCTCCTGCTCCAAATGTGTTGTCAACCTGAAATGATTAGTGCTGTGATACCTAAAAATATTGATGAAAACGTACAACAAGCGGAACTCCAGCATCATGGGCAACTTTTGCAATTGCCTCAAAATCCGGAATATTGTATTTGGGATTTCCAATACTCTCGATGTATACCGCCTTCGTCTTTTCGTCGATAGCCTTGGCAAAGTCTTCCGGGTTGTCTCCCTTGATGAATTTGGTGTTTATGCCTAGTCTTGGAAGGAAAACCTTTAGCTGGTTATATGTACCTCCATATAAGTTCGTGGTCGAAACAATGTTGTCTCCTGCGTGTGCTAGGGCTGCAATGACCATAAATTGGGCTGCTTGGCCAGAACTTGATGCAACTGCTGCTACACCACCTTCGAGGGCCGCAATTCGCTTCTCGAAGACATCGACCGTAGGCTAACATTTCAGAACTCGCGTCAGCCAAACTTCTCAACTCGAATGAGTGAATGTCCATAATCTTGGGATCTGATGCCATCCCCGTTTCTTTACCCGAAGAAGTGCTTGAAGTACAAAAGTAGAAGTAGAATCTTAGAGTCTTTTCAACCTTGTTGTGTTATATTTAGTGAGGAAATAGAAAATGTAGCATACATTTCCGATCCGACTGTAGATATTTCCGAATTCCTTCAGTCCAAAGAGTCTGGCGCCATGGGCGGAATCATTGAAAGTAAAGCTCTAAGATTGAGAATCAGTTTTCTGAGAATCCAGTAAGTTAATTGATTTTTCCTTACGGTGCTTGCGTAGATTGGAACAGCTCTGGCATTGGTGGTCGGATCTGGTTCTTGTCCCGCATGGAGCTGGAGGGTATCGAAATGCGAGCTTTCCGGAGCCATGATGGTGCAATTGGTTGGTGAGTGAAGAGGTGTACTGTCTCGATGAAAACCAAATATCTCCGAGGGCAGAAATTGAAGTGTTTTCGAAGAGAGTAAACAGCTTTGGTAAAAGTGGTAAAAGTGGTAAACGAAAAAAAGGTACTGCCTACGTAATGTGGGGTATATATTGAGGGGGTAAGTGCGACTACGACCTACCAGCGTGCCCACGGGTGGCTGGAGCCCAGAAGCACGCCATCGCTCATAAAAATGTCCGCAACAAAAGAGGACCTCGGTAGGTGTCCGTTCTCGGCCTCTGAATTGGAGCAGCCGACAATAATGTTACTGTGCCCAACTGGTCCTGGTGTTGGTTGGCAATTGAAGAGAGTCCTAATCGTCGACCTTTTTTTGCTCTCGGTCTTATCCAGGAACAAGGGATGACGCTGACAAAGACCCTTCAATCTATTTACCACGACCTTCGGTAAACTGGTACGAGGACTAGCGCTCAGTGTTACGGTGTCAGTCTTCGGGTGAGTTGTAAAATCTCCACTTACTGTACCGTAATGCGGGGTCCTACGGAGTCCTATGGCGGGGTTATCCTCCTCGGCCTCAATAACGGTGCCCTCGGTAATTGGATAGAATGGCTTGACATGGCATTCTTGTGAGTACCCGACAATCTGGTAATCTCGGAGGAGTCGCCGATAATTGAGTAAGAAAGTAAAAAAGATAGATGCTCACAATAGCACCTGGAACTTAGGTAGGACAGAATGCAGTTAAGAAGGTCACGTTTGGGTTTTTTGGTCATGTGCTTAGATAACATTCTCTAGGTATGGTCATGATTCTTGGTTTTATGGTAGCACTTGGAAGAAACTGTAAAATTGATTACAAATAACATCCCGATTTCTATTTATGAGTCCAGACGGCGGCAAGGGATATTACAGTAGTAGCATACTCGTATTAATACCGTAGTGCGGCCCCGCTGTCTTCTCCATCTTCCGCACTGACAATTGGAAAATGACAACTCAAACGTTCTCCTGACTTACAGATTATTCCCCCAGATCTTGGGGATCTTGGGGCTCTTGGTGGAATGATGTACATGAAAGTATGGACTCCACTGGGGTATACGAGCGTATGGAGTAGATATCTACGAAGTACTCAACCAAACAAACGGTGGCTGCCTTTCCATGGTGATGATATCAAAACGATTTCAATACGGAGTACAGCACCAGTGCAGCACGAGTCCACTGAGGACTAGCTGACTCAACACGACGATTCAACGCACAAACTAACCCAAGGCTCCACCGCCATCGGTTCCATTTGTTTGAAGTACAAGCCTGTCGAGCCTTCCTTGACTACTTCGGCGATTCAAGGAAACCAGTAATCCATCTGCTCTTCTACCAGTTCAACAATACTCGTACATACCTCCGTACGTGCTTCGCATTGTAGAGGTACTGTGGCGTGCAGGATTTGATATTTGATATCCTAGCACTCGGCTGGCACCTCCACATGCTTCTCTATATTAAAACGCTGATCTTAATCTTGGCACCTTTCAAGAAGATTCTTCGACTTCGAAACCAGCGTATTACGGTTTCAGACGGACAGCATCAGAAAGAAGTCCATATACTAAGAGATACCAAGCAATACCAAGACCCGCCTAAAGGGGAAGAGCTCGTGCCATCGAACCCCATCTGGATCCACGGCAGTCACGGCGTGCCTATGATTTTCCATGGCAGCGACCTTGAGACTTCTGGGCGTGATTTTGGGACAAGCAAATTGTTTCACGGACTGCTTAACGCCACATTCATATTCAGGCCGACTGTACCTCTGAGGTCTTTCGAAACCTCGGATTTCTACTGAGATGTCTTGGTATTTTGAGGATTTCTTTTTCATCGCCCCGATTTTGATGCGATGGGTGATTGACGTTGGCAAGGCTTATGGGGAGGAGTCCCGCCGATGAGGTTTGCGGGGTGGGAGCATGAGTGGATAACGGGAGAAGAAGAAATTATGGGGGGGGGAAGTTACAGCCTAGATTTTATTTTGGGTTGAATAGTGGATCTGCGAAAAATCTGAACTAAGGGCTAAAGCAAGCAATGGATGCAAGTTGGCGATAACCTCCACCAAGCAATGGATGCAAGTTGGCGATAACCTCCACCTAGCCTATTCTGTAAGTTACGAGTATGCTCTGGTAAATTGCCAGCGAGTGCTGCATTCTTCTCATCCAGCCATTCAATTCCCCTATCCACCTCCAACCAAAAAATACGCAGCGGTTCCCGGGGGATAAATTCCTTGCAGTTGTCAAAGGTCCGATCGCAATTGGTTTCGAACCATCGCTAAAGATCTGCCCTTGCGAATCTACGACCCTGGCCGTTTCATAATGACACGGAAGGGGTCAAGACCAAAATCATGCCTCGCTGGTTTTTAATGGATAGAAAGCCCATCGAGCCAGTGGATTTCATTTCTGGAACTTTTACTTTGATCTTCTTCAGTGTGGTCTGCGACTCCTTTCTTCTCTCGATACCCGTTTTTTCCCATTCATATACAGAGTACTTTCATCCGACGACACCCATTCGATTCTCGCACCAGTTGCAGCAAAATATTAATTGAAGAAAATTCGTTCAAGATGCCTTTCAAATTATTACTTCCTCTCCGAATTGCCCAATTCGTCTTTTCGATCATAGTTCTTGGACTGTCTTCATATGGTACGGTTTTCGTTGGGCGGAATAGGCGAGAGTGAGAATATGTTGACTAATATTGATTTTAGTCTCCCACTGGTATGATGTCGATACTTTAACATCATCGCCTTCTCAGGTCAATTTCCTGGTCTTCGTACCAGTCTTCTCCTTCATCTCCATGATCTACCTCGAAGTCGTCCCCCGTTTCATGCAGAAGGGTAAGCCAGTCCATAAGAAAGATGGACGAGAAAAGACTAACAGTATCACAGCATCTCACCCATATGCCCACCTCGGATTCGAGTTCCTTAATACCCTCTTCTACTTCGCTGGCTTCATCGCCCTCGCTGTCTTCATCGGCAAACTCCTCTTCTGCCGCGGCTCCGTTTGCGCAGCTGCACGAGCAGACGCTACTTTCGCAGCATTCAGCTGGCTCCTTTGGACCGCTAGTACCGTCATCGTTGCTCTCCAAATCTTCAAGGGTGGAATGAACTTGAGGAACGAGAAGACCAGCAACATGAGCCAGGTCCCATCTCAGGTGTCAATGCCATAGCTCTCAAACAAGCAACTCAACGATCGAATCCGAGTATGGGAGGAAAGTCGCGAGTTGGTTTAGATCTCGACACATTAAGAAAAATGTGGTACATAAAAACAGATGGACTTGGTGTTGGTGTATATGGTATATGGGGATATGGATTTACATGATCAAATGGTGGATGGATGGAGTTTTTTAGAGCCAAAAAGAGACCTTGATGGTTTCTCGATCACAACGCAGCAAGTGTTCCTTTTCGAGGATATTTTGCTTACGGGTTGTTTTCGCTTCATCATCAGTAATCGCACTTTCCACGTTGTTGCATTTTTCTACGAGTTATCTGTGGTTTTTTACGGTATTAGGGTATGATTAAGGGGTCTTGATAGGCATTTTCATTTGATATAGATACAAATATCAACATATTAAACGCAACCAAAAATCTCATTATCCCTCTTTGCATCTCATCTCTCTGCTGCGAATCAGGTCTTCGGATGCGTATGGATAAAAACTGTTCTTTTCTTTTTGCATTTGTGAAAGTCTTGGTTGTCCAGTAGGCATGAACGACATGAATCGGCGGTTTCAAGTATGAGCTCGCGTCGAACCCGACCGCCCATCGAGCCAGCTAAATTTCTTGGCCCTCCGACAATGCGGATCTATGATATCAGATGGAATCTCGATTCCATTGGTTGGTGTCTTGAGTGAGAGGGTCGTTCAATCGGGACAAAGCAGCGAATTACTCTTAAGGATCAATTCCAGATATAGAAAAAGATGCATCACTGCAGAACGTCACTCTTAGGGCTGTGCAGATCATGCTCACAAATACTGTGACCTCAACATCCCATAATTTCGAGGGGTCTCACGCTTGTAGTTTGTCATAACCTTAAAAGGACGTCTTGTCTGTCATATCCCCAAAAACCACGCTGCTCTCCCGTAGGCAAGAAAAGTAGCAGGGATTCCTTTTCCTTCTAGTTGCGTAAGTAGATACAAAGTATTTGAAAACTCCAATTATTTTGGGACATTATCCTTAATTGTTCTAAAATTCAAATTGATTCCTTCAATTGCCCTAAACGACTATAACAATTAAAAGGTATGAAATAAGTTACGCTAATAAATGGTTCTGCCACCTATCTTGTTCGTCAGAGCTCTGCTTACGTAACCCGATATCAATCGAACCTCGGAAGCTCAACATCAACATATACCCAAGCTCCACGACCACAACCTACCACAATCGCACCCCAACACAATCCTCAAAATGCGTCTCACTACTCTCCTAAACCTCGCACTCACCACCCTAACCACCGCCTCCCACCTCCGTATCTCCCTCCCTCCTCTCAATCCCCCCGTAGCCCTCTCAGCTTCCACCCACGCAACCCTCACCACCCTCTCCCACACCCTCACAGCTCCCCTACGAACGGACAACACCTTCGATTTCCGCAATGTGTCTTCAGGCTCTTACCTCCTAGATATCCACTGCCACACGCATCTCTTCTCGCCGCAGCGGGTGGATGTCCACGATGCGAAGGTCGGGGAGGTGGAAGTTGAGGTCTGGGGCACGTTTCGAGGGAATGAATGGGGGAATAAGGGGCCTGTTGTGGAGGTAACCCGGGTTGAGGAGGGGGGCAAGATTGTCAGGTTTTTCGAAGGGGGGAGATTGGTGGGGGTGAAGGAGCCATTTGTGATTAGGAGTGGTTGTGAGTTTTCCTGGAGAAAATGGATGGGTGGTGGTTGGAGCTAATGTCTGGTGCAGTTTCGCCGTTGAGTCTGTTGAAGAATCCGATGATTCTTATTGCGGGGTTGAGTTTGGCTATTGTCTTTGGGATGCCTTATTTGATGGATAACAGTATGTGTTCTATTCTTCCTTGGCTTTCTTTCAATTGGGGTGATGGCATACTAACATCAGATAGTGGACCCAGAAATGCGCGCTGAATTTGAGGAACGCCAAAAGTCCTCTCCTCTTAATGGTGGTGGTGCAGCACCCAATCCTTTACAGAACTTCGATGCTGCGGCTTGGTTGGCCGGCTCTGGGGGGAGTGGAAGTAGCACACCGAAGAAGGTTCAAGGTGTTGAGAAGGGTGTCAGTAGATAGGATGAGGATTGAAAGAGTGACGAGATGTATGAATACGTTTGACGAGGGAGGATTTAGGTCCTATACTTCGAGGGTTGGGGAGCAAGAGGGAAATGACTTGAAGAATCGATGAGTAATTGATACCCTTTTTAAATCTTGCTTCGTTAGACGAGTGTTCGAGGTTCTGGAAGGATTGAGGTGGCGTTGGCTGTTAGAAGTTTCCAACTACGTTCAATAAACCTCCTTTCGAATTCACAGAAGTTTCTGGGCCATTGATAGTTAAGAGAATATCCTTCTACCAATTTCGAACCTCCAGTCCGCCCAGGCAAGCTGCCAAGCAATCATCTCAAGACAAATCCTGTTGGGCTCTGATATTCAGTAAATACGTTCCAACGGATAGCCAGTTCCTAATTCATAAAAGTATTGAATAGTGGCGAGCAATCATTTGGATTTACTTGGCTACGGGTAAGATACCTGCTTATTCCTCTATATACAATATATAGAAAGTTATAATACTAAAACCTCTAGTACAAAAGGAAATAACCGTATTATTGTTCCTAAGCTATTTGGAAGTAAGTAGTAATAATTATTCTAAACTAATTAACGTGGTTTATCAGCGAGTCGATCATATCACCGAGTCGATCACTTTTCCTTGGCACTACCTCCTCAAACTTCAACACACGTTTTCTTCAACTATTTACCATGGAAATTCAAACTCAAGAAGCGCGAATTACTCTAGCTATCGAGGCTATTCGGTCGTCCAAAAAACTAAGCAAACGCTCTGCGGCAAAGATCTACAATGTACCATATACGACTCTTTCCGACAGAATGGCTGGCCGAACCTACCGCCCAGATTCTCAAGCCAATTGTCATAAGTTGACTGAGTTAGAAGAGGAAGTGATTATTCGGTATATACTGGATATGGATTCCAGAGGATTTGCGCCCCGGCTCGCTGGTGTAGAAGATATGGCTAATTTTATCCTTGAATCGCGGGGGGGAAGACGCGTCGGCAAGCTCTGGGCCCATCGATTCGTACAACGACAACCAGACCTTAAGACGCGTTTTAATCGCGTTTACGACTTCCAGAGGGCCTTATGCGAAGATCCTGACGTGCTAGGCGCATGGTTCCGGCTAGTAGAGAATATGAGGGCGAAATATGGGGTTACAGACTCCGACTTCTACAACTTCGACGAGACAGGCTTTATGATGGGTGTTATTTGTCCTAGAATGGTTGTTACTCGTGCAGACCGACGTGGTAGAGGCAAGGCAGTTCAGCCAGGCAATCGGGAATGGGCTACAGCAATTGCCTGTATTAATGGGGAGGGCTGGAGTATTCCTCCATTCTTGGTAGTTCAGGGCAAGAACCATCTCTCCAACTGGTATACCGACGGCGGCCTCCCACCTAACTGGGTTATGAAACCGACAAGCAATGGTTGGACAAATAATGAAACAGGCCTGGAATGGTTAAAGCACTTTGATAAACACACTACAGCTCGTGCAAAGGGTCTGTATCGAATACTAGTTTTGGATGGGCACGAGAGTCATGAATCGGCTGAGTTCCAAGACTACTGTACGAAACACAACATTATTACTCTTGGACTACCTCCTCATTCATCCCATCTAACCCAGCCACTTGATGTTGGGTGCTATAGTGTGTTAAAACGAGCGTATGGTCGGCAGATTGAGACGTTTATCAAGGCCCATATCAACCATATTACAAAGGTTGAGTTCTTTCTAGCCTTTACAGCAGCATACAAGGAAACAATGACAGTCCTAAACTGTCAGTCTGGATTCCGCGGAGCTGGCCTAGTACCATTTAACCCGCAAGCAGTGCTTTCAAAGCTTGACGTAAGGTTACGGACTCCAACTCCCCCTCGGACGTGTAGTGCCAACTCCCTCCCCTGGGTGTCCCAGACCCCTTCCAACCCAACTGAAGCCCTTTCACAATCAACTCTTGTACGAAATCGTATAGCCTGTCATCAAGGAAGCTCGCCAACTCCACTTTTTCAAACAGTTGCTGCGTTAGCAAAGGGTACAGAGCGAATGGCACATGAGATGACCCTTTTGTCTGCTGAGGTCCGTACCCTTCGCGCTGCAAATGAAGCCCTAAGTAAACGCCGTAGGGCTAAAAAGACTCGTGTCCGCCAAGGAGGGGCACTTATAGTAGAGGATGTACAGGATATGTTAGCTCAGGAGGATGTAGATGAGCAAGTACGACGCGACATGCGTGAGGCGGGGGTTGGTTATAAGGAGGGGCAACCTTCTAGGCGGCGCTGTAGAACTTGTGGAAAAGCTGGTCATAACGCGCGAACTTGTCAAGAAGTTATAGATATATCTAGTTCGTCAGATATAGAGAGCGATAATTAATTTAATATATTGTGGTTGATTTATTTAGGTGTAAAGTTCTGTGCCAAGAAAAAGTGATCGACTCGGTGATATGATCGACTCGCTGATAAACCACGTTATAGGATTTATATCAAACAATTGACATCGTCCGAGCCAGTCATTCTATCGGCGGGTATAAGTGGAGTACGTAGGGGAAGTCTGAATAGCTTCAATTATCGTATAGAACCAGACTCAATTGAGCACTAAATTATAGGATAACTCGCGACCTAAGCGTAGTTAGCAATATCTCACACGGTTCCCTTCTAGCTCCACAAGTTATCTGCATACCTTTAGCACAGTCGTTGCACGGCTTTTGTCCACCTCTTGGAATGAACTTAACCACTAAATCATTTATAAAAATGGCCGACAAAATCCGCCTATTCTTAAGATCCTGAACACAAACACAAACACACACCAACAAAATCAAGACGAAAAACGACAACAGCAGCCAAGATGCCAGTTACAACAAGAAACACAGGCACTCGCAAACTCGCAACAAGAGGAGCAAAGCAAAAAGCAACGACAGAAAAGATTCCAACCCCAGAAACCAGCACAAAGCCACGAGAATCCGTACCAACGGGATCCAAACGAAACGCAAAACCAGGCATGTCTACTCCAACTCCAGCGATAAAAACAGAACCACAAGAATCTGTAGCAAAGGGATCTAAGCTGGAAGCAGCAACAGCCAAGTCGCCAAATTTAACAACAAAAACAAAATTGCAGGAACCCGTAGCGACGGGCTCCAAGCGAGCAAAACAAAGAAGAAAATCAAACCCACTCGGAATCATTACCCCAGATTGGCTAAGGAGGATGGAGAGCGAGTTTCCTGTGTGTATCAAAGAAGCTTCCCAGAACGCTTTACGTGTGCTGGTATATGAGCTATGGTTGCTATCTCGCAGAGACTACCCAGAAATTCGAGATAGAATCCATCACAGATTGTCTAAACGAACATACGAGGTTTCTGATCATGACTTCGCTGAGAATGATTTCACCTGGTTGACCTTCGATCAACGTTCGACTCGTTTCGAACAGGAGAGGTTCGATATGCTTGTGAGGGTCTTTCAGGACGACTACAGGAAATATACGTCTACCGATGACGATACCGACTTCGACGACGACCCAGATTCTGGTGAGCAGCTCCCAGCGAAGAGGAGAAGGGTTGAAGATCCGGGGAAAGAATCTTCGAGACCTGTAGGTCGTGGTGGTGGAGTGAAAACAGATTTCGTAGACGAGAGTTCTTCAGACAAAGATGCGGAGGAAGGCAGCGAGAAGAGCAATGACGATGAAGAATCCAACAGCGAGGGTAGCGAGCAAGATGAAGACTCAGATGAAGAGAGAGAAGCATTTGACCGGTGGTACTCTATGTCCTGGTAGCTAGGATTTCTCTTTTGGTGCTGTTTGATATATTTAAGACATTCTGCTGTACACTTTCGAAGCAATCAGTATGTATTTTTTGGATCTTCGGAATTTCTTCGTTCATTATCAGCTCTCCATTTGCCATGTTTGTAGTACTAGCAATCATATCATATCTAAGAAACCCAGTCATTGCTCTATACACGCTATCAAAAGTTATTATGCTATAAGTCTGGCACAAGTAAATCAATCGTCCTATTTTACTTAGGTTAATAAGAGGTGAAAAGTATTAATTATTCTAAACTATTCATATAATTACTTTAGTTGTATGGGATCTTTAGTATAATATCTTTATTACTCAGGCGTGTACAGAGTAATGCGCGCCTTTCTTACCAAAGAGCTCACAAAAGAGCGCCAAATACCGATTCATGTCAATAATTCCTCCAAACTCATCTATCACCCACTATACCCTCTAGCTAGAAATGAGCCCACTAATCGACACCATATCAAAACATGAGAAGAGACCCTAGGAGACATTCTCAACACAACTACCACTCCTCCCCTCCCCCCCAATGTCTGTGTCCAGAGATAAGATTTTACCTTTTCACATGTCAAAAGTCCAAGCGCGAGTTCGTGTTCGTAACGCGTTTGTTTAAATTATCTAAAAAGACTTCGGAAGATCTGGAAGGGGCCGGCCTGAAATAAGTGGGGATTTGAAATTCAAATATGTTAAGCGGGAAAGTCAAAGAGAGGTCAATCAGGTCGACGCTTTTTGTAGAACAGGTTTCATACTCGTGCCTAGGTACAGTACATCTAAAGGCCAAAATTTTGAGTATAAAAAATGGAGTGTATGGATTACAGTAGCGTTAACTTATTTCGCGTGTTATCGAGGGTACTGTACTCATATATCCACTTATCCCTCCCCTTCCCCTCACAACTTATAGAGATCCCCACAATCTTACCCCGCAGCACAATCACATAAACTTATTTCATTGCAGATGATAGTCGGTGCGTCCTCCTCCAGCGCCAAGGAAACACAGAGCGCGATTCCTATGTATTTCAATCACACTTTTTACCTCCGTATCGCTCTATTAGCTGTGATAGCGTGTAACTCTAAGATATTAGATCATGTCTAGTCCAGAGTTGTCATTCCCTGGGACCTTCTACTTACCCCTCACTCTCCCCAGAAATACAACAAAAAAACGAATTCAACCAGTATCTTTTCAAAGACATTCCGATACGGTCCAACACATTGATGCCTACCAAAATGTCCAGCAAATTCCACAAGCGCGTTGAAAGAGCAGCCAGTAGAATCCTCCGCGAAGTCGTCCTAGAAACCTACCGCGAATCCACGGAATTCCAAGAAGCAGTCCGCGCGCGGTTGCGTGAGGAACTTCGATGGCCGTGTCTTGGGAAGTGCAAGATTTGTTTCGAGGCGTACTTGATAGATTCGAACGGGCCGGATAAATGTAGAAGTCATACCGGTTTGTATATCTATATTTCTTCTCTGTCCTCGAAAACCTTTCCTCCTGAAGTGTTTTTCAGGTCGAAGTTGCGCAAGATGTGTAAATTTCAAAACTGAAATGTGAAGTAGGCTTGATGGAAGAGATCCCAGGCGCTTTGCCATGGGATTGCGTCAATGATCGTAGTCGTCGCGCGGCACGCATAATCTTTCCCGAGTGCTTTCAGTGGACTTGTTGTGGTGGGGATTTGAACTCGAAGCCTTGTAGGATTGGCAAACATGAGAGTCTTGAGTATGAGCATTTGGATCGTTCTGGCTCTATCGATGATAGCCACTCAGCCGCGGGGGCGGTGAAAGAGCATGTTGGTGTGGTTAGTAAGGATTTCGAGGCAGACCTGGCTTTAGACAGCTCTTCGAGTGGCTCAAGGACTGATGATGATTTGAGAGAGGACGCCATTCATCCGAGAAAGAGGGAATTCCTTTGATTGATTTGGTTTGGGTCGCTTTTTGATCGATTGTACATAAATATATATATCCAGAAGCCCCATGCTTGGGTGTTTTGGAGGGAGGTCTCTGATAAGGCAGGAGAATCGAAAGAATGCTGGCTTCAGTATTTACGCATATGTATACATATATTTACTGCTATGCCGCTCATGAGTACTGTATATACCCAATATCCGCAGTCTAAGCAATACTCCCTAAGACTCGCTCGCTTACCACCAGTTATCCAATGAGTTTGTAGAACCGCCCTCTCCATTCCAGCCTCCTTCATCTCAGCACTCAAAGCATCATAAAAAAACACCACACATTCAATCAAGAATTGCATGCAAAAGTTTTTATATGGTGCAAAGGTTCCACGACCGTGAGCCAAACAGGCTCTAAGGAACGACGTGTCACGTATAAATTATGGGAATCGTATAAAGAGAGCACCTGGATAGAAATCGTTGAAGATCGTGAATATCAAACAACTATCGTAAAAGCACCGAGCAATTAATCATCTACCGTTCCATCCCATCCCATCCTTGAAAGCACCGTTTTCTTTTCCCTATTGGTTTGTGAAGAAAAAGTCCACTTTCCATTCTTACCACCAGTTCCCAGCCCAGTCATAAAACATCAAACAATCGTACACATATCGCTTTATTCGCATTCTTAAAAGTCGCCTCCGAAATCTCCACCATCGTCTCCTCCAAAGTCTCCTCCATCGTCTCCACCGTAATCGCCGGCTTGGCCATCCTCTGATTTCCCGTTAATACGTTCGAAAATGTTTTGAATAGAACGAAAACTTACGATAGCCTTCCTGGTACTCATGCTGATCATGATGATCCATCGCATCTGCAAGCAGCATTCCACCAACAAGACCACCACCAACACCAAGAGCAGCTACAAACTCGTTAGCAAACGCAAAGCTTCATTCAACCAAAACACATACCAGCACCACCAGCTCCCATTCCCGGTTTCTTCTGCTTTCCCATCATTCCACCACCCATCATACCCTGCTGACCATAACCGTAGCCCTGCTGCGGATAGCCGTGTTGTGGATATCCTTGTTGCGGATAACCTTGCTGAGGATACTGCTGATGTCCATACCCCGGTTTACTACCTGCCATTCCACTCGCCTTTCCCAAAAGCTTTCCCAGAAACCCACCCGACTTCTTCTGGTCTCTCGGCGGAAGTGATTGATCCTGATAACTATTCTGCTGCGGCGGCATCTGCGGCATCGGACTACTATTATTATAATAATCATTCTGGGAGCCCCGATTTGGCGCAGAGGATGAACCGCGGGCATCTTCTTCCGCTTGCAAACGGGCTGCGAGTGCGGCGTCCGATTCTATATTGAAATTATTGCCGTGGCTGTCGTAGGGATTGGTTTTCGCATCGCTGACTCCCAGCGTCGTTCCTCCTCCTGAATATCCTGGAGGCGGTCCTGGCGGTGCGCTTTCGCCTTCAGGATAGACGGGCGAGGTGGGTTGGTCCCATTGTGATTTCTTGGTGTAGATATTGACGTAGAACCTGGTTGTTGGGAGTGGTTAGCTTGTGATACCGGAGTGAGTGTTAGTAGAAAGGCACTTACCATTCTTTGTACTGGTCGTTCCATACTGCTTTATATCCTTCAGGGACTTTTGGGGGCGGAGGACCGCTTGGAGGTAGGAATTCGCTCATGTTTGATCATGGGTTGTTTGGAAGGTTGATCAGATGTAATATGTTGGATGTGGTTGGCGATGTCCACTGGGTATTAGTGCAGAGTCGCAGGTTTCGGGAGGCAGCGGGGTTTGTTCCGCCGGGGTTAAAGTAGCGAATCAAGTAAAAACGACATTAGATGAATAAGAAGGTCGTCGGTGATTTGTGAATGTGGTTTGTGGATATTCTCAAGTCAGAATACAAATTGCGGATGGTTTATTAGGTGTTTCTAGAAAGATCAGAAGAATGGTTGAAATATCAAGAAGAGCTCAAGCTATCGCCCCTTGTACCAAGAACGCGTCATACTTGGCAAATCCCGAAATACTGGTATGGGTTGAGCTTCGTCAGGCTGAGCCACAACAAGCACAGCCACCTTACACGTTATTGGGAAGAGGAACCCAAACGCTGAAGTTTGTCGGTATATTTTGGAATTCATAGGATAGAAAGAAACTGTATAGTTACGAGAAGTGTTCTTACTCGTATTAATTCATTTTCGAAACAGAAACCTATTTACAAATGTGGTCCCTAGAAATCTGCCCAGGTCGGTCACGTGAATCATCTTTGTAAACGTGCAAAGCGAAAGTCAAAACGTTACCGAGTACATACAAAGTACCTAGTTTCTAAACATACTAAGGCTATCAATTTACCTATCCGAGACGCTTAGTATAATATTCTTCTATAGTATATATAGAGTAATAGCTAGGTACTCTTGTTGGCATAGGGCTAGGGCGGCTTGTTTCGTACTACTCAAATAGTTCTCAATTTATTTCTGTACTTAGCAAGTTGAATTGAGTAGCCGTTTTCACTACTTAAGTTAAGTTGAGTAGGTACTCCTACTCAGCTACTTGTACAGTACTTGAATTCAGTATACTAGTCACGCCACAATCAAGAGACCAGCAACTTCTCAACCCTCCTCTCCAAACTCTCCTCAAACTCCCCCACTCCTCTCGGTAAAACCTTCATCCCACCCCCCTTCAACAAATATACCACCCTCCTCCTCCTCAACTCCACCTCCTCATCCTCACCCTCACTCTCACTATCCTCATCCCCCCTTTCCGAATCTTTGATCCCTTCCACAACCCTCCTCACCAAGTCTCCTCCTCAACTCCACCTCCTCATCCTCACCCTCACTCTCACTATCCTCATCCCCCCTTTCCGAATCTTTGATCCCTTCCACAACCCTCCTCACCAAGAACCGATCATGACTAACCACCACAGCCGCTCCATTCCATCCACTCAACGCCTCCGCCAAAGCACTCACAGTATGAAAATCCAAATGCGTCGTAATCTCATCCAGAACAAGTAGCTGCGGACTCTTCCATACCAATCTTGCGATGGCAAGTCGAACAAGTTGTCCGCCGCTCAGTTTCCGTAAGGGGACGTCACTTGCTGTACGGCCTGGGAGGCCCAGACTACCTAGTAACCCGCGGATTTCACCTTCGTCGAGTTTTTCGTCTGCGTCGGTGTTGGTGTTGATATCATTTGTGAGGAGGGAAAGAGCCGTGAGGTCTTCATCTGCGATTCCTAGTTGTTGGAGTGATTCAACAGCGTGTTGAGAGTAGTATCCTAAGCGAAGACGGGGATGACGGGTGATGGTTCCCTTGGTAGGTCTTGTGGTTTCGGTGAGGAGTTTAATGAGAGTTGATTTTCCAGCACCGTTCAACCCGACGAACCCCATTCTGTCACCCATATGGATTGTTAGATTGACATCCGAAAGTACTGCCGGTGCGGGTGTTGAAGCTTTCTGGGATGGGAATGTCAGAAATTGAGTCTCTAAAGTTTTCTACGGAATCTGGTGGTATACCTTCGCGGTCGGGTATCTAAAAGTAACTCCCTCCAACGAAACTAGCGGTCCAGGGAACCTCAAATCAGGAGCCATTGGGAGCACAATAGAAACACCCTTCTCATCAGCGGGAATATCAATTTCTGCTCTCGCGCTCAAATGATAGCCAGCCAAATCACGATTCAACTTGAATCGTCCCCCGCTGGCACTTTTCTGCATACCCATCCTATCATCCAATTTCTTTTGTCTCGACTTTGCTTGTCTCAACTTATTGTCATCGCCAGCCGCTTTGCCTTGCTTGATATTCTGCTGGATAGTATTTTGAATATGTGACTTCTGCTTCTCTTGAGCATCCCGCATCCGTGTCAGGTATTTCTGTTTATCGCGAATGGACTTGTCGAATGCTGTTAGCGAACCACGGAAGTAGGTCAGAGTTTGATCACGAAGAACGATCAGTTCCTGGCAAATCGCATTGATAAAATCTCGGTCATGGGAGACCAGAACTACAGTAGGTGGATCTGGGGAGTCATGGAGTTGCTTCAAATATTTTTCCAGCCAGATAATCCCCAAAAGATCGAGGAAGTTTGTTGGCTCGTCGAGAATGAGGATGTCGGATGGTTGAAGGAGAATACTTGCTAGGTTAGTACGCATTCTCCATCCTCCTGAGAGGGTGCCAATCGGTTTATCAAAATTGGTCTTTGGGAAACCTAAACCCGTGAGGATACTTTTTGCCTTACTTTCGATATCAGCTATTCTTGACGGCTCGACTTGTGTTTGGAGATCGACCAGAAGATCACTCGCTTCAGCAGTTTCTACTTGTATAGCTGCGTCTGTGATGTCTTCGTCTTTTTGTGAAAGTCTAGATGTTCAAGTCATTATTGGGTTTTGATAATTCATTTGAAAGCTTCGAACTACCTTTCAGCAGACTCAGCAATCTTCTTCTCGAAAGCTGTTAAGGCTTTTCGAGCAGCCATTCCCCGAGTACCGCTTCGCAGACGAGCATCTTTATCAAGTTCAAATAGCTCTTTCTTCAGACGATCATGATGAACCTGTCTTAAAGCTCTGGGGGGGGCCAAAGGAGAAGCTTGCCCTTCCACCGCTTTAAGAAGCACTGGGAAGTGATTAGTATTAAACGATGTTCTTAAGAAGAGAAAGGAATGATGCCTACCATCAATTTCTTGTTGAATATCATTCCTTGAAGTAGCCTTCTCAATTACTTCTTCCAGGACAGAGAGTTGAGGCTTCGATGACAGAGCTCCTGATGGGCCTTCGACAGTGTCACATGATGATACCTTATCTGAATCTGTTTGCTGAAGGATGGATATTCTTGTTCTTATAGGGATGCCTGGAATCAACTTCTGAGCCACAGCTTTGAGTAATGCTAGTATCTAAGAGTTAATTTTACACTCTCCAACACATTCACGATATCACGTACTTGATTTTCCGGTCCCATTCCGACCGATTAAAGCATAGTGTACCCCGGCCTTGAGTTTAAGACTTGCGTTTGACAAGATCTCCAGTCCCTCGGCTCTCGCTTTGCCTTTGGGTTTTGTTGCAGTGTTTGCAGGGGCTGACGTCACGGTGATATTTAGGCCCTCGATATCAAGCTGTGTTATTGTCAGATTGATGGAATCTTTTTCAACCATAGGTTGATTACTTGTTGATATACTGGGGTTTTTATATCAAATCTTGTCTGCTTGCTTGAACAAAGTATTGCGGTTTCGGACTCGTCCATAGTGGTGGGAGTGAAATGAACCTATTCTTGTTGCAAGGCTTGGAAAGGAGAGTAGAACCTGTAAAGCGTGATTAAATCTCCCTTCGATAACAGGATGGCAGTCTTTCTTGGTGCATACAAAGGTGGATGCTGTTGGGCTACAAATACACGAGGAAAAGGAAGTCGCAGTCGTCGCACAAGACCCAATCGGAGGACACCACTTCACCACATCACCGGTCTGAGTCACTGGGTCTTTACGAAGGTAAACTTGAGGGGATAGATGCAGCCTTGACTCATCAAGATGCCTCAGATTCTTGGCCAGATTCTTTCAGATATTTACCAGGAATCATCGCATGGTTAATTGACGCAATGAGATAGGCGCAATGAGCAACCCCGATCGCGTCAGCTCGTTCCAATGTTACCCGAGAAGGGTTCGTGGCGGAAAGGTTTGAGTTTCCGCCACGAGCTATTTATGTAGGTTCCACTACATAATTATAAAATCATGGAGAGAATACCCTCTTATTTTGTTTGTCCCAACATCTTTCAATCGAAATTATTTTTAGTAGGATTGTCCAAATGCCAGGTACCCAACCCCTCTTTTAGATGACAAGAGCGCAAGTTCACACCTAACCAAGGTCCCGAGGATCTCAAGGAGTAAGCCTTTCCTTTTAACTCAGAGATCGGGTCTCTAATTTTACTACATCACTCTTCCCACTAGAGACGTTATTCATGAAGGGAGGGGAAAGCAAGCGAACTCGCATACACATGCTTATCCCTCAGAGGGCAGAGAAATCACTTTATCTACTCACAATCGAGAAATGATTGAGTTGCAAGGAGGGATAGAATATCCAGGTACAGAAATATACCGAATAATTTACCGTCAATAATTATTTTGCTGTCAAAGGCATACCTTGCGTTCCACTTGCAGACTAAGATACTCATTTCAGGTTGGAACTGGAGGAGCAAAGTCTAATTTCAAAACAGGGGAAACACATAATACATTCTAGGAGACGCGAGATAACTTGTAATTCACACCTGCAGCATTTTCCCAGATGATAGCAGTACTCAGCCGTCATTCTTAGTTGAACTCTCTAATTTTGTCTTTTCCCCTGGCTTAAATTTTCCAGCTGAACAGCGACATTTTCTTGAAGCACCCAATCTGAAGGAATGTCTTGCTCATGCACCGGTTGTACAAATTTTACTTCAAATGAAGAGTCGACTTATGGTTCGGCTCGTTTAGGTGTACTACATTTTTGTGGTCTGGCGCGGTGGGGTGTGAGAGAGAGACATAGGACTTTAAACCTTGTAGTAATAGCCCATGAAGTCTATATAATTTTATTACACATGAATCCTACAACCGATCCCACTACAATCTAAGAAGATGATATTCCGACTATCCTCTCGAGAAAATTTCACATTTAGTAATTACCAGGCGCACTTAGGACAATAAAACCTCTAATAAACAAAATCCCCCAATCTTTGAGAATAACTAAATACACACTTGAAGCTTACGCGAAACAACTGGACCCCAAAAATAGAGGCTGTCCTCCTCTCTTTTAGCTACGAGTTCTTATACCCCCTATTGTCTCTTACGTGATCTCACTTCTCCCTTCACTATATCCATACCTATCACTTCTAGTTCAAAACACTTCCATATCCCTGATAATCCCTCCCAATGAAACCAATATAAGACTCATCTGAACCACCTCAACCATCTAAACTGTATAATACTCCATTAACCAGAACTCCAAGAGAATAATGATTAAAAAAGTGACAATAGTACACCAACCAAAGGCCTTAGGGAACCCATCTACACGAGATCAACAACATTCCCTTATTCTCTCAAACCACACCACCTCCCACCTCCCTAAAATCCACAACCCAAGGATATCTCAGCACCTTGATCGCTCACTTTACCTTAGCTTGAAAGGTAACCGAAAACGGAGACAGGTTGTCAGATTCTGTAAGCGAAAGTGGGGCACCAAAATAAAACAACAACAAAAAAAGACAACCAAAAAAAAAAAGCCCAAAAAATAACGTGTGGGGATCGGCCCACTTGGGAATTGGCCCAGTTATTTTGTTAGCAAACTCAAAGAGGGGAGGGGAATTACCTTAAGAAACCTGTAGTTAGCATGAGCGCGCCTAATACTGATATTCCGTATTTCTACGGACAGTATGACCCCGTGTCTACTAAGTAAACCCGTGGCGCCAATACCATTGAGCCACGAAGGCTAGTGTATTGTATGTGTTTTTTTTTTGTTGCCGAGGAAAACGCTTACTAGTGGATTTAAAATTAACATGTATGGGGGCAAGGTGAAGCGAAGTTACTGGGACCTGTGAGAACTGCTATTCACTCTCATTTTCACCTTCACACACAGCACCTTCAACCATTCGCCGAGGCACTGTCACTGTCACCTTCAGTCGCATTAAGTTTTGCTATTCACTTTTATCCTCAGCCTTGCGCTCCAACTTTGACTATTTATTTTTCTCTCCAACAACCGCGCCTCCACCCAGGCTACGTCGAGCATCGCTCTATATAATCTAACCTTGGCTAGATCGAAGCTATATAACGATGGATCCCAACCAGACTATTCAAGAGACCTTTATAAAGGCCCCCACGGAAAATGACCGTCGACAAGAAATTGGCCCTTCTAACCTCGTACCCTACCCCGAAATCGCCGTTATCCAGAAACTGCAGGGTAGTGAATTTAAGATTCCACACTATAACAACGCACACTTCTACTACTTGACTAGGGTGTTACGCTACAAGATATTTTGTCACGACATGGACAATCTGAATCAACACACTATAATTCTGCGAAGAACTATAGAGGAGAGCTGGGCACATGTTTGCCGGGTCAAATCTTAATGATTTACCATTAAGCCTCAGAAAAATAAATCTGACGCTAAGACTAAAGAACTTAAGTCGCAGCTCGAATATGCTCTTATAGCTACACTTTTGCAAGTCGGAAGCTATGAGGGATTTGATGTCGAGGACTACTAGCGCCGTCGTGAGGTAATTGCTGTGAAGCGCAACATTAGCATGGAGTATTTGGTATGTACTATTCTTTCTAGCAATTTATAGCTCGATTTCCATCAAAACTACAATAGCACGGCATTAATCCATTTTCCCCCTTCGACGCGGTTCACCTATTGACGGAAACCAAGTTCCTAACACTTGATCAAGGAGTCATGGCCAAGTACCAAGCACTCTTCAACCATAAGACTAGCAAATTTTACCCTACCCCGATCGAAGAACTTAAACGCCTAGGAAGTTTGCCCAAGAGAAATAAGGTCGATCTTAGCGCCCCAGAAGTATCAAAAAATGATGAAGATTATATAGACGACATCATGTCGATTGACCTTTCAAACGACGACATCGGGGATAGCGAGAGAGTATGGCCACCTCCTTCTCCTAAAGCGCTAAATCGAAAAGAAAGACGGGCTGAGCAGAAACGCGTTATGGAAGCTGCTGCCGCATGGGTCTCCGAGTCTCAAATCCCAGATGAACCGACTGAGCAACTCGCATTTCGCCCAGCAATCAAAAGAAAACATGATACTGATGATGAGGCTGCCAACTCTCGACCTCCACCACATCTCCGTTAGGTTCTGCATTGGGTACAAAGTTCATTGGATTTCAAGGTGATTTCCAGAGGTCTGGATGGAGTTTCCTCGCACCAAGGGAGGATATCATGATTGTGAAGGAAATCAATGATCTTTCTGGTTTGGACAGCATGGCTGGCGTGAACAGACTTGTAAATAAACTTAGTACTCGTACACAGGTAAATCCCAATTCGTTGCTCGCGGAATGAAGATCTGAAAATACTGTAGAGAGCTCAATAACTTTTCATCTCAATCACTATCTTGGGGTTCTTATGTGCTGCCAATCCTCTCTATCTTTCCCCCTCTCTCTATCTCTCTCTAGTACCAGATAACAGCAGCTTCAAACACGGCCATGCTTATGTTACATCTTGCTTGAGATTACACCCATGACCAGCAGAATCAAAGGTCAATTAAGATATGTGAAAAGCTTGCGGAAGTGTACACGCCAACGTTAGGCGAGTAATACCCACTCATAAACCCATCAAGCATCCAACTCCACATCAACAACATCCACCCTCCCCTCTCTAAACCCCAAAGGCCTAACCCACCGCCACCCAAGCATAGTCCAATTCAACTCCTTCCTCCACCAAAGCCCATGACCCAGTCCCCCCTCATCCGCACAAAGGCCCCCGGTACCACACATCCTCTTCTCAAAAACCGCTCTGCCAAACCTAGAATGTACAATAGCCATAGAACACATAACACACGGTTCATGTGTACAGTATATCTCGAGGTCATGACATAGATAACCACCAACATCGACTTCTTTCTCAGGAAGATCGTTTTCTAGATCAAGGAGTGGATGATTGCGGAAGATACCCCCCTCGGTATCAGGGAAAGGAGGGATAGCCGAAGGAGATGTATAATCCCTAGCCAAACCCTCGGACACCATCCCAATCCCCCTCATAACAGCATGAGCCGTCACATTTCCCTCTCCTCCCTCTTCCCTCCCCCAGCGACACCACCTCCCATCTCCAGCCCCAACAACCACCCTCGCCTCTCCCCCCCTCCTCTCCACAATAACAACCCCCACCCCCTCACCCACGCCCTCCTCCCTCGCCGCATCCGCAAGCCCCCAAGCACTATCCATCCACCCCCTCACACCCCGTAGAACCTCCTCTTGAGCCCGCGACACAATCGCAACATGCGGTCCAAAAGGAATACTCTTCTTATACACACACGGCCAGTACTTCTCACTCCATCCTTTCGCTTGTTCCGCAGAGGTCGGCGCCAGGAGAGGGATCTCCGTCGTGGAGAGTTTTACGCCGGGACCGAGGATGCTTTCGAGTGAGGGGAGGAGGGAGGAGGGCGAGATGATGCTGGTCGCAGCGATGAGGAGGAAGATTTTAGTTTCCTCCTCACACCCTTCCTCCTTCAGTCCTTCATTCTCGTCCACCGAGGACCTCAAGGACTCAGGACCATCCTCCCCACAACCCTCAAAATACCTCCTCCTCACCCCCTCCGGAACAACCCCCGGCTTCGCAAACCTCCTCAAATGCTGAAAATCATACCCCCCATCTCTCGGAACCAGCGTGCGAACCAAGCTGATCAATCCAACAGATCAGCAATCTATTCCCGTTTCCCCCTTCTTCTTCTTCTCCCCATGCAACCAACCAAACCAGTAAAGAAATAAAAAAAAAGCGCGACTCACCCCAAAGTACTGCTAGCTTTCTGGATGGGTACCGTAGTGATATACACATTCAAAACTCGAACCGCAGCACGGATCTCCAATATCGTCTTAAGCGGAATCAACTGCCCCCCATCTGCAGGAGGAGCTGGAGCGGGAGCTGGAACGCAGTGGCTTTCCGCCGACTCGCTGTTCATTTCAAGCAGGTGTTGTCAGCCTTGTCGAATTTCAGGATGGCGGGGGCGGGGTAGCTACAGTAAAGCTTACCTACTCTAGCTTAGATTCCAGTTGTGAGAGATTATCACGTGTAAATTCTTGATTCGATGGAAGTAAATCATGACGGATTGTATTCTGATCTACGCTTCTTGATCTACTTGTGCAACTCAATTTTATGGGATATTAAAGCTTGATCAAACTATTATCTTCACACATAATACGATGCACACACAAACTTTAATTTACTCCGCTTTTCATTCAGTTTCTAGTTACATGTTTGGTTCTTCGAGAGATCCGCCCAACAACCAGATCCCCCGAGAAAAGGAGGATAAGGAAAAATAATAATATCGTCATAAAGGCTCCTCCAGATGCTAGAGTAATGCATCAACAAGAAGCTGCAAACTCTCTTAAATGACGCCCAAGCCACACGAGAGATCAAATGTGACTTCGCTCTGCCAAGTAAAGGGGAGATACAAAGTGAACCGCATATTAGCAAATCTCATGCCCAAAGTTTTCTGTTCTTGAAACCACGAGAATGAGCCGCAAGTTACACCGATAGTAGAATAGAATCGCAGGTATGTGTAAACACAAGATAACTGCCCCAGAGCTATCGAAAAAAGAACTGACCCACTGACATGCCGAGGAAAAAAGGGAAATGGGGAAACGAACGCAAATTCCACGAAAAAAGGAAAAACAGGCAAGGAAAATGGAGGTCTATGCGGATAGATTCCGGTACAGATACAAGTTGAGCCGCGCAGTCGCTCCTATTGTACCCTGCGCTGAGAAAATTGATGTTGAGAATCATGCCCGATCTTTTGTGATCGTGCGTTTTTTATGGTACAAAGTGCCGCTGAAAAATATGCTGAAGACCGTCTTTGAGAGGACCGCATTAACGCTGCGCTGCGAAAGGGAAGCAAGCCTGTGGATGCTATTGTAACATAATGGCCGTGAATATCGTATGTGAAAACAGTGTTCAAAATTACTGAACCACCAAAGTGGACAGTAATGAGACTGCAGAAGAGAAGTTGTGCATCCAAGGCGAGAATATAGAATTATCGTTCCTCGTACCGTTACAAGCGTGAGATCGTGTCGTCATAACCAAAGCGTGAACGAATATGCATGTTTTACAACCAATTACCAGCACCTCCTGGGCCGACGTTTGGAGCAGCACCTCTGTATGGAGGAGAGAAGTACTGTGGAGGAGGAGAGGAAATCTCGCCATTGACGGGGAAGGAGTTGTTGTTCTGGACTGGTGTGAGAGCTCCAAGACCATTTGCAATGCCATTGGTAGGAGTTTGAGGAAAGCCATTGGCATAACCATTACCATTGCCAACTGGGCTGGTAAATGGACTGACAACAGCAGGAGTCGAAGCGTTCGAAAGACCGCGTGTGTGACGGGCAACAGCCTGGATGGACTCAAGAGCAGATTCGGTCGCAGGGGTCTGTTGACCGCTTGATGGACCACTGCGAGTATTTGGAAGCTGAGGGACCGGACCGGGAGTAGCTTGCTGAGACTGGGCCTGAGCCTGGTTCTCACTGCCTTGAATCTTGGCTTGAATTCGACGACCGTATGGTGTGGTACGAATGGCAGGGAGGTGAGGGCGGATAGCCTCAATCAAACGAGCCTTCATGGCGGGATTTGCATAATCGAGGGCAGTTTGAATGACATAGTTAGCAAAAGAGTCTCGGAGTAGACGATCAAGCTCAGCGGGTTGAAGCATTTCGTTGATCAGCATGTCCTTAGATTCTTCCTGGGAGCAGCGAAGACACTTTTCAATGACATTGGAGCTGAACTTTTGCTTGGATAGCTGACCGACCTTGCCTTCAAACATTCTGACGAGAGGCTCAGTGAAGAGTGGCTCATTGAGATCAAGAATGTATTGAACAACGTAATTGCCAAAAGGATCTTGAACAAGAACATAGGCATTGTTGGAGATTTGTTGAATCAACCAAGCCTTCTGATCGCCAGAGGCATGATCAATGCATCGTTGAAGAACACAGCATCCATGGCGATGGGTTCCCACATCAACACAATTGTTTCCAACAGCGGTGAAAATGAATTGTGCGTCAGCCGGAGACAACTTGTTAAGACACTTTTGGATAACATGGTTACCGTTGAGATCTTGAATAAGCTCAACAACGCGATATTGAAGAGCCCCAATGATTGTTTGGACTTGGCCAGGGGTAGAGATAAATTCAATCATCTTTTGCAAAGCTCGGGTTCCATGTTGGTTCAAGGCGATGCGGACGAGGTCATGAGACGCATTCTCGATAAGAACAGTGCGTTCGTCATCATTGCAGTACTCGAGCAACTTCTGACAAAGGTAATTGCCAAAGGGATCGGTCATGAGTTCAATGACATGTTGGTTTGTCTCAAGCCAAATCATATGGACTTGGTTAGGGTCACGGTCTTCAAGCTTCTTTTGCAGATAACGACATCCATGTTGGTCCTTGCAGAGGGTGTAAATTTCACCTCCCAACTGCTCCAAGGCCATGTTTGCAAATCGGTTCATAGCTAAATACAACGTTAGCTAAAGCCTTGAGCTTCATAGGAGATAATGATGAAACTTACCTTCGCCATCATTTTGACGACGTTGTTGAATCACACGTGCTTGGCTGTCACGAGGAGTTGCTTGAGGGGTGTACATGCCAGCAGCTCCGACGGTAGTACCTTGGGCACCATATGCATATGGGTTGTGAGGAGAATACATTGGTTGCGCCAATTGCATGTTCTGCATACCCATGTTCAACATCTGCATGTTGTAATTGGGGTAGTAGCCTGGAGGAGATGGGTATTGTTGACTGCCAGTTGGAGATGTCATAGCTGCAGGAATTTGTGGTTGAGACATGCCTTGGGTGAGAGAAGGTCCGAAAGGCGGAGCGTTAGCTTGAAGAGCCGATTGGATGGATTGATAACCGCCATTTTGAGCATCTCGAAGGGTTGCAGCTTCGGATGCATTCAACTCACGGCTGAGTCTGTTCATAGCGTTTGGCGGAATACGACCCAAGCTTGCGTTATGGTTGTGAAGATGTTGTTGTGCGTGGGAGTTGGGGGTTGTATTAACGCTTGGAGCTCCGTTGGTGCCTGATCTCATTGTTGGAACGTCATTGGCAGAGTATGATGATTGGAGCTTTGGCGGGGTTTGTGCCATGCTTGGTGGGGAAGAGATTTGAGGCTCTTGACCTTCGAAGAAGTTCATATCAATCGAGTGACGATAAGTTGGGCGAACGTTGATAGGGGATTGCGGTTCATTAGCTTGAGCAGCCGAAGCACCGTTTGTTTGGCTTTGAGAAACCATCGGGAGGCTTTGTTGAGATTGAGATGCCCGGTGGTGAGGACGAGCAAACATACCCCAGCCGTTTGAGTGCGACTCAGGGCCAGGTGACGAGGACGAGGTAGCCAAGTCGAGTGCAGCAGATGAAGCGGACAGCTGCATTAAGCGGTCAGCAATAAAGTTCAGACGAACCAAATGATAAGACTCACCATTCCCGGGTATCCGTCACCACGGACAAGGATTGGGAAGTTGTCTTTGGTGGTGGTTGCGTTCATGTAGTTCTTGATATCTGGAGATGTCGCACTGTCCTCTTCACCAAAGAGAAAGCGGGCGGTGTTGCTGGGATCAAGGAGGTCAGGCATACCGTTGCGGGATCTGGTAACTGGCATAGAGTATCTGTTGAGGCTGGGTAATTATCAGCAACAGGAAAATTGGGCGGTTTGAAGAAGAGTCCTGGCTTTTGCGACCAGCGATGAATTATGAAGTAAGGGTGAAAGGGTGGTGGGATTTTGGATGACAATAAATCAATTGATGAATTGAGTAATGCTGAGCGAACAACGGAGAGGCTCCGTGATAATGGATAACAGAAGACGAGTATGTGGTGGAGAAGTTTTGTGTAAGAAGGATGGAAGAGGGAGAGGATCGTGAGGTTGTGGAAAGAATTTGTAAGAGAGAAAAAGAGGGGGCTGGTATTGAGAGGTTGAAGGTCAAGTTTGCGCTCAGAGAGCACTGCAAACCGAAGGTGCAAAAGGTGAATATAACCGAGTGTTCAGATAAAGTGAAGGTGAGTGAGTAACTACTCCCTCACCTTTGCGCATCACAAGATGCTGCCTTGGACCAACCTCGTGATTTTTGACAGCCAGGCAACTGCTGCCGAAACTCTGAATGTATAGGCGAAATTTGACTTCAACGACATGAAGAGACAAAATTCAGACTTGACAACAGAATCTCAATATGCAGGGATGAGAGAATGAGAGCGCATGGATCTCGGACAGTTTTGTAAAAGGAAGAAAAGTAGTAATAGAGGGGAAGAGAAATCAAAGTACTCACGCATTTGTGGAGCGATGGCTGGTGGGATCTTGTCGAACAGCTTCCTCCTTTTCATCTTCGTCGCTATTGCGTCGAGAGGCAGAACCTGATTGAGAAGTCAAGTTGTCGTCCATCATGCGAGATTGCAAAATGCCTGAGTGTGGAGAAGTAAGTTGAGATCCAGATCTTCCTGGGCGATTGTAAAGACCTGGGGGAGAGGTAAGACTGGAGGTGGAATAACGATTGGGTCGAGAGAAGACGGAAGGGAAGCCAGAAGTAGTCTCGCGATATTCAGGAGGAGTTGTAGGCTCAGACTGGTGTCCTGTGTTCTTGGTTCGACCGAGGTCTTCAGTCATTTGGGCAAGTTCTTGTTCTTCTCGGCGTTGTTGTAGATCGAGAAGTTGCATCTCAGCCTCGAAGCGTCGCTTTTGTTCCCGCAGTCTCTCGTACTCGAGCTTCTTCTTCTCTAGCTGTTTCATTGATTAGCCAAGGCAACAAACAAGGATGAGCGTCTAGAGGCTTTGCGAAAAGAATTGATATTGTTGATGTTGCTATTGTCGGAGAAGAGGGAGAAATTTGAGTTTGCAGCGATTGCGGAGGAGGGAATCAGTGAATTTGTGCGCAAAGAGGATGGCTTACAAGTTGAACCTTGTGGTAAGTCTGAGTTATTTGATGTTAGTGAAGGTATTATTTTACAACAATCCGAGGTTGGAATTAAAAGTTGAAGTTGAGGTTGAAAGCTATGCGCAAGTTTTCGGTTGCGGGGGAAGACAATAGAGTCTCGGAGGGTATTGTGGACGGGGGAGGGGACAATAGCTTACCGAGGGGCCGTACTCCTGCTGCTGGGTCTCTGCACCACCACGGTGATTCGCCAGTAGATTCACAGTAGGAGTCCTGCCAGAGTCGGTAGTGAATCGGCGCATCAGACCCCCTCGAGTATCTCGGCTATCTTGTGAATGAAGAGGTTGGGAGACTCGACTGCCGTTGTTTCGCGGAGGAGAGACGAGGCCCATCAAGGATGAATCATTGCGCGAGGATTGCTGGCTGCGGAAGCGCAACTCGTCGATGCGATCGCTGGTGCTATTGGAATATGCCATTTTGAGGAATAATTTACTACGAGGGCATCAGTTACAGGCCATTGTCATCCATCTCGCGCTGGACGAGTCCTCGAGGTGGGGATTCTTGGACGGTGAGTTCCAGGAACACACGGCTGACCCTCGAGACCAGCACCACCACCACCGCGATGTCCAGCGCTGGGAGGGGAGAGAGGATGGAGGGGCTACTGCGTACTTGACTGATATCCAAATTGGAAGCGAGGGTAAGCGAGCGTCCTCGGCGGACGGGCGCGGGGCGAGAAATTGTGTTATATCCAAAAAGAAATGAGACGATAATTTGAGGAAGTGAAGGAGTCTGGAGTCTGGCTGTCGAAAGTGAAGGGTTGCGCCCCTACTCGTACCCGACCTTTTTAGCGTTTAGCGTCCAACGGAGGAACCACCAAGGAGGGCTGCCCTCCATGAAAAGTGGGGCCATGATGGCCTCCATTTGTGGTCTAGTCGAGGTCGAGGTCTCGCATTCCTGTACTTCGTACATGTTTTCCAGCGCATCGGTTTGGAGTATTTGGGGATCCTCCAGATCTCGATGCCAAACTCGCGAGACTGAAGTTTTCCATTTGGGTCTAAGCTTTGGAAATGATCGCATTCATTAATTGTGCTCCAGTTTTGAGGACATCAACTACGTGGGAAGCGCCGCTTTTACGGTCTACCGAGGCGGTGTGGAGAAGGATATTTACTTCGGTACCTCAGTTGGTGGCCGTAAATAGACAAGATTTATAAGCATAAACATGGATTTGGATCGCTCTCTGCGCTGGAATGGAAGAGAGTTTACCATGTTCAATATTTCCAGATCATTGATCGTCTCACGTCGTTCATCAGCAAGCTCAAGGGAGGTAAGTTCGTAAGTACTGTACGAACACTTACCTTAGCACGCTTAGCTACCGGTTTCCTGCAGAGCGATCCGCGGTGAGACGAGAGAGCCGAGCCGAGTTCAGAACCACCCGACTCCCACTGCCACGGCCATGCCACCATACTGTACCATACAGTAGGTAGCTAATCTAATCGCTCGTCTAATCGCTCCTCGCTCTAGTGCGCTCCCAGCCTTGCAGATTACCCTTCTCGGGGTCAGTGGTCACTGACATATATACATGCCTTTCTCTGACTTTAGCATTCAAGTTGACCTCATCGGGGCGATTAGTACTGCAGCAGCACCACCTTTGCAGCGGGGTGGTCTGTGTGTGGGCACGGCCGAGTGAGAAACTGGGGAACCGGAACTTGACCACATGCGCCTTCTGCTGGGCCGTGAAGACCGCGAAGACCGCAAAGGGCCGTGAAGCAATTACCAAGTACTCCGTATCCCTTCCATAGCCATTGCCTTGGGAGCTTCCACTGTCCTGCATCCTGCATCCATATTCCTCTTCAACCCTCGTTGCTGAGCTCTATATCTCGCGGCAGAGTGGCCACTTCTTTGTGCCTCCAACAAAGTTCATACAGTATTTCATTCTTCCCAGGCGCGTTTGAGCCACTAGCCTCCAACCTACGAGTACAACCCAGGTAATGATCGTCGCCAGCAACATCGACGGCTACGAGAAACAACAGCTACACCTACCGCATCAGACCACTCCAGGCACTGGCACTGGGCCTTCCAGTCACGACCGCTGCCCCTCAAACTATAGCAAGTTATCGATATCGTGGATCGAAGCTGTCCTGCGCCTTTCGACAGCCAGGCCGCGAGCCTCATCCGGCATCGACATTACCGGCGAACCCGAGAAATCATCCTTCATGGCTCGGTAGGACGATGAACTCTCTGAATATCCTCTCGGCGCGAGTTTCGCCGCCGCAGACGCCATCGCCCTCGCGAAGCGCCTCGTATGCCAACCTCTCCTCGTCAGTTACAGCCACAGGGTCCAGAAGGAACTCGCGGGCAGCGCTGGAAGAAAAGGGAGAAAGGGAAGGGGGTGCTCACGACGCCGATTTCGACGACGAGAATACGATACATGAAGATACCCCGTTGTTAAACAAAGAAGCTGATGGATACCCGGGGGTGACGCAGTCTGGTTGGCACATGTTTCCTAAGAGAATATCGGCTGCGGTGATAGAGTCAATACGATGGGTCCTTTCAACATTCGCGGCCCCAGGTGTATACCTGATCGCATGTCTGTATGATGATAAGGGAATCTTTGCGCCATTTTCGCAGCTTAGAAAATTCGGTACAGCATTCTATGGGAATGGGAGACGGGGGTCCGCCGGTCAACTCGGAATGTCATCACAGGAATTGCGCATGCGGGAATCAAATAATGGGAAATCATCACATCGTCGAGCTTCCCTAAAAGGTAGCAGGAAAATATCATCCAACTCTTCTTCGTCAGGCCTCTCATCCGAATCAGAATCAGAAAGAGAACGTTCCGTCAATGAATCTGGGATATCTTCCTCCGGTAGGTTGGGCCATCACAGCCGCTCGAAATCGGTAGAACCTGTAGGCGAGACCACTCCAACGAGACGCTCAATTCGAATAAGACTGCATAATGAGGATAGCTTGCGCCAGAGGAAACCTGGCCGTACACGATCCGCAAGCACCCAAAGCAACGGTTCCGGTGGCGCGATGTCATCGACAGATGTATCCCCTGCTTCTATCAAGTCACCAACTTCGCCTGCTTCATCACTTCTCATGACCAAATACCCCCGCGCCCCTGCAGCACCTCGGCCACTCATTCCACAGCGGCAGCCTTCATACGTGCTTCCAGATGCGGCAAACGGGAAATTGATACAAAAGACCTTGATCCTTGATCTAGATGAAACATTAATACACAGCATGGCCAAAGGCGGTCGCATGAGTACAGGTCACATGGTTGAAGTGAAGCTCAATACTGTCGTTGGTGCTGGTGGCACTGCAACACTAGGACCACAACATCCTATTCTGTATTATGTTCACAAACGGCCGCACTGTGACGACTTTTTACGAAAGGTATGTGGATGTATATCATTCCTGATGCTGGGTATCTACTAAGTAAAATCAGGTTTGTAAGTGGTACAAACTAGTCATTTTCACAGCTTCTGTTCAAGAGTACGCAGATCCAGTGATCGACTGGCTGGAGCAGGAGCGCAAATTCTTTTCTGGTAGATACTACCGTCAACATTGTACCTTTCGTCATGGCGCTTTCATCAAGGATTTGAGCTCTGTGGAGCCTGATCTCAGCAAAGTCATGATTCTTGATAATAGTCCCTTGAGTTATATGTTTCATCGAGGCAGGTTTACCCTTTCTTTTGATGGCGCGCAAAAGACTAACCTTTTCACAGACAATGCTATTCCAATAGAAGGATGGATAAATGATCCAACCGATAATGATTTACTGCATTTGGTGCCTCTATTAGAAGGATTGCAGTGGGTGACCGATGTCCGGGCCCTACTTGGTTTGCGGGGAGGAGAGGATGGCAAGCAATAGCATAGTGACATTAGGGTTGTAATTGATTGATTCTTTGAGACTGCGGTAGCGTCTCTTTGCATTGTAAAATATCTCACTTACATATCTAACCCTACCTTAGCTTGTGTCGCTTTGGTAGGTATGCTGCAGTGAAGGCCTTCCCTCATTTTCCAACATTTCTAGGATTAGTACAAGTAGTCCAAGAGTTTGACGTAGTTATTGTTATCTAAGGAAGAATGGAGAAGGTGGGCTTGAAGAGTTACAAAATCTTAGAAACCAGATTTCTCTCAATTCTAGACAATAGAAGGGCGAGGAAGGGTAGAATAGAAAGCTATGCTATCCACTGCCGTTTCGCGAGCTCCTGTATCAAGCTCCTGGGAGAAGTGACAGGGATGTTATAACACTACCGGTACCATGTCGGCAGAGTCCTTGGCATCAGTAGTTCCTAAAGCCTTGGCATTAGTACCCCACCATTTTTTTCTATTCACTGCAGAGCTCCACGACGGAAGTCTGACTGACATTTAAATCCACTTGGATCCTCTATCCTTCGCTGTCGCAAACACGTCCCACGATGCGGTAGCACTCTCACGATACATCCCATCTAACTACGGAAATCGCAGATCGCATACCGTCGAAATGCTCGATTCAACTAAACTGCAGGTCGTGGACCGCCCACCAAAGCGGTTCAAGGAGCTGCAGTTTGGTATTCAGTGCGCAACCTCCTCTCGCCTTGGAAGCTCGTGCTAACTCAATCTCTTCTAGGTCGAACCAAGATATCGCAAACCAAGCCGTCGTCGAGGTGTCAGATAACATGCTATACGATGTTGAGAAGAATCGAAGACCCACCCAACATGGAGCTTTGGACTCTAGACTGGTGAGACCATATCAACATACATGCTGATAGCGTATACACTGATACAAAGCTTTTGCGCAGGGAATCTCTAGTAAGACTGGCGCCTGCGAAACGTGCGGCGAAGGGCTACAGAATTGTAATGGTCATTTCGGGCAGATCAAACTCGCACTCCCGGCTTTCCACATAGGATACTTGAGCCTTACTCAGAAAATACTGCAGCAAATATGCAAGGTACGAGTGATTCAATCTTGGGCTATAGGATTGTAGGCTAATAATTCATATAGGATTGTTCGAAAGTATTGCTTACCGAACCTCAACGACGTTCTTTCCTCAAGGAGCTTCGACGACCTGGAATTGATAACCTTAAACGAACTCAAATTTGCAAACGAATCAACGAACAATGCCGTAAAAGTAAAACTTGCCAATATTGCGGCACAGTCAATGGCCAGATACGAAAGGTTGCAGCTCTGAAATTGGCGCACGATAAATACACAACTTTCAACAAATCGACTGCTAAAAATAAAGTTACACCGCCGGGATACAATGAATTCAATGATTCCTTCAATGAGGCGAAAAAACATAATCCGGAACTGGAAAAGCATACTAAAAAGGCGATAGAAGACTTGAGTCCATTGCGTGTGTTGAAACTTTTTCAATTAATCTCGCCCAGCGACTGCGAGCTTTTGAATATGAATCCTGCTGAGGGAAGACCAGAAATGTTCCTGTGGCAGTTCGTACCGGCCCCTCCAATTTGTATACGACCTTCTGTTGCGCAGGATGGCGCCAGTACCGAGGACGACTTGACTACGAAGTTATCCGATATTGTTCATATTAGTTCATTGATACGAGCGGCCCTCCTCAAGGGGCAATCGCTTCAAACCATCATGGAACAGTGGGATTTTCTTCAGCTTCAACTTGCACTCTATGTCAATAGTGATGTTCCCGGTCTCCAACAAGCGGGATTCAAACCCATACGAGGATTTTGCCAGCGGTTGAAGGGAAAGCAGGGTCGTTTCAGAGGAAATTTGTCCGGAAAGCGTGTCGACTTTTCTGGACGTACCGTCATTTCACCGGATCCAAATCTTGGGGTTGAGGAGGTCGCCATACCAATATTGGTTGCAAAGAACCTTACTTATCCTGAGCGAGTGCAGCGATACAATGTCGAAAAACTGAGACAATGCGTGAGAAACGGGGCCGCTAAACATCCCGGTGCTCAGCAAATTATTAAGAAAGGCTCCGATCATAAGATTGCGCTAAAGTTTGCCCGTTTGGAAAATGAGGCAAAGCATCTGCAGATTGGAGATGTAGTTGAAAGGCATCTTGAGGATGGTGATATTGTGCTTTTCAACAGACAGCCTTCCTTGCACAAACTCAGTATCATGAGTCACTACGTCAAAGTTCGCCCTTGGAGAACATTCCGTCTCAATGAGTGTGTGTGCAATCCTTATAACGCAGATTTTGACGGTGACGAAATGAATTTGCATGTTCCACAAACTGAGGAAGCAAGAACGGAAGCCATTAATCTCATGGGAGTTAAGAACAATCTTTCAACCCCTAAGAATGGAGAGCCAATTATTTCTGCTACCCAAGATTTTATCACGGCTGCTTATCTTCTGAGCAGCAAGGAAAACTTTTTCGACCGAAAAACATTCACAAATCTCTGTATGTACATGGTCGATGGCAATCTTCATCTTGATTTACCACCTCCGGCGATCTTGAAACCAGAGGCACTATGGACTGGAAAACAAGTTTTTAGCGTGCTTATGCGACCGAACAAGAATTCGCCTGTCAAAGTCAACTTGGACGCCAAGTGTCGTGACTACACGTTCAAGGAAGGCGAATGCCCAGATCTTTGCGAAAACGACGGATGGCTTGTGGTGCGTAACTCTGAGGTCATGTGCGGTAGGATGGACAAGACGACTGTGGGATCAGGCAAAAAGGACTCGATCTTCTACATTATTTTAAGAGATTTTGGTCCCGATGAAGCAGTGACCGCTATGAACCGACTCGCCAAAATAGCTGCAAGATATCTTACAAACCAAGGATTTTCCATCGGTATCAATGATGTTTATCCATCGGCGGCCCTTACAGCGGAGAAACAGAAATTGGTAGATGTTGCTTACACACAGGCTGAAGGCTTGATCAAGAGGTTCCAAGCAGGAAAGCTTGAGAAGGCCACAGGGTGTGATATGGAAGAGACACTTGAAAACTCCATCTCTGGTATCCTGAGTAGAGTCAGAGGTGCCGCCGGAGATTACTGTATCAGTTCTCTAAGTAAATGGAACTCGCCCTTGATCATGGCAAAATCTGGCTCCAAAGGGTCCTCCATTAATGTTGCTCAAATGGTAGCTGTCGTAGGGCAGCAAATTATTGGTGGAAAGCGAGTTTCAGACGGCTTTCAAGACCGTACTCTTCCCCATTTCATCAAAAACGACCGTCGGCCTTTGGCAAAAGGATTCGTGTTTGACAGTTTCTTCACAGGACTCACACCTTCTGAATTTTTGTTCCACGCTATTTCGGGGCGTGAAGGTTTGGTTGATACAGCTGTCAAGACAGCCGAGACTGGATATATGTCACGAAGACTCATGAAATCGCTCGAAGATCTTTCTACCAGATATGACGACACCGTACGAAACTCTTCTGGTGGGATCGTCCAATTTCAATTTGGAGCAGACAAGCTCGACCCCGTAGATATGGAGGGCTCAGCCGTTCCTGTTCACTTTCAGAGAACTTGGAGACATGCCGAAGCTATGACTTTCAAAAACGAGGATCCTTGCCTATTGCCATACCAGATCACTACCTTGTGTGAAAAGTACCTGGCCAAAGAGAAGTCAAAGTATCTCAGAAAGGGGTTATTGAGAGGTGAGCCACTGGACTACCGAGACGAGAGCAATTATGCTGTTGATGAGCATGAAAGTGCTCGAGATTTCGTTGACACGGTATCTCAATTCGTTGGCGGCTTAGCTACAACTATGGCGAAGGCACGAGACAAAGCTGGCTTAGAGGTAATGGAAGATGACCCAAAAGACACTCATGGGCAGTATGATATAACAAAAGAAGACCCCCGGAAACAAGCTTGGGTGGAACGAGTAGCGAAAGTTTCGAAAGCTACCTTGCAAGAATTCATCAAATTGTGTTTGAGCAAGTATGCAAAAGCTCATGTCGAGCCGGGACACGCTGTTGGTGCTGTTGGTGCTCAATCGATTGGAGAACCTGGAACTCAAATGACTTTGAAGACTTTCCATTTTGCTGGTGTCGCTGGTATGAGTATGACACAGGGTGTACCACGTATCAAGGAAATCATCAACGCTTCGAAAGCCATCAGCACACCTATCATTACTTGCCCTCTTGCAAATCCCGAATCTATGGCAGCGGCACGTCTCGTGAAAGGTTCTGTGGAGAAGGCGTATATTCGAGATGTTATTGACTATATTGAGGATATGTGGTCATCACAGAAAGCATCTATATGCCTCAAAGTCAATAATGGATCGATTCAAAAGATGATGCTCGAGGTCACTCCTCTAAGCATTGCTCATTCGATAGCAAAACAAAAGAAATTGAAGATCTTGCCCAATGATATTACAGTCAAGGGAGATATGGTTTTTGTCACGATGGGAGAGAATACTGGTGGAAACATGGGAGCTCGTGGAGTTGGCGCCGCAGCAAAGGCTAGGAAAGCCGCAGGGTTAGAGGAGGATAGAAGTGACATACTTCTCCGTGTCAACTATCTCAAACGAGCTCTACCTGAGATTGTAATTTCGGGTTATCCAGATGCCACTCGAGCGCTTATCAACACCTCCGAAACCACACCGCCAACCCACAAGGTGCTGGTCGAGGGATACGGACTTCGAGCTTGTATGAATACAGAAGGAGTCAAGGGAACAGAGGTCTACTCCAATAACGTCATGGAAGCCCGTGAGATCTTGGGTATCGAAGCAGCACGATCGACCATCGCAAAGGAAATCGGAGTCGTCATGGGAGACATGGACATTGATCCTCGACACATGCAACTCCTCGCCGATGTCATGACGTACAAGGGAGAAGTCCTTGGTATCACTCGTTTCGGTCTTTCCAAGATGAGAGATAGCGTCTTGCAACTTGCATCCTTCGAAAAGACCCCGGATCATCTTTTCGATGCGGCGGCGGGCATGAAATCCGATCAGATTGAGGGTGTGAGTGAGTGTATTATCATGGGGCAGACGATGAGTGTGGGAACGGGTGCGTTCCAGGTCGTTAGATTGCTGGGACTCGAGGATCAAGATACGAAGCCTAAACCGACTCTCTTTGAGGATGATTGGAGGTGGGATCAGGGAGAGAGAAAGAAGGGACGGTGATTTATAGCGTCACGGTGCGAAAGTATGGGGGATTCTGGGAGTTTAGCGGGGAGATCTTTTGAAAGGTGTTTAGGCGTTTATTTCTGACATGTCATGGGTGAAGAATTTGGCGGTTTCGTTTCTTTTATTTTTTGCTTTCTTTCGAGTGATATCCATGGAGATGAGATGCGAGAAGAGAGGCACAGTATATATTGCCGGGTCTCTGATAGATACAGTAGTCTGGTCTGGTCTGGTCTGGTCTGGTCTGCAATTCGACCACACGACCAAGCGAAAATGGCGAGGTGTAAGCTAGGTAGACATGTAGTATGAAATAAAAGATGGCCCTGAAAAACTACTCGACAAGTATTACTAGAATATCTCTCCTACAGGTATTGAACAGCGTATAAAATAAGTCGAGTACTCGTAGGTAGAACCTACTCCCCTCCCCTCTACCTGACTTACCTTACATAGTAGTAGCCTTTCACCCCAATGCTCGCTCGCTCGCCTGCCTCTCTTACATTACTCTATCCGTAATCTTACACGCTAGGTATATATCTAAACTATTAAAAGTCATATGTATTATACTTAAACTCCGGTATCTTACTCGTACCGTATAAGTACAAGTATAAGTACAAGTACCTTAAGTAATCTGATTTCTATTTCTATTCTCCCGGCCTATTTTAGCTATATAGTATAGTAAGTAAGTTAGTTAGTCTATAGGTAAGTTAATAAGAATAAAAAAGTACTAAAAAAAGGGTAAGAATTTGTTTTAAATTTCTCGTATACTAAGTAATTAATTAATTATTACTTATAGAAGATAACAAGCTCTATAGATACTATAATAATAGTTTTACTATTCGAGAGGGAGTCGGGTATATATAGTATCGTACATACGATTAAAGGAAGAGAGAGAGGTAAGCAAGTATTACTTTATTTATAATCTTTTATATTATTAAAAGTTTTAAAACTATTAAAAGTTATATATATTATACCTAAACTCCGGTATCTTACTCGTACTTGTACTTGTATAAGTATAAGTATAAGTACCTCGAATTTCTATTTCCATTTCCATTCTCCCGGCTTATTTTAGCTAGTATGTTAGTTAGTCTATAGGTAAGAATAAAAAGAATAAAAAAGAATAAAAAAAAGTAGGTAAGAATTTGTTTTAAATCTCTCGTATAATTAATTAATTGATTAGTTTATTAATTACTTATTATATAAGATTTGTGGATAGTATAATAATGTTTATATTTTTACTATTCGGAATTCGGAATCGGGAGTCGGGTGTGTATAGTAGGATTAAAGGAAGAGAGAGAGGCTAGGAGAGGGTTATAAGGAAAAACTACCTACGTGAGTGCGCGGCTAGTTGGTTTTAGAAGTATATATAGAGGGTGGAGGGAACGCGGGGAACGTTAAGTACCTAGGTAGATAGCTGGACGTATATAGGTAGTAAGGTAGTAAGGTAGTAAGGTAGTAAGGTAGCCAGGTAGGTAGTTGAGGACATACCGGTTATAAGGTAGGGTCTACCTTAAGTTGTAAGGTGTAAGGTCTATGGGATAGTTATTGTAGTATAGTATAGTATTATACTATAGTATATCATATCATGTTTCTTACCCTTTACTTTCCTCCTCTCTCCCCCCCCCTCTCCTCCCCACTTCCTCTCCTCTCTCCTTCATCCACCACACCACACCCTACCTAACCCCCTCTCTCACTCTCCGGTACCATACCCTACCATACCATACCCTACCATACTGCCTCGCTCTACCCAACACCACACAACACCACACCTACCACATCACGAAAAACCAAGCAAGCAACGGTAACGTCAGTAAAAGAATCATCCCAAGCCACACAACTAAACTTATAAGAATGGATTCATTGAGCTCCCTAGTGACCCCACTATCTACATTACATTCTCTGTCCAAAGGCAATGAGCAACAACGATGAGAGAGAAAGAGAAAGAGAGAGAGAGAGAGAGAGAGAGAGAGAGAGAGAAAGAAAGAAAATATATGCATGGTATTGGATCAAGAAAGAAAGAAAGAAAAAAAGAAAAAAGGGGTCAATAGTTCGTTCAAATAAACAACCTCAGCTCCTTTAAAAAGGGGAAAGAAAATGAATTTAAAAGAAAAAAACACGCAAACAATCGGATATCAAGGGTAGTAGTACTCCCGCAATATGTTCCTTTCCCATTCCATCATTCCATCATTCCATCATGCCCCCGTCCCCCCCCCATCCTTCCATCCACAACCCCATTAAGCAAGCGACTTCGGATATCAAATGGGGAAAATAAACAAAGCAGCCACCATTAATATCGTACATTTAGACGACCCTCCCCTCCCCGCCCCTCCCCGGCTCCAGACTCAAGTCTGATTTACCCAAACATTAAGACNATAAACAAAGCAGCCACCATTAATATCGTACATTTAGACGACCCTCCCCTCCCCGCCCCTCCCCGGCTCCAGACTCAAGTCTGATTTACCCAAACATTAAGACCTCCATCCGACTATCTCATCTCCACCCAAAGCCCACCACCCCTTATTCACAACTCTTCTATTTTTCATCCTTGTGGAACTTGGCCTTGATTCTTCCAAAAAGACTATTACGGTTCTTCTTCTTCTTTTCGGCTGTAGCGCTGGCTGGGGATCCAGGAGTGACAGGTGCGTCGTCCTTTGCAGGTGTGGCAGGTGCTGCTGATGAGGTCTCAGCAGCCTTGGAGGAATCAACACCGGTGGTGACGATTGGTTGAGTCTGGGTGTGGGTGCCTGGAACGGTTCGAGGAGATACGTCACGGGACTCAACTGGTTTTTGGGGCGCTGCTGGAGCTGGGAGGCTAGCTTTGGATGTAATCTTGGGTGCTGGTTTACCGGTCGAAGTCTCAGGCTTAACTTCCTTCAATAGTTCCTGCTCAACGGCCTTCTTCTCCAAGACAGCTTCCTCATTGCTGGCGGCCTCGGGTGCCTTTCCAGATTCAGCAATAGACTCCTTTACAATTTCAGGTGTATCCTTGGCAAGCGGTGCGTCTTGGGTAGGGTTTGTTGATCCAGCCGATTTCTGAACAGACTCGGGCAACTTGCTCGATACAGATTCTGGAAGCTTGCTCGCTACAAGAGCAGCTCCACCAGCAGCGGCACCTCCAACAGCAACAGCAGCACCTGAAACGGCGGCAGCTGCCTCACCTGTAAGTCCCTTCTCAGTCTTTTCTGTACCTTTTCCACTTGTGCCCTCAGCGGTGGATGGAGCAACTGGAACCTCGCTCAGAAGCTCCTTCTCAACGGCACTCTTCTCCTTTACTTCCTCGGGTACACCACTAGCCTCCGCTGGGACTCCTGCCTTTTCTTGGCTTTCCTTCACTATCTCAGGAACCTTGGTCGCTTCGAGTGGTACACTTCCAGCGAGCTGAGCAGTTGTGCTTCCGGGTGCAGCAGACTTTATCGTTGGGGCGGCATCAAATGATCCAACACCTGCGGCTCCAATTGGTAAGCCTGATTCGGGAATTAAATTCTTGGAGATTGGTGGGAGGTCGAGAATGCCGGTGCCTTTGGAATCCCGCTCGTTTTGAGGAGTGACGACCGGGGGAAGCACTGGGGGAAGTGAATCACCCTTCTCATAAGATTCCTTGTCGGTATGAACAGCTGACGTGGTCGTATTTCCAGTCAAAGTGCTGACTTCGGGAAGCTTCTCCCCAGGAGCAACTTTAACCGGGTTTACGGCTCCAGGAAACGCAGGCAGTGGTGACACGCTAAAGGTTTGCTCAGACTCACCCTTTGCTTTATCTGCAGCGACTAATTCTGGATCGTCGTGGACACCAGAAGTCAAGGTGTTGGCGGTAATGGTACTCGGGTCGGGAAGCTTCTCACCAGGGGCGACCTTTATAGGATTGACGGCACCCTCGAATGCTGGTAGTGGTGATACGCTCAAAGTAGGCTCGGCTTCACTCTTTGCCTTATCTGCTGCTACAAGTTCAGGATCGTCATGGACACCGGAGTTGATAGTATTTTTGTTGAAAGAGGCCGTATCTGGGATCTTCTCTCCTGGGGCAAGTTTAATGGGGTTGACTGCGCCATCTGCAGCTGGCAGGGGGTTGACAGAAAACTCATCCTTCTCTACAGCTGCTGGCGTCTCGGGAAATGCACCGGGTAGACCTGACGATCCAGAGGGCTCCAGAGGTGCCTTCTTTTCGTTTTCGAGAGGAACATTCTTAGCCAATTCGGCTGTGGTAGAGGTTGGGGCAACTCCTGACATGATTCCGGCAGTTTCGGATTTGTGCTTGCTAATTCGATCGGGGGTGAGAACGTTGTTCAAGTTTCCCGAGGCGTCGTTTTCTTGAGGTGCTGTATGATCGGTAACCCAATTTCCATCCACAACAAACTGTAGAAGATAGAGCGAGTTAGAAAATGCGTGGAAAAGGTTAAGTCTTGAAGAAGGGAAGAGACTTCAGCCGAAGCTCGCGGGAATAAGGTTCTTTTATTGAAAATCCAACAAGGCTTATGTCGCGGGGTTGGAAATAGGCGACAGCTGACGATCCAAGCCTGCCTGCAAACCAGGGAAAGCGTCACTCAATGGGCCCGCCGCAATTTAGCGCCTGACCCCAGCAATTGATAATTTCCAAGTTGAGATGCTTCACCGCCCGCTCCAGGGAAACCAGAAGGCAGCATTTGGAACGCGTCACACCCGGGAAGTCATCCTCAGTGAAAACTCAACGCCATAGCACATGCAAGAACCTTCGGTGAGATGCCTTGAATTCGAGGAGTGAATTGGAGCGCGCTTGAGACAAATCTCGAGCAATACAAATTTCCAGAAAGTCAACCTGAGCAAACGACACCACTTGACGGAGTTTCTCGCGGACTGAATTGGACGGAACTTTTGCCGTGGACCGTCTCCAAGATCCGCATTCACACCCACTTGTTGCAGTTTGTCGATTGATGGACAAGAACAATAAATGTATTCCAACGCACCTTGTAGTAGATCTTTTCATCCGCGCTCTTGAGCTTGACATCCTTCTGGAAAATGTCACCCGTCCTGGCCAGCTTCTCGCTCTTTGACCAGTCATCAAATGTTCCCGTCACGTAAACCTCGGATGCGGGATGTTCCCTGGAAAAAAAGAATCGTCAGCTAGAAGCTCCGTGGAATGTGTGGGGGTCACAGGAAAAGGTTTCGAGGAGCTGCGACGAAAGATCAAGTCGGTATCGCCACGAGCGCACCGCCGTCGCAAAACAACAAACAAGCTTGGGAAATTGCGACAACGAAATATCGACCGAGATGGCGATGATGTTGAGAATGCGAACGCGCCCACATACCAGGTAAAAACGAAGCTTCCCATGGTGTCTGTCGGTGAAGGGGGGGATGTTTGGTGTTGAGTTGCAAAGGTAGGTAGGTGGTCGCTCCAAAAGGCGTAGGCGTCAGTGGCTGCTCGATGGGTCGGAGGTCTCGGAGTCGCGGCGAGAAATTTCGAGGAGGAAGGGGAAGGAAGAGGGTTCTCAGACAAAGAGGCAACCGTCGAGAAGTTATAAATGCGATGCGGAGGAAATGAGGAGTTCGTGAGCAGATGTGGATACTGCAAGCAAGAACAACAGTCGGTCTGCTGGCTGTGGCTGTAGGTATGGGTGTGGGGATGGGGGGTGCAGGGCCTTTGATAGCGAGCGATTGGAAGTTGGAGGTTGGGTAAGTGGAGGCGAACGTAGGTGTGTGTGTAGGTGTAGGTGTAGGTGTAGGCGAGGCGTAGTGACTCTGTAGGTATGCGTGAAAATGCGACGATACGGGAAGCGCACAAAGCAGCGAAAATGGGGATGAGGATGAGAGGAGGAGAGTGGATTTAGGAAACTCCAGATAATTGGAATTTCAGGCAAGCACGATGGTGTAATTATTGGGGAGGAACCCAAGAGATGAGCAGATGTGGCGCGGCGAGAGAGCTCCAGAGCTCCAGAGCTCCAGCTGCTGCAGAGCACCGCACCTGCACAGGCACAGCTGCAAACTTGGCCAGAGCTTTTTGCGCAACAAGCCTGAACTTTGGTACGAGTACTGTAGAATTACGGAGTACAGAGTTACAAGCCTACAGTACAAGCTCAGATGGCCAGGTCTTCAAGTCTTGCCGCCCTGAAGATTGCACTTACTGCACCTCCACTTGCACCACTTGCACCTTTTCTACCTAGGTAGTCTTCGACCGCTACTTCTTTGCAAGCTGAAAGTGCTTGCAAAGTCACCTGCGAAGCTGAAGAAGGAGCGGACTGAGGTATGGCACAGGTTGACATCACTTGAATAGCGATGGTAGAACTAGAGATGGCCCTCTTTAGTGAGATGTCATACGAAGTATATGGGTGTACAAGTACTCGGACTTGAGTACTCAAACACAAGTATCTTTCCTGTTGAGCTTATCCCGGTTGGCAGTTGCTATCACTGGTGTGGTTGCATACCCCCCTGACCTGGACGGCTGGGCATCATCAAAGCTTCCACCACCCAGAGAAAATCAACCGCGGGAGGGAGCTATTCACCACCTACTCTAAATCTCAATCTCAATCTGTTCCAATCCTCAAGAGCCAACGGAATCCATCAATCCAGCAAGAACAATTCGAGGTCTACAATTGAGGACACCCCTCACTCGACCCTGTTCCCGGAAGCCAATCCGGTCCTAATGGTGCTCCGAAAACTCGCTGTGCTTCGACGAGGCAAACCCAATCCCAGCAGAAATGACGTCTTTGAGGCGAGAAGACGGTGAAAGGAATGGGAAATGCCATTGTGACCACTGTCCACCCCATTTCTATAGATTGACTCATTAATATTCTTGCTCTTGCCACTGCCACTGCCACTCCCACTGCCACTCCCACTGCCACCTTTGTCACGTCTCGGTCAAGCTTGTTTGGGGTTGCTTGCTATTACCAAGTAGCATTGTTTCCATTAGCGCCATGGTGTGACAAGCCATCGTCACCATAGAAGCGGTCAACAGACGCTGGAAAGAGGTGGAAGATGGCCGGAGAAAGATAAGGTAAACACAAGCTCCAGCCGGCTGCTTCTACTCGTACAGTAGTGGAGTGGGTGATGAGGTTCCTATTATGCGGGGAGTTAAGGTTAGTCCACTATGTGCTGTGTTGTGCTGTGCCAGGCCTCGGCTTGGAGTCGACAGAACCCCTCATGTCCACTGTCCACTGCCCAGCTTGGGAATAATCTGCTTATGCTGGTGATGGGATGGTTAATTCCCGGTGAAACGAGCATGGAGCAGATCACATCATTCCAGTTTTGGTATTTTCGATTGACGATTTCGCCAACATGTCAATCGTAATGTCAATCATAATGTCAACGACCCCATGTTTCCATGGCTCGAAGGCTTCGGTCATCCTCTTTCAAGCTGAATTTCAAACGACGAGATTGGAAAATTTGAAAAACAATTGGCGCCAAACCCTTGTAACACTGAGACCGGGAATCGAATGGTAGCATCCACATTGGCGAATAGAAGTGTTGGACCCTGCCCATGGGTGAACTGAGCTCTTGAGGCTTGAGACTTGAGTGACTTGTTCCGATGTTCGAGGCAGAGAATCTGATAGAAAAAAACAGGGGATGCACGCTGTACCAAAAAAAGATAAGGCCCAAAAGAGTTGAAAGAAGCGTTCGCGCAGAATACTCTGCTGGTACCCTGTAACGGTACTTTCTTGGGATCTGATTCAGAAAGATTGCTTTTGCGGTAGGATGGAGCTGAATTTGCTTTCTCTTCCTCGTCAAACAACACGCTTGACGCGGGATATCTGGAGACTAATGGTAAGACGGTTTGATGATGTTTTATCAACCGAATAACGTACTAGGTATCTTTTTCTTTGACTCCCGGAATAGCTCCCAGGTCGCAATCGGCGTTACCGGTCGGATATGTGTCGACTTTGAGAGGTGTTGCCGCGACCGCGGGGTGCACGCTGCATCATGGTGGAGGGAATCAAGTGTTTTTAGTCAAGTCGGCGTTCGAATCGTTCTGAAGTATGGAGTATGTATGTCTGTAGAGTGCAGTAATCGCACCGCACATTGGCTCGCTGGCTGTTCGATGCCGTCAGCTCACGACGCTCCGCTTCCCACGAATATTCGAAATCGATTGGCGAGTTCTCTGATTCAGGGGAGAGAGTGAGCTCTGACGTTACTACAGCCTTCTAGAGCCTTTCTAGAAGGGTGAGTCGAAGCAATCGAAGCAGCAACGGCCTTCCGTGGCCCCTGCGTTGCGTGCACAGGCCATCCAATCATGAAGCACTGACCAAGTCTTAAGCGTCACAGTGCGAGCGTGGTCGTTGCCGTTGCCTTTGCCTCATCGTTTCCCCTCCTCTCCGTGACAGGTGCTTTACTCAGATTGGAAGGCCCAGAAAAACTCCTCCCTCTCCATCAATTCACTGGTGCTGCAAGAACGTTGCATTTCTGACCCCCTCGCTCTGCTTCGCATAACAGCTCCCCGCAATCCGGACTCTCGACAGCATCACTGCCACCTTAGCGAGAACCTTGCTCAAGACTCGTGGGACTCGTGGAGATTCCGACACCACCACACCTTATTCAACACACCCACACTGCTTGTCTGCCCTCCCGAGACCCTTTCTTTCACACCCGCTCAGCTGAGCCCATTGGGTCTCTCTTCCAAACGTCTCTCTACTTCCTCTTTGTGCCGCTGTCCCAAGATAACTGTAGGTTCTTCCCCCCCCCCAGTTCATCCCCATCTTGTTGCCCGTGCATCCATTCCCACAAGCGACCCTCAATCTCTATTGCTGGTCAAGGTACCGAGTGAACAGACCACTTGCCCCTATTCCAATACCCCATAAAGTATCTCTGCAACCCACTTCCCTTCGCTGTACCATTCACCCATTCATTATTCACCAAGCCCTTCCCCTTCCAGACCAGTGACTGATCAATCACCTCAAAATGCAGAACTCCGCGATAAATCGAAACGGGCTCCACCCTCCTTCCCTCACCCCTCTATCGAATATCCACAAAGCGAAATCCTACGATACGCTGCGTTCTCAAGCTGGCTTTGGTAACCGGGTGCCATATCCAAACGCCTATCTGCAAGAGATTGAGAAGCTCAACCGAGAAATCCTTGACTCGCAACCCAAAGACATTCTTCAGTTCTGCGCCAACTTTTTCGCGAGGCGTTTAGAATTGGAACGTACCGAATTGCTCTACACACATTCCATCGACCGCAAGATGTCTGGAACTACATTCCCCGGACGGATGGGAGCAAACTCCAACCCTTTCGGTGCGCCCGAGAAGGAAAGAAAGACGAGTGGCATTATGAAGGTCATGGAAGAAGACGAAAACGATTCAGTTGCTTCGCCTGCAACCTCAAACTTTAGCTTCGGAGGAGGAGCACCTACATTTACTTCTTCGTTCGGTGGTGATGCAGCAGGGCCACCATCTTCTTTCAAACCAGCTAGTACAGAGGGCTTCCCAGCACATTACGGCATGGGTAGACGAACATCAGTATCTGCAGAGTCGTTGAACCCAACTGCATCAGCTAACGACAACTGGTCTCCTCCATTCCATCCAAAAAGTGCGGATCAGATTTCGAGGCTAAAGAAATCGATCGAGGGAAACTTCCTGTTTAGTCACTTGGACGATGAACAAAGTTCTCAAATCTTGGGTGCATTGGTAGAAAAGCCTATTCCGGCTAAAGATATCAAGGTAAACACTATCTAGTCAAACATTATGGTGATCATCACTGACCTTCAATCTAGGTGATCACACAGGGCGATCAAGGCGATTTCTTTTACGTAGTCGAGAAGGGCTCCTTTGACGTGTACGTCAACTCCACGGGCGAGATACAACCGGGTTCTGATGGTCTCGGAACCAAGGTAGCAACTATCGACGCTGGTGGCTCTTTTGGAGAGTTGGCTTTGATGTATAATGCTCCCCGAGCGGCCACTGTCATCTCTGCAGAGCCATCATGCACACTTTGGGCTCTAGACCGAATCACCTTCCGTCGTATCCTCATGGACTCGACATTCCAACGCCGTCGTTTATACGAAAGCTTTTTGGAAGAGGTACCTCTTCTTTCCACCCTTACCAAATACGAGAGATCAAAGATTGCCGATGCTTTGGAGACACAAAAGTTCCCAGAGGGAACGACCATTATCCAAGAGGGGGATGTTGGTGAAGCCTTCTACCTTCTCGAGAGTGGTGAGGCAGAGGCCTTCAAGAATGGCACAAGCAATCCCGTCAAGCATTACCACAAGGGCGACTACTTTGGTGAGCTTGCTCTCCTCGATGACAAGCCAAGACAGGCTAGCGTTATCAGCAAGACGGAGGTCAAGGTTGCCACACTTGGAAAAGATGGGTTTCAAAGGTTGTTGGGTCCTGTTGCGAGTATCATGAGAAGAACCAAGTATGAGACTGGGGTGGAAGAGATTGATCCTCTTCACCAGAAATAAGGGAACCCTTCATTTATTTTTGTTTCTTTTTTGGGAAGATAGATGTGTAGGGATGGATGGAGGGAGGGGGATGTGTAGGGTTGGCGTTAGACATGGGTTTTTTTTCGTTCGTTTGTTCGTGAGAAACAAGAGAAGTTCTTTTTTTCTTTTTTGTTTTTGGCGGCTCAGATACCTATGTTGCAGAGAGCACAATTGAGGCTACCAAATTTGAAGTTTTCTTAATCTGCCATATTATCTTTTTGTAATCAAGTTTTTCTACAAGTGGTCTCAATTGGATCCTTTGGGATTGGCCATATGGAAAAGGCTTTTGAATTGCATCCGTAACTCCAGATGGTATCTTGACTGCCTGTGCCATATCTTACCCGAGCTTCTTGCTGAATGTTAGCTCTGCCTTCCCATGATCGTCCACTTTCCAGATTGACCCTTCCCATCAGACGGATCTTCTCAATTCTCCGCAAGGACCAGAGGGCTCTTTCATTCCCTACTCCCATCCACCAACTAGATCATCCCCTTCCTCTGCCTCCGAATCCAAGTTCAAATCCACCCTCTCTCCCCACACAATCCCACCCACCAAAATCCCCCTATCTCAAACTTCCCCCCTCAAATCCACCTTCTAAACCGCCCCTCCCCTCCTCCTCTCCAAAATCTCCCGTCGCACCTGCTCACACGCAACCTCCGTCTCCAACACCCTCCCCACCCCCTTCCTCCACCCCTCCTCCAGTGCGCTCATCTCCCCACCAACCCCCTCCTGCGCCCCGCGCCGCTCAATAACCACCCCATCCATCTCGCCCTTCACCGCCGCCAGCTCCCTCTCCAACCCCCGTAGTATATCCTCCAACTGCGCATTCGAGATCAACCATGCGTTCTTGCCGTATTGCTCCAGCAGCGCGAGGTTCGTGCGTCGTGAGGAGAGGTAGGTGGAAGATGTTCGGGCGCGCTGCAGGGCGGTGCGCCAGAGGTGGAGGGAGTCGGGGGTTTTTGTAGAAGAGGGGGCGGAGAGGGATTCGTAGCGGGAAAGGTCGATTGCATTTAAGGGCTCGTTGCGGGAGTGCCGGAGGAGTTCTTGTTCGATTCGAGGCGTGAAGTGAGAGGGGAGGAGGGCGGGGAGAGAGGGGTGTGGTGGTGTGGTGTCGTCTAGTTCGGCGGCTATGAGGGCTTCTGCTGCAGCGCGTTCGGTGGGCGTGGGTTCGGGGTCGATGTAGGGGAGGGATTCGTGGATGGTGGTTATGAGGACCATTTTTTGGAGATGGGCGAGTTGGTTGGGTGGTGCGATTGGTGGTTGGGATTTGAGGTTTGATGTGTAGGTGAGATGGACGGTATGGGGACTTTTTTGAACCGCGTCGTATTGGAGTAGGTACTTCCGAGAGATTTTTTGTGGGGTACGTGGGTGTGTGAGGTACTCGAGTACTTGGGTTAAGGGGTGTGAGAGAGGACAGGAGAAGGAATTTTATACATCCTATAAACAACTGATATACGGAGTAGTATAAACGAAGACCTCACACGATGATAATTCGATGCTCGAGTACAGTTAAAGTTCAAGAAGCCAACGTAGTTTGAATTTGAATTTCGAGCCCCCAACCCCAACCCCACACCCCCTGCGATAAAAGGACGTATGTATACTACATAGTGACAGTCGACATCATCCCAACAAACAAGACAACCAACAAGAAGCAGCCGAAGAACTCCTCCTACTAGTATACAATCCCCATCCAACTCCTCTCCCCTCCTCCCAACTAGAGTCTCAGTCTCNGGGCGAGTTGGTTGGGTGGTGCGATTGGTGGTTGGGATTTGAGGTTTGATGTGTAGGTGAGATGGACGGTATGGGGACTTTTTTGAACCGCGTCGTATTGGAGTAGGTACTTCCGAGAGATTTTTTGTGGGGTACGTGGGTGTGTGAGGTACTCGAGTACTTGGGTTAAGGGGTGTGAGAGAGGACAGGAGAAGGAATTTTATACATCCTATAAACAACTGATATACGGAGTAGTATAAACGAAGACCTCACACGATGATAATTCGATGCTCGAGTACAGTTAAAGTTCAAGAAGCCAACGTAGTTTGAATTTGAATTTCGAGCCCCCAACCCCAACCCCACACCCCCTGCGATAAAAGGACGTATGTATACTACATAGTGACAGTCGACATCATCCCAACAAACAAGACAACCAACAAGAAGCAGCCGAAGAACTCCTCCTACTAGTATACAATCCCCATCCAACTCCTCTCCCCTCCTCCCAACTAGAGTCTCAGTCTCCCTCCAAAAAAACCCCCCCCAGGCTTCAATCCAGTATACCCCCTCTAACATTCGTCACAGCATACAATTTGTGGGGCTGTGGGACTTTGAGTACAGGAACGTCTTCCATTCTTGCAGCCGTGCTCCCAGGTCGAGTAGTTGCAGTTTAACATAGCTTGGACTTCCACGACTCCGACGAGTAAGACTGTGAGGACGGGGAGGATGTGCTTGGAGAACATGGTGAGGAGTCATCGAGTGTGCAATGGAGATCGGACTGGGTGGTTGGTGTATTGGTATGTTAATGTTGTTTGAGAAGAAGGAAATAAGTAATAGGATTGGATGGAGAGGTAGATAGATGATGCTTCTCTCTTGGTCGTTGGTATGTTGTTATTAGACCAGTGGTATATCAGAATGGACTGAGATATAGGCAAATCTCTTTTCCTTGGGGTAGAAAAGGTCGTCCCTTATATACAACAGCTGAAGCTACAGTACGTACCGGTTTTCTCGGCATAATTCGCATTTATACTCTGTTTGGCGTAAGGGAGGCCTTGCACCGGGGTGTACCATACAAAATACTTCGTATGAGTGCACACTCCAAGTGCACAATCCAAGTCCAGGAACGTTTGGCTCGCACGCCGAGTGAAAAGAAAAGTACTCGTCCGAATGCACAATCTAGCTTTAAGGGCCTGTTTGGCTCGCCGTCATTCCAAATACAGATTCAGGGTCTACCATACAAAATTGGAATTCAGTACGGAGTACTCTATACGAGTCACCCCTCGTATTACGGCATCCCAATCGTACACTTAGGTCGCTGTCGACTGCTCCGTAAATCGCAAATCGCAAGTACAGCGGAAGGGGATCCGATGCGGACAGGGATGTGGCGGGAGCTTGGGTGGGTTGGTGGCGTCAGCGCAGTGAACTCGAGAACTCCTGTTGCTTCACTTCTGGCAGGAGACTTCACTCTTCCTCACAACACATCGAACGATGATTTGAGAATCCGATTTTCCCTCCAGAGGGAACCCATGAGAACAAATTAATAAGCAAACCATTTGTACGTCTTCAAAGATGGACACCTCAGAGTACAAAACGTCCAAGGCGGGACCTTCGGGTTCCAGTCTACGAGATCGCCCCATGCGCGCGGAGAGATCATGCTCTCTATTACAACGAGTTGCCAAAGTGCTGTCGGTGTTTGTGATGCTGGTTTTTATATATGGACTTTACTCTCTGTTTTTCGGGTACAGGGCTGGAAATGTGTGGACTTGGAAGGCCTATGATGGGGGGTATGAGGAATATGGCGACACGGGTGGAAGTGTTGGGAGTAAATACTTGCTAGGAGTTGGAAAGGCTGATATCACAGGGTAAACAAGACTCTCACGGCTCAAGGATATCAAAGATCTTGTGCTGATATGAGTTCAGTCCAGTCGTAGAAATCAACATGATGGGCTATGCCGACCCAAAACAAGTCGGTACAGGCCTACGTCAACGTCTCTACTCTCGCGCCTTCATCATTGGCGACCTCGAGAATCCAGATGACAGATTCGTGTACCTAGTACTAGACACACAGTCCGGTGATACGGCTGTTCGATATGGAATCCTCGACGGACTTGTCGAGCTGGGAAGTGACTACTCGGTTTACGCACAACATAATGTTGCGGTCACTGGCACGCATTCGCATTCTGGTCCTGGGGCGTGGTTGAATTATCTACTTCCTCAAATCACTAGTAAGGGGTTTGATAAGCAAAGTTATCAGGCTATTGTCGATGGTGCTGTACTTTCTATCAAGCGAGCCCATCAAAGTCTCCAGCCGGGCTATTTGACCGCGGGCACTACGAAGGTTTTTGGCGCGAATATTAATCGAAGTCTCTATGCATATCTTGCGAATCCTGAGGCGGAAAGAGCGAGGTATAATGAGAGTACTGAGGATGATGGGTCGGTGGAGAAGACTTTGACGTTATTGAGGTTTCAGAGAGCTTCCGATGGGAAGAATACTGGCGTCTTGACTTGGTTTCCTTCCCACGGAACATCGATGTTGGGCAACAACACCTTGGTTTCTGGAGACAATAAAGGGGTGGCAGCGGATTTGTTTGAGAAGAGTTTCTCGACCGATGATGACAATGTTGCGGAAGGTTTTGTGGCTGGGTTTTCACAAGCGAGTGTGGGAGATACTAGTCCTAATGTCCTTGGAGCGTGGTGTGAAGATGGGTCTGGAGAGGAATGCAGTTTTGAGAATAGTACCTGCGGTGGTGGTAAGAGTCAGCATTGTCATGCCCGGGTAAGCTCTTTGAATCCTTATATTTCTGCAAGATTAGCTAAAGTGGGTATTGTAGGGACCATTCTTCAGAAATCCAGATAACGGGGCCTCTTCTTGTTATGAAATTGGCAAGCGACAATTCGAACCCGCAAAAGCTCTTTACAACTCCATAGACAAGCAAAGAACACCAATCACCGGCTCTTCAGTAAAATCTTTCCACGTTTTCCAGGACATGTCCAATTTCAGCTTTCCTCTAGAAAATGGAACATTTGTTACTACCTGTCCAGCAGCACTAGGATACTCATTCGCAGCTGGTACATCTGACGGCCCAGGGGCATTTGATTTCACCCAAAACGATCCAGGGGCACCCAACGCTTCTCCAGTCTGGAAAGTAGTATCAGGGTTCATCAAAGCGCCCAGTAAATCCCAACAACGCTGTCACTACCCCAAGCCCATCCTCCTAGACGTCGGAGAAGTAACATCGCCCTACCTCTGGACCCCCAACATCGTCGACGTTCAAGTCCTTCGCGTAGGTCAATTCATAATCATCGTTTCCCCTGGCGAAGCAACCACCATGTCAGGTCGCCGTTGGAAATCCTCCATCCACGCACACGCAAAGTCTCTAGCTCTATCCGGAGACGAAGAAGTGGAACCCATCGTCGTCCTAGGTGGACCGGCAAATTCATACACACACTACATCTCCACACCCGAAGAATACTCGATCCAGAGATACGAGGGTGCGTCAACCCTCTACGGACCATGGACCTTAAACGCATACATCAATCTCACCCTCTCCCATCTTCCATACCTCTCCCCATCCTCAGTCTCGCAACCTCAACCTGGACCCTTGCCACCAAACAACGTCAACGCCTCCCTCTCCTTCATCACCGGCGTCGTCTTCGACGCCACCCCCCTCTTTAAGAAATTTGGCGACGTAATCACAGACGTGCGACCCGCATATCACATTGGCGACACCATCACCGCCACCTTCCAAGGCGCGAATCCGCGCAACAACCTCCGTCTCGAAGACTCTTATATAAGCGTCGAGCAACTCGATCAGAGCACTGGTATTTGGAGTCCCGTGAGGGATGATTCGGATTGGGATCTGGTTTTTACGTGGCGACGGACGAGTGAGGTACTGGGGTTTAGTGAGGTGGATGTTAGGTGGCATACTGGGGTGGATGTGGAGAGGGGAAAGGTGGTTAGTGGACGGTATCGGATTCGGTATTTTGGGGATTATAAGAGGGTTGGGGGAGGGATTGTGGGGTTTGAGGGGGGGAGTGGGGAGTCTGTTTTGTTGTGAGGATGGGAGGTGGTTGTTTGGTCGGTGGTATTAAAAATACATACCTGAGCCATCACAATATTGTTCTTGATTATCCTAAAGACCTCACACAAGTAAAATCATTCTACGATTCGAATGTTAGGATGGATTTCATTGGATTTTCCTAGGATTATTTTAGATGATGGATAGTTGGTATATTCATACGGTATCTGCAGTATTATGAATTAACATTACATTCTAGGTATAGATCGGGTGGATGAAAGTCTGGAGATCACGTTTTGAGAATTTGAAATTCGGATTCCATGATCGGATTGTAATGTAATTTACTAGAATTCCTTTTAAAGAATTTAACTACTCGAGGAATTTAATTATCCAATTTATCCCAACTCACTAGATTCATAAAGCTTTATCCTTGGATTTTTCATTATTTCTAACGAGTGAGGAGAAGGGGGTTTGTTGTTGTGTGGGGGTGGGGGTTTTGGGAGGATATCTTTTTTTTTTTGAAGGCTTGAAGCGACGATATGAGGCTAGGAGGGGGAGG